AATGGTCCGACTATGTGATCTGGGATGGAAAGCCCAGCCCATTTGTGAGATCCGTGGAGCTGCAGATCGCCAAGCCATCTTATGCACTCAGTGTACTAGGAATCACTGGTCTCACTGCATATTTCGGTATTGTCGAAGTCGGGAAACTTCAAAAAGGGGAGACCATTGTCATCTCGACCGCTGCAGGTGCCGTGGGGTCGGTTGCAGGAGCAATCGCTAAAATCAAAGGTGCAAAAGTCATTGGCTTGACAAGCTCTCGAGCCAAGCAGGATGTGCTCATCCAGAAGTTGGCGTTTGACGCTGCCCTAAACTACCGCGCAGATGATTTTGTCGAGCAGCTTTCCGCCGCAACTTCAGGTAAACTCGACGTTTACTTTGACTGCGTGGGTGGTGAACTCTCGCAAACAATCATGAAACAGATGAAGCGTCCGGCGCGGATTGTCGAGTGCGGACAAATATCGACATATAACGATGAGAAGTATGCTTGGATGACGGATTTGACACCAATCCACCTAAATGGGTTGCGACTTGAAGGTTATACACCTATGTTGTTCAAGGATAAGTGGCCAGAAGCGTTGGATCAGCTTCAGAAATGGATACGGTCTGGCGAGCTCGTGCCTCTGGAGACAGAAATGGTGGGTCTGGAGTCCCTTCCCCGGGCCCTTGTTGCCCTACTAAGTGGCGAGAACGTTGGAAAGATGCTCGTTACAATTAAAGAGTAAATCTCATAGACTCGCAATCTGCCGAGTAAGGCAGTGAATCTGATATTCATAAAACTTACAAGTTGTTTTTTCTGGTCTTCACATTAGAAATTGATATTTGCCAAGCTCGACCTTCCCTTTCAATGCTCCAGTAAACGCAAAGTAGGAGCAGGCGGAAGGTGGAAGGTGGAAGGTCGAAGGTCGAAGGCGGAAATTAACTTTTGAGGCAACTCCATATAGAGGGTTGCCTTCTGTCCTCTCGTTTCTCTCCACGACAATCGCAAAGATGGTTTACAACTACAGAATCGTGCGGATGTTACATCCGACTCACTTGGTACTTGACCTGGATGCCGCAGAGAAGTTTCTCTTGGAAGTTTTTGGCAGGAAATGTGACAAAATCGAGGCGTATCTGCCGCCACCGGACAAGGCTCCTGGATTTCCCCGGGACTATTCAATCACGACAATGATTGCCGATGTCTGGTTCGATTGCATCGATCCTCGCAAGTATGTAGTGGATGATCAGCATTTCATCGAGCCGGTAGACCAACCGCATTTGCTTGGAACGGGATGGGCAGTCGAAGGTATCCGCGACCTTTACCAGCGATTCATGGATAGTGGCATCCGCAGCACCGACCAGAGAAATCGTATAGGTACTAGGGACAGAATCCCTCAAGTGCAATTCACGCCAAAAAGACCCATCTTTCTTACCCTGCCCGAAAGCACCGGAACTCGGTACCAGGTATCCCCTGCTGAATACATTGGGAAGCTTGACGCACGTACCGATCCATCATGGAAGCTGCCGCCAGTATCAGCTGATGATCCACTGTCCATTGAGTTTTGCTCCCATCACACAATCCTCACCAAGAATCTCGAACGACAGACTCATGTACTCGTGGACATCTGCGGCGGTAAAATCATCCATACCGGTCGCAATGAAATTCTCAAGACGGATAGCACATATGTCCTGTTGGCAGACGCAATTTATGAACTCGGCGTACCATATGAGGAGGGTTCCTTTGCCATGAATGATTTGAGAAGCCGAAAACCACTTGACTCCTACCATTCGATCACTTTCAAAGTGCAAGATTTGGCAAAGGTAGAGAAACATCTTCGGGACAAGAAGATACGACTTATCCACCAAGACGAAACCACAATTGTAACCGATCCATCAGACGCCATTGGCATTCCGTGGGGATTCACCACGAAACGTGTGCCGAATGACTCGAGATACTGAGTACCCCCAGAGTCCTCTTCACGACAGCAGACTCATCAGGGGAGCCTTGATACGGCAAGACTTCTGGATCATTTCCTCCACGGATTGCCGTTCTCGTTACTTGTTAACAGCGATTGGACCAAGTGGACTTCTCGTTCATACAAGGACGAAGTTGGAACCAATTCAGAGAAGAGAAATTATGATCAAATTTACTCCATGAATAATTTGCCTAGCACACACAAAATACTGCAAAGTCGAGACACAAATTTGATGGAATTCCAAAGAAGAAAAAGATACGTTTTACAAGGACCGTTAGGGAACTACACGAGGTGTATGGTACGTCGACAAGTGCGTCTTCAAGTTGGTAGGGTTGGATGCATTCTGTCTGAGGCAGGAAGAGAAGAAATCTGCACATATCTCCAATTCCGGGACCGTCTAGGAGATCTACTTGCTCCTGCGTACCCGATAGCAATAAAATGCGTAGAGAATACTTGCCTGAGAGTTTCCCAGGTCAAAATGCAGGCTTCGCCACCGCGTCTACTCGTGCGAGGAGGTTGGTTGAATCGCCCATCAGGCAGGCAGTTCCAGGACCACTGATCAAGCAAATGCACATTTCGGCCCAATGTTTCCCTGAGAAGCTGGAAATGATCCTATCGGAGTAGTTTGCCCCGAAATTCCACCTCTGGCATTTCCGCCTCGGTTCCACCATTATTACCCTTCATACCTCCAGTGAGCCTAACCGGTGTCTTAGGCTCCAGACATGCGCAAGTTCAGAATTGATGCCTTTTACTACTCGATGAGATTAGGCCGGCTGATGCGACGAGGGAGGCGAAACAAATCAGCCCTCGTAAGTACACATTAATCTTTCTTACAGCAGACAACGTCCTGCAGAGAAGCCTGTTCATCCTCGGGAAGACGAAGAAGCAAAATCACCACGGCTCAACCAAAAATGGGCGAGTACTTCTTCGAAGACGAGATCGATCTCGATGACAACACGATTTGCCCACAAGATCTCCTCTTGTTAAAATGCGAAGACTCGGAGAAACAACCTCATATTGACTTCATTACTATTCCCTCTGATGATTTAGAAGAGCCATCAGATTCGGGGAAGTCGCTGGGATCGGATGTTGAGTCTACATGTGACGAGACCGAATCGAACGATGACTGGCTTGAAGTTCACAATCTTCTCTTCCAATCTGGTTGGTCGCCACTCGACATGTCCTCAACCAAAAATACTTGCACTCGGCTAATACCTCTAGCAAGTTGGGCTCGAGCGCCTTCCAGAATGCTGGAAGTTGGTGAAGGAGAGGTTAAAAGAAAATTCGTTGGATCATTGCAATCAATCAGTAAGCGACCGAGACCAAAACACCCGAAACAACCTTCAAGACAATTTACTGAGCCCGACATTCCAGACTGCAGACCCCCCAATCTCGAAGGATATTCAAGACCAGTTGATACCTTTGTATTTCCGACAGTTCCATCCAGTCTGCCCGGCCGTGGACGAAACTGAGTTTCTCAGATGGCGTCAGAAATCCAAAGAGTCTTCATTTGATGATCCTCAACCGATGCAGTTACTACTGGTTTCGATGATGTTTGCGGCATCTCCCTATCTGGACGAGAGTCTATTGTCCCAAGGGCCATATTCGTCTGTCAAGTCATTACAGGAAGCGCTGTTCACCTCTGCACAGTCTTTGTATCACAACTTGGAGACAGAGTTCCTGGGAGCGGAACCTCTGGCACAAAGTGCATTGCTCCTCAGCTACTGGAGCAATAATGATTCCACGACCGAGGTCAACAGCTACTGGTCGGACGAAGCAGTGCGTCACGCGGTGGCTGGAGGAATGTCTGCTCTGTCGTCCACGGGTCGAAGAAGGATCATCTGGTGGTGTTGTCTGATCCGAAACCGCATGATATCCCTTGGTCTACGTCGCTTCACTCGGCTCGAGACGCGGCCGGACGGTCGTCTACCCGAAACAACGGACTTTGGGGAGGAGGTGTCACGACCGCATTTCACGTCTCCTGAGTCGAAAATCTACTTCACCCGTGCATTCGCTTTGATGTGCAGCTTGACAAGGATCATGGCTGAGTCTGTCTGGCTGCCGTACCGCGAATACAACAAGCCTTGGTCTTTGCCAACCGACCGGCGTGCTTTTCGCCTGATGAAAACGGTTGGTCAACTGGACGAGGAGCTCGAAGCCTGGACCTTCAAATTCAATCGGGTGTATTCTACGATTCGCGAAATGGCTGTACCTAACGCAGATCTGGTGATTTTCCATCTCATTGGACTGATGCACCAGTACGTCCCGGGGAATTTGCTGCTCTGCATATAGCGAATTGCTAATCAGGCGCTGAAACAGGTTCGCAATCTCCATCCTGTACGAGCCCTTTTTGAGACTTAGCGAGAGCAACGGTGAGCAGGTGTGGTTTGTCAGAGACCTTGCTCTCCTGAAGATCAAAGAGGTATCCAAAAACACAGCTGCCATCACTGCGTCGATGTTACAGTTTGCAAAGCCAAAAGACTTGCCAATAATCTTGTAAGCAGCGTCTCCCATCGACACTACTAGTATTTCCATTATTTTGAAAAACAACCAACAGTCTGACTTGATGGTAGACCTCCGTGGATCATTCTACCCATTGCGTTGCACCTTGTCCAGCTCAGTGCGCCCCAGGTCCTCGAAATCAAAGCGCAAACCACTCAGCAGCTGGGATACTTGATGCGGGCACTTCATTCTTTGACATGCAGGTACGAAAGTGTCAAGTTGGTCACCAGGATCATCGACGCAATCATTGTTTTCGTCAGGGATTCTCAAGAGGAATCACCACTAACCAGGGCGCAAGCCGTGTGCTCGCAGAAGCGTGCTGTTCAGGCTCGAGATCCACACCTCGGGCAGGAAAAGGTCATCACCCGCGTGCTGGAGTTTATCAGGAACGGGCTTGCGGAGGGAGTCACTCAGGCATGAAGCTGGTAATGTGGATCTCTCATGAAGACCAGGTAACAGTGTTTGAATGCTCAACCGCATGGGGTATTAACACTATGTCCAGCAGCTGTAGCTGTCATGATACCAATATCAACATATAAAAACGAACTATTTGATGCCGCCATAGGTGAAGTTGTCCCAAATGTCAATACCATTATCGTCAAACATGAACGGAATATCCGGAGGCATTTGCAATGGATCTTGGAAGAGATCGTGATAGCCATTTGGGAAGGACAACTCCCACTCAGATTGAACATTGGCACTGTTCCGCGCAGAATTTTGAGCCTGTCCAAAAGATGAAGCTGGCAGCTGAGTTGAAGATGAGCCGGACGAAGTGGGCGGAAAAGTACTAGCTCTGGCATTTTGAGGTCTTCGAAGCTCGATGGCATCTCGGGCTGCTTTGATGGGTCGCTGCATATGTTGGAGAACGTGCCGAGCCAGGAAAGATCCTTGCGCAAAGGTCTCCATCAGCTTCAGGGCCTTTTGAAACAGAGTGATGGCCGGGCGAGTCAACTCCTCCCCGTTGTTCTGCCTCACAATGATGCAGGTCATGGGGACAAGGGCTCCGACCAGGTGTTGCAGATACGCGTGGCGTGCGCATCGGTTTGTCCTCTGCGATGTGTAGAAGGTCTCTACTACTGAAACGACCTCCCTGGCTATGTCGATGCAGGATTTTGCGACGTCGATTCCATACGTGAGGCTGATCATTTCCTCTCGCCGCAACAGCATCCGGAGATATAGCAGGCGGAGATGTAGCACGAAGCCTTGCTGTTGGATAAAGGCGGGAGCTCCGTCAACGACCTGCTTAGTTCCAGGGCTAGGAGGCCAGCGTAGGGAGATTGGCATGTCTTGCGATAGCTTGACTATCTTGTTATCCATTGTGGTAATGAACTCCTGACTGACTGGCCTCCTAGCTCGAACGCTAAACATTGTTTCCCAAATCTCAGAAGAGAGCTTGGTCAACTTGATGATCTCTAGGAGGCTAGTAACAGGAGAGGTTGAAGGCATTTCCAGGAGGGCAGGGCAGTTCGGGTATAACATACGATCATCGACGCACTTAGGTAGACCAACATTAAAATCTGACTCCCGGAGAAACTCCGGAACACCACGTGTTTGAGCGACGTTATGGTTGAGGCAGAAAACTGACCAGAGAACCCGTTGCCGGTAGGTCCGATCGTAGAATTTGCAGTTATCGCCCCACGACGCTTCATTATGCAGGCCAAACTGGAAGCATAGTCGAACGGTTGTTCCCATCGTATCATAGGCCGAGTTAACGAGACCTACATACATCAGGTACAATGTCTTGATAATCAGAGTCTGAATAGTCAGAATATTGGCTTTTTCTAGCCACGTAGCGTGATTGAGGAGCTTCTCCCCACGACAAAACTCCTTCCAGCCGGGTAGATGCTCACAATGCGCAGACGTGTCGCACAGGACGTTCACTGCTGCCATGATGAAGCTGAGGAGGGCGGCAAGCTGCACAGTGCAGCTCTTCGTGAGGCAGTTCGAGTCATTAGCGACAAAGGCAGAAAATTGTGCCCGTAGATGACCCTCGTTCATGCACGGGTAGTATGGTTGTATGTTAGTAAAGAACATGTCTAGCGACTCGTGTATCTTGATGGGATCCTCAGATCGCGTCTGTTCCACGATCTGATCTATGTCGCGATAGGTGTCGATCATCGTAGCATTCGGCTGGGTTGTTGAGCCTCCGACAAATCCATTGGCGACTGTAGTCTCGGTGCCTTGACTGCGAGACACCACCTTGTTGAGGAGGTCAATCTGTTGGAACAAGGCGTTACCAGATGTGAAATTGGTGTTGCGCTCAAAGACGCTTTCTTGGTGAGACGACTGCTCGCTCTCTATGGTACTGAAGGGAGTTTGACCATGGTTGTTGCCGGAGGTGGTTCCGGCTGGCGACTGTTGTAGCAGTGTTTGTTGGTTATCATGGGGCTGAGTTGTCACTCTTCCTGGCGAGGTCTGAGGATTCCCGGAAGTGTCTTCGGTCTCTTGTGTGCGTAGGGCCACGTTCTCATGGGTTTCAGTCCCTGTGACCTCGTTGCTTGCGCTTGGCCGGGAACTGCTTCCGTTACTAGGCGCGGTGTCCCATGCTGTAGACAGGCTTCTCGGCGGCGGTTCGTTTGCTGCCCTCGAATGTCTCAATCCTCGTGGTTGCGAGAATACACAATCGGTGCCCCAGTGTCGACAATTTCGACAGACATTTTCGCCACTGCATTTCCTCTTTCTGCGCTGACACTCGTTGCAAGCGCGGGATGTGTATTTATCGCGGACTCTGGTTGCACTGGGAAGCATGGTGGCGGATCCTTTCGCAGGCGGTGGAGAGATTACAGCATTGGAAAACGTGGTGCGACTTAGGAGAGAGCTTTTCCCTCTTTACGCATGATTTCCGCCGGGCAAGATTTGGTGGGTTTGCGCCCGTGCGCTCGTACCCCGCATGGAGCTGTCAGGCTGTTGTGGAGGCTTCGGGCCATTAGTCAACGCTAAACGCATTTCGAGTTGAGCTAGTCCCCTTAGTGCGCATTCCTATTGGTCATATTAGTTCGAGTAGCATTCCTTCTCGAGCCATCTCTCTGGGTCGTCCTTCCCGACCTCCCGGACCTTCTCGGGGCTCGATAGCTGAGCTGCAGCCTTCCTGCAGGGTGTGACTCGGCTCCCAGGATAATAAGGGACCGATTAACGAATGAGCATAGCTTCAGCGCGGAAGATGAAACACGCCCTATCCTAGCAGACGTGACATGGGGAGTGAGACCCTGTTTAGTCCGTACCTACTCGTACCAGCGATGAAAGATCACAGCTTGGTTCAGGCTCGGCGCCAGCCCAGGGTGAGACAGTCCGTGCAGCTCACTGCTGCTCCCCCACTAGCACGATGCCAAGCATACCCTTTGTACTTTCTTCAGCCTTGATCGAAACGAAAGATGGATTGCTTGGCTGGTATGTCAACATGCTTCATCGTCTATAGCTTTGGTCTAGAGTTTCCTTGCATCTCCAGGGCATCTCGCTTTGCCCAGTCCCGCATGACCTTTCTCTGGATCTTGCCACTCGCCAGTTTGGGCACCTCGTCGATGAATCTGATGCCGCCAACAAGCTGTTTGTGCTTGGCTACCCTTCCCTTCATCCACTCTTGAATATCGTCGGCCTTGACCTTGCCCTTGTAGTCATCTTTGAGAGTGATGTAGGCTCTCGGCCACTCCTCGTTGTTTAGAGTGATTCCAACCACGGCTACGTCAGCAACAGTCTCGTTCTCCAGGAGAACGGCCTCCAGCTCGGCGGGAGCGACCTGCAGAGCGTTGACCTTGATCAGCTCCTTCTTCCTGTCAACGATCCAGAACCAGTTGTCCTTTACCACCGCGATATCTCCAGTCTTCAGCCATCCTTCACTGTCAAGGATTTCTTTAGTTGCCTCTGCATTCTTCCAGTATCCTAAGCAGACCTGAGGGCCGCGCACAAATATCTCTCCAGGCTGGCCAGGCTCAACTTCCTTGCCGTCATCGTCAAGCAGTCTACACTCAGTGTTCGGATCGAGAAGTCCAACGCTTCCAGAATCGTCGACCCGCCCGCCGGGGACGTGAATGGCGCCACAGGTCAGCTCAGTCATCCCCCAGCCCTGAATGATGTTAACACTAAAACGCTTTGAAACGGCATTCTGCAGCTCTTTTGAAAGCGGTGCCGCGCCACACAGAATATTTTTCAGACTGCTCAAGTCATATTTGGAGGTCTCGGGTCGCTTGTCAAGCATGACTAGAATAGGTGGCGCTGATTGAAGATGGGTGATTCGGAACTGCTCCAAGGCCTTGAGGAAGTCCTCGTACACGAATTTGGCCATGATGTAGACCGGAACACCCAACTTGGGCGCCATGACGCACATGTATAGTTGTCCTATTTTGGTCAGATTTCTGGCTCATCGAGGATAGAACTGACTGACTGACCGTAAGAATGATACAAAGGCAGAAACCCTAGCCATCGCTCCTGGCGTCTGGCAGGGGGAGTATAGGAAGTTTCCAGGTCTCGCATAACTATGGTTTGTTCGCAATTGGCAACGATATTGTAATGGGAAACGCAAACGCCCTTTGGCAATCCAGTCGTTCCAGAAGAATAGTTTATCGTTGCGAGGGTGGTCCTGAATGCTGGACCCATGGGCTCCCAAGCATATTCAGGAGTCGAGACTGCAATCTCTCGCCAATCCTGAATGCCGTGGAGTGAAGTGCAAGGCCGATCCGAGAACTGGAAAACCTGCTCTCTGCTCAAGCCAGCCCTTTGCGCTGCGTCAACCGTCTTCTCTATCAGCGAAGGATGAGCAAAGACGGCTCTGGCTCCGGTGTTTCGGATTTGATACTCGACCTCTGAGACAGTGTAGATAGGGTTTACGCCGCTGAACACTCGTCCAGCACCCACGATGCCCAGATATGCGACCGGGACGAAGATGTGATTGGGGGAGAGTACCATGACTGCTTCTCCCTTTTGGATCTGTAGTTTGTCTAGTAGGGCACCCAATCGTTTGATCCATACCAATGCCTGTCGCGGCGACAAAGAGTTGCTTGGGTCCTTTGCATCGATCCATATTGGCTCATCTGAGGGCTCAGTCCCTTCTGGGAACAAGTACGACAGGATGTTGGCCTCTGGAATGTACAGAGTTGGATAAGGCGACCTGTAGACCATCTTGACTAGCATTCAATAATCATCGTTCGACACAGCGATGCGGCATCAAATCTGTCGTCGCACTTCACTTATAACTGAACCCCAAATTCCGCAGCTCGGGGCTCTACGGGCTTCAACTGGAGATACATTTACGGGCCGAGATCCGAGGCCTCACCCCGGAGCAGCGCCTAAATCGCCTGGCCCGAACGTATTAATTTTGTTGGAGGATCAACAACCTGGAACAAGTATTTCGACACCTGCCATGAATCTCCAGAATCTAGCCTTGAGTCATCTACACAACACACGTCAGTCACCATGTCGGAGTTACCCAACTTCGATAACTTCTTCAACCTGGATGGAAAGGTTGCGTTGGTCACAGGCGGTAAGCGTGGCCTATCGAGGGACAAGGCATTGACACTGACGCGGGATAGGATCTCGTGGTTTGGGGCTTCACGCAGCAACGGCCTTTTTAAGAGCAGGAGCCAAAACAGTGTTTATCACGGCTCGGAAAACGGAGGGTCCCCAGGGCATCAACCAAGCAGTCGAGAAATTGAACGCTCTCCCATATATCGAAGGCAAAGCTATTGGAATCGCCGCAAATGTCGCACAAGAGAAAGAAGTCCAGAAGCTCTGCGAAGAGGTCAAGAAGATCGAGCCAAAGCTTCATATTCTCGTCGCAAATGCTGGAGCAACCTGGGGCGGCCCGTTCGATACAACTCCAGATTGGGCCAACCAAAAGGTTCTTGATTTGAACGTCCGCGGCGTGTTCAATATTGTCAGATCGTGGGTGTGAGTATCTGCCTGGGCGAAATATGGCTGACTTGTGAAACAGATTTGCCCCATTACTTGAAGCCGCTGGTACTCCCGAAGACCCAGCCAGGGTGGTCGTCGTCAGTTCCACCGCCGGAACCAACGTTCATCATGTTGGAGAGCACGGTACTATCATGTACTCCGCATCAAAGGCAGCGGCGCACCATCTGACGCGAAATCTTGCTGTCGAGCTTGGGCCAAGAAACATTACAACAAACACCGTTGCGCCTGGATTTTTCCCTTCCAAGCTAGCTAATGGCTTGATCGAGATCCTCGGTGGTGAGGAAGACTTGAAGAAGAGCAATCCTAGGCAGAGACTCGGTATGCCAGAGGATATTGCTGGAGTGATGCTTTTCCTTACTTCGCCAGTTGCTGGTTACATGTGAGTGATGACACGCTTGGAAACTGATGTCCGCACTAATATATTTCAGAAACGGGGTGGACATAGAGGTTGATGGAGGGGGGAGACTGTCTTCAGGAAGACTCACAAAATTATAGAGCCACCACCTACAGTGTACAATTGACCAGCAACCTTTTCGCCTCGTACAGATCTATCTGTCAGAGTAGTGAAGGGCACTGAAAGAAGCCATAGAGTGGTTAAGCTCAGCCTCGTGTCACCCCTTCAGTGGCTCTTCCAGGCTTCCTCGGCTTGACGGAAATCAGCGGTTAATGTTTTCCTCGGGCGACTCCACTGTGCCATCTATCATTTACTGAGCTTGGCGAGTCCTCCTGTAGCAGGTATACTTCTTCTCCCCAATGGTAGCGACCAGCCCTGGGCCTTTTCGATGGCCAGGCCAAGGCTGTACACCGAAAATCTGCTTGCCACGCGCGATACTAGGGCTCTGATAATGTTCTTGATCCGATACTTCAGCAGCTTCGTAACCGCCCGGATGAGTCTCACAAGCGAAGCCATCGAGAGACGTAAGTGGGGGATACCGAATTCAATCTCTATGAATATGCCAGTGAATTGAACAGTGAAACCAGTTCACCACCGAGTTCTGCGGAGAGCCCTGTTTACATGGCCCACTGGACAACGTCTTCAAAGGATGGAAAGAGCTAGTTGACAAGATGACTTCAATATACGAGTTTCCAGCACCTGATCATTCGGTTGACACGGAAGATGTCTCTCACCATCATTTACGATCCCTTTTATCTCAACTCGTGCCGGGAAAAGAAGTCGCGCTTTAGCTACCGAGGATAGGATATTAAATACTTAAAGAATCGCCTTTAAGCTGGGGAGTTTGTCTTTCGTGATTTGTAGAGGTGGAACAGTGGAATCGAGAGATTGTGGAGAAGCAAAAGTCCCCGGAATCTCCCGCAAATCCGTCGTTCTCTGTCTTCCTATCTCCGCATTTTCCCTGGATGTTGCAGAACTACGCATTTGATTATACAGCATACTCTCTCTCACTGTCAAAGCTAGTGTGGACCTTGGTTGAGATCCTCGGGTCTACATAGGTAAGCCAATGACAGAATCCTACAGGGGCCCTCTCAATACCGCCTCTCCCTGCACATAGCATAAAGGGTTTTCAGGCCTTTTCGAGGAATGTGCCCGTGTGTTCTTGCATTCGACCTTGACTCGGGCCACGATACATTTTCCTTCGCTTAGATAAGACTAGAATTCGGGATCCTTTTCAGATATTTTGGAAGATGTCGACTACGCTCAAACCAATCAAACTTTACACCTCTAGCCGTGGGCCAAAGTAGGCTGCCGCTCCCTTGCTTTCCAAACAATGCAATTACTGAACGCCTTGCGACAGCCCGTGGAAGGTCGCATTCATCTTCGAAGAGCTCGGGCTCCCCGTGGAGTATGAGCCTGTCGAATATAGCAAGGTGAAGGAGGAACCCTACATCAGCGTTAACCCGAATGGCCGTGTTCCTGCCATCCATGATCCAAACACAGGTGTAAGTCCGTTGACCTTGACCTCTTAGTGTGTCGCAAGCATCCGCAGCGTCCCAGATTCGGTCGTTTTGTTGATGCTGAAGGTCCTGGAATAACTCCGAAACTAACAATTTCATGGCCCGCGGTAGTTCACAATCTGGGAGTCCGGCGCATGTACCCAGTATCTGATCGAAGAATACGACAAAGATCACAAAATTTCATACGGAACAAAGCCTGAGAAATATCTGACTGACCAATGGCTTTTCTTTCAAGTTTCAGGACAAGGTGGGCGCAATTTGCTTCTTAGCAGCATCCTTTACAGTTACTCTTGCCCTGACTGCCCTGAGTTTCGTGTTTGATTATTTTCACTTCAAGACGCTTATACAAAATTGACAAAACCCTTACAGGCCCATACTTTGGTCAAATGGCCTGGTTCAAATTTTACCACTTTGAAGAGCTGCCAAGTGCGATCGAGAGATATCAAAAGGAGATCCAGCGAGTCGTTTCGGTCATCGACCTGCACTTGACAAGGACTGGAATGCCGTATCTTGTTGGCGACAAGTGTACTTACGCGGATTTGAGCTTCGTAACCTGGGCTGAGGTTGCGGAGTTGCTGGAGGTGGACCTTTATGAAGGTGGGAAGAACCAAAAGTACAAAGCTTGGATGGAGAACCTCAAAGAGCGAGAAGCTGTCAAGAAGATCCTGGAACTGTACAGAACACCGCAGGGTGCTGTTAGAACACCGGCCAAGTGGGTGGGAAATTCTGAGGAATGAGTATATACCCCGTGGAAGGCTACACCTTCGGTGCCTTAGTGAGACCCTCGAAGATTCGCAGCAATGTTCAAACTATGTCTGGTTTCTCTGAAGCTCCTTTTGTCCATAAATTAACTAACGAGGAGCCTGGATAACTTGTCAATGCTACGGGAGGGCAAAGAAAGCTGGCACAGTCTCTGAGCACAGGACTAGCACTGGGAGCATCGTGCTCTCAGAGCTTAAGAGGCCTATCCAAGGACGCTCCTGCCAACGAAGAGCAAAGGCGTAGTTTTAGAAGGCACGCCAAAGACTTTTTCTTGCCTTTACAGTGAGAAAAGTGTCCATTTGACTTAATAGAATGCCTGTAGTAGCTAGTGCATTACTTTCTCACAGTAAATTGTGTTCTGTTCTGATCATGCTTGTGGATTGAGCAAAGGTCACAGCTCGAGTGTGGGACTACGAGACATTATTGTGATTACTTTTTCACAACTAAAACTTCACGTAGCACGTACTCAAATAGGTATCAACGAACATGGCATGGCCACTGAGAAGGAAAATGTGGCTGTCTTCCCTACCAGACATTGAGTCACTCAATCTCGTACTTTGACAAAACGGTACCTTTGCCTGGCGGCAGGGAGCGATCTGTCTTTCTTAGCAGCCGCCGTAACGTTTTTCAAAGATTTTTTTCGCTGCGTTTCCCAACTGCCAAACCTGTTCATGAAGGACCGTACGTCTTCGATCAACCTTTGTCGGATATATTGGACTTCGATCTGGGGTAGCCACACCCGATGATCAGGCGGACGTGGAAATTACCTTGGCCAACAACCACACCGGTTTTGGAGCCCGATGGCCTTGGTCTCATATTTTCTGAGACAGGGGTTACAGTATGCTCTCATTTGAAAGCAACATGATAGTCGCGATTCGACCGAGTAAGGCCCAGAAGTTGGGATCTTCGGGTCTCGAATGGAAGATCTCGCGTTTCCGTTCCCAGGAAGAGGGAAGAATTGGCTAGGGCAGGCCGAGTTCTCGCTAAATTCCAGGCTTCCAACCTCCTCTCGACCTTCTTACTTTTTTCGGCAGACACGGAAAGATGGGAAGAGAGTCTCGATTATCGACGTAGTGTGGAATCTGTCCTAAGCCTTTCCAGCCCCTCGCAAGGTGAAGGGGTATGAGAATCAGGACCACGATGAAGTTGCTCTCCACCAAAGTGTTTCGAAGATGCTAAGAGTCATTCCTGATCCTTCTCATCTGTGACGTTAAGCCGTAGAGACGTGAAAATAGCTGCATCCGAGCCATAATTATTCACTTTGATGGTGCTCAGCTGCACAGAGGCAAGAAGGAGCAAGCCTCGACGGCACCTCCACAGAAACTTGAAATACATCAAACAACGCCAAGACCCGCGTATCTTCCCGTGCAGTGGGCACGCGATCCGGCCTGCCGTGTGCTCTGATTGGGCTGTTTGAAATGCCACGTGGATTGCTTAACTCTATTTGCGTCTCTACGTTCTGATTGGTCCATTCCGGGTGGGGGGGCCAGCTTTGGAGGCGACGCCTGATCAGTTTGACTCGCAGTCGCCCACAAGTGTGAGGCCTACATCGTCGTCGCAGTCACGGAGTTGCAAAATGGTGGGTGACGTTCGCTGTTCTCAGGGCATCGGCGTTGCTTGCTCGGAGATGTAGAGTCGTTTTCATGTTTTCTCTACGGGTACTCACAACGTTTTCCACGTCGCCATCCCTGGGATGAACAAACCATGCGCCGGGAGGTATACCTCTATGTTACAATCTGGGAACTGCTGTGGTATCCTTGGGCGGGACATATTCCCACTCAAACTCTCCGTCTGGGTTCTCTATTCCCCACTGCTTTCTCAACTCCCTCGCCCTCTCAACGTAATCTTGATGTCGTTTCCTGACGCCGTCGAACTGCTTCAGCTGATCTCGGCCGACTTGATGTCGGTGTGCGGCGTCAGGCCCGTCGGCAACCCGGACGAAGCGAGCATAGGTCCAGATCTCAGGGAGCGGCGTGTGCTGGGTCAGGCCTTGACCGCCATAGATCTGCATGCACTCGTCGATGATCTTGGTCGCCGCGACTGGCACGAGGATCTTCGACTGTGCAATCACATATCGCCCGGCCTTGTTGCCGCGGTCGTCCATGGTGTCCGCGGCATTGAGAACAACGAGGCGCATGGCATCAATCTCCAGCCTCATACTGGCCAGCCGCTCAATGTTGCTGTCAAACTGGCCAATGAACTTGCCGCGGGGCTTCTTCCGTGGATCTCGGCACCGGAGCAGCGCCAGTTCGTACGCCCGCTCGCACTGTCCGATCAGACGCATGCAATGATGAATACGGCCAGGCCCAAGTCTGCCTTGGGCGATTTCAAAGGCGCGGCCCTCACCCAAGATCACATTTTCCTTCGGTACGCGTACGTTTTGATAGAGGTATTCGCCGTGGCCATCAGGCGCGTGATCGTAGCCCATGATGGTCAGGTTGCGCTTCATGATAAGGCCGGGCGAGTCGCTGGGGACTAGAATAGTCGTGTGCCGTCTCCAAGGGTCCGGATTGTCTGGGTCGGAGCATGCCATCAAGATATATAATTTCATCTCCTCGTTCCACTGCGCGTTGCCGTACAGTTTACGTCCATTGATGACGTACTCGTCGCCGTCGCGTGTTATGCGGCAGCCGATGTTGGTCGCATCGGAGGACGCCCGGTCGGGCTCAGTCATGGAATACGCGGACGAGAAATCGCCATTCATGAGGGGCTTGAGCCACTTCTCCTTCTGAGCGTCGGTGCAGTATTTGGCGAGCAGCTCGATATTGCCCGTCTCGGGCGCGTGGCAGTTCATCGTCTGGGCAGCCCAGTAAGTCCGGCCCATGATCTCAGCGCAGCACGAATACTCGAGATTAGTGAGTCCCGGTGATTCTTTGAAATGGTTGGGCAGGAAAATGTTCCACAAACCCTGCGATTTGGCCTTTTTGCGGAGCTGGTGCATCAACGGAGGCGTCTTCCATCGATCCTTGGTCACTTGAGCTTTCATAATCTGCTCTGCAGGAATGCATTCTGTCTCCACCCACTGATAGACTCGTTGGATGAGATCGACGGCTTGGGGGCGGAGTTTGGACAACACCCAGGGAGGATATCGGTTGAAAGGGGCCTGGTCAGCCAGCGCGGAGTTGGAAGACGCAGCCATCTTCAAATTTGTGGCTCACAATCGCGAAAAGAAACCAAAATCAAAAAATCTGAAGCACGACTATGTTGTCATCGGGTATATACTTGATGCGTGGTTGATCGGAAGTGTTTATCCAGTCCTTCGGGCCAAGAGCTGCCACTGGCCGAGGCTCATTGGGGTGCCTTGGATGCACTGACTCAGGGTGCAATGTCATTGTGGGTGCACCCTATTCATGACACTGCATGCCATGACCATGATCAGAGCAGGGAAAGGTGATGAACCTGCTAAACCTCCAAGGTGGGAAGAGCGAAGGCTGGTCGTAACGCCAGGCTCCGCTGGGTGACCTTGAGCAAGCGTAGCAAAGAGGATACCGAAATGCTCAAGACTTAGCTGGCGAAACGTGCTAATCGTGCTCTGCACATCACTCATGTACAGAAGCAGATAGGCTGCTCGAGATGGCCCCTGACGATTTCTGAGGGCCGTAGTCATCTGTGTTGCGAAGTTCAATCACACAGTTCCAGCACAAGAATTCGAGAAGACGCGACAAGAGTGTTTCGTTGACATTGACGTCATGCGCCCTGGCCCCGGCAATCGGGTGCTTCGTGTTAGGCGCATTATCAACAAAATCAGCTCCGAAATTTGGATAATGTGCTCCCCCGGGCTGCTCTATAGGTACCAAGGGTTACCTGGCGGACGGGGGCAATGCTGGCGGCGACATGCCGATGAGTGAGGTGATCAATCTACTGACGTACGGAAAACATATGGCACTGAACATCGTGCTCTATGCCGGCATTCCCACTCGACGTGGTGATAAGATAATGACCCGAGGGAGAATGAGAAATGAGGAATCACACACAAACAGGATTGACTGATTTCCTCTTTTGGTCAGCGCGACAGTGCAGGACCAAGCACGAGATTCCGAGTTAGTTGGCTTGTTTTCCACCAAGCGCATCATGGCACCTTCATTGCAGCACACGTTGAAATCCGATATCATTCGTTCTACGGGACAAAGACGACCAGCCAAACGTACAGCATGATCACAACCTGGCGCCGCCTTTCCTGCCCGGCGCCAACTGACCTAACGCGGCATCTCGACGTGATATCTGTTCAGTATGCCTGGCAGCCTCTTCCATGCGTCTTTCATCGTTGCTATAGAGTCTGTGGCGTAGTAAGCTGTGTCCCGAAACTGTGACTCAATGGAGGAATATGATGAATTCTACAGGGTCCTGGGGCCCGTCTGACTATAAACGTTCGAGTAATTAACAAAGGGGTCTTGACACTAGTAATAGGCCTGTGGCCGAAGACTAGCGCGGACAGTCATTACATCTCTTGGCGTTCCTGTCAGGCACACTGCCAGTCACAAAACCATCTCACCGCGTCTTGCACCTCGGGCTCCAAAATTCCTTTGGCCCTAAAAGAGCTGCCATTGAACCTTGACGAGATCGCCCTAAACTCTCTCGCTTCATTCCAAAACGTCTTTACATGTACCACCTTTGCGGATGCACAAGCAGCTTTCTCACGCGCCATATCGATGTTGTCTTCCTTCTCAATCGTGGCCAGCCACTCTTCTATTGCGGTAGGTCGATCTCCAACGCCAGGAAAATGCACCAATAGGTCACCAGTCTGCACATCCCCCGGGTAGCCGTTGATCCAACGCTTTGGCACGAAGACAACGTGGTCTCTGTACTCGGTCTCGTTGAAGACCAATTCCATGGCTCTTTGATCGGGCCACCATTTTCGGCAAATCGATGTGTGGATGGGTCATAGAATACGCCATGATTTTGGCCATGTAGTATGCTGTCAGCAGTGAGACTCGGAACAGGAAGACTCCACTGTTAAGGCCGTTGTGATCTTTGGTGCAGATGAATTGAATCTGAGACATATTTTCCGGTGGCAAGAACGTCTCCAGTCCCGCAGAAGGGTTGAGGATGAGGGAGTCGGCATCAAACCATAGCAACCATCTCAATCGTTGTTCTTCCGGCTCGGCCAGTTCCTCCACCAATGTCCAGTGCATGAAGTAGATTTTGTCCCAGAAATTGTGAATCGTCGGCTTTTGAAGGAGAAACAGTGGATAGCCGCGGAGGTCGGCATGATCTTGGTGTGACCGCAGTGCTCTTTGAAATGCTAGCTTGTCTACAATGTCTCCCCAAAGCATGGAGATCTTTCCGATCGAGTGATAGAAGCCGCAATCTGTGCAGCTAGTTCCCTTCATCCGCGGCCGGGACCGAAGAAATGAGCCAATATCCTCTAGCTGAGTGGCGTATACGGTGATACCTTGCACAGTAACGCACAGCAGATCCTGGCAAAATAGACCACCTCATCTACGGCGCTTTGTCAACAAATGCGAGGATAAGATAAAGAGGCCAGAAGATTGACGTTTGAGGCAAGGTGGGATGATGCTTTTCAAGATCCTCGATCATGTTTGCGTGTGGAGAGGCGTGGCATCGCCTACATCGCAAAACTTTCTGACTTTATTCAACCATGTCGATCAACAGTACCTCATCATTGTCGGGCAAGCCACCGGTGTACGCAATCCATTTCAAATTGCCGACTTCCAAGGTGCGATTGCCATTCAGTACGTCTCTACCACCCCGTGGTATCTTCTCTCGGCGTCTCGGCTTCCTAAGTCTCCATCCTTTGTGCAGCATCCATGGCGGTCAGCTTCACCCAACATGTCTTCCAACTAGGCTTGAGCTGCCGATGTGAGGAATGGCACTCTCGGCGGTGGTATGTTGACGATGTCCATCTTTGATCCGCTTGGCGGCAGCATAATAATACTGTGTACAAATATAAATTTGGTATCCTTAATTAAAGCAAGAAAATTCTACCAATGAAACTTCGGCTGATGTGTCTGCGGTCATGTGAGAACGCGTTGTGATCTTAAGTGGATTGACTCGTATACTAAGACCGTCGAAGACGAAGGATATTACCTGGAAGATGAGATCCGCCGAGGAAGGGTTTGGTCGCTCAGCTTGGCCGATAGAGAAGTCCTTCGCAAGCATGGCTGAGATTGTTCTCAATCCGCTCGATCTGATGATAGCTTGCTTTACCTAAGGAGAGCTGACCCCGAGGGACTGGCCTCGTCTTTGGGGGAATCGTGTCTGGAGAAGTGGAATAATGTGGTCGACCTGTAGCTGGATTGTAGCAAGACGCTGCTGTACCCTGAAAGTCGATCTATAAATTGGAATATTGTATATAGCGTTAGGCTGGGCAGGACCATGATTAGGGGACTGATCATTCCGCACTCTTCGACCAAGGTAACCCGAAATTGCAGGAGCCGAGCACCAACTGGTCAAGGTCGAAAGATGTGCAATCCGAATCCCATCGAGAAACAGAACACAGCAGACTCGGGCAGAACCGCACAGTTTCTTGCTGTCAGCTTTTGGAAGATTGTTTGTTGTCAATCTCTTGGCTTGTGGTCTCCATTGAAGGTCTGGCAGTCTTGAGCAGAAGCATCGCGATCAAAGAGTCTGGTGATTGTCGAGGAGTGCTGGGCGAAGATTTGAGAGACGCGTGAAGGCCCAGAGAGACTAAGCAAACTCTGCGGACCGAGCTGGAAGATTCATGTGCGACACGGAAATCAATTGCTCCTGGAGCGCAATGCGACGTCCAGTCATTCTGCAATTCGCAGCTCGGCAAAGGCGGGGCTACTAGGTATGAAATCACGTTCTTCACATGGTGTTTCGAGCCATCTCCTGAAACACACCAGATTCTTGTGTGTCGCTGTGAGAGAGGAGCGGCGTTTGCAGGAGGATCGTGGAATCTGGAAAGTCATCGTCTTTGAGTGTTCGCGGGACGACATGCGGAGTTGTTCAGGATATCAAAATGGCTTGTAGCGTAAAGCGTATTCAAAATGTGGACTTGTCGTAGCATGGAAGGAAGCGTGGGACGGTGTGGTGGTGTTCAACATGCGCTGAATGATTGAGGTTTCGAAGGTCGTGAGCGGAAGCACGAGGAGGCGGAGGAGATGAATCGACGAGCGCTGGCGGGAAGGGAGAAGGTACTGGGAGTGGATCATCCCTTCACGCTGACGAGCGTCTACAAGCTTGCCTACCTACTCGATGCCACTATACAACAACTTTGGCGTTTTCCAAAGGCTTCGCCGTGTCTACAAGCAGAGACACGAAGCATTCGAGAAGGTGAGCTTTGGTTCCTTTGATTGCGAAGAGCGTGCGGTAAAAGTCCAGGCAAAAAACCACACCTGATAATTAACACATGGTTTGAAAGAAGGCAACAGCACTAAGGGATTCCGCCATATTGCGTTGTGCCAAAAATGGCCGCCCGCCTTTGTACATAGAAGAGGATTAGGGTCGAAAAGACCGAAGTGAAAGGATTCTGTCTCAATCATTGACTCGTCTTCCAAGTGAGTGATATTCAGAAAGAATCATCTCAAAGCCAGCCTCTTTCCCACTTGGCTGTACTCGTACTGAACCTTGACCCTTCATTCTGGTTCTGCGTAACCGAATCTTTGAAGCTCGGTCGCTCCGATCTTGCGGCAAGTTGACAGAGATTGACAAGTACTGCTGGAAACAGCCCCGCTGTGATGCGAGAGAAACACCAACTCCCGTGACTCCGAAGTAATGTGTATGTGTTGTGTTTGTGGTGGATCATTCTGTTCCGACTTTTTCAGTTTCGGCATCTCAGGACGAAGCCATTTGACCATCGGGTATGACTTTCCCAAGACACATATCAAGCGCTCCTCGTTTCGCCCACGCGGTCTACCAAAACCAGGCCCGATACTGTAGTAGTGTGGTCTGTTACGAATCTGCACAAGGCACAGGAGGGTGTGACATCAATAGGCACAGTAGTGAGAAAAAGCTACCTAGTCAAGAGAGCCTAAGTACGGGGACGAATGGGTACAATAATAGTGCAACCGGCACTTGATATCCTTAGAGCGCAAGCACTAATCCCAATTGGGTCAATGCCCCCGGCATTCGTCGCGATTGCCGTACTCGGGAGCCTGGACTTCCCTACGGTAGGTAGGCAACCAATCCATACGAAATTCCACCTGCTCGCTTTCCACCTGCTCACTTTCCACCTGCTCGCTGTCCACCTGCTCGCTGTCCACCTGCTCGCTTTCCACCTGCTCGCTTTCCACCTGCTCGCTTTCCACCTGCTCGCTTTCCACCTGCTCGCTTTCCACCTGCTTACCTTTCCAGCCTGGAACACTCCCCGACTCCAAGCTTTCTCCAACCTGCGCTTATCTACCACTTAGCCGGAGAGCACTATTACAACCTTATACACCACTTACGCCCTAGCCATACGACACAACGTCAGCCCGTGAGGACTCTATGTTTTGCTTTTCTTTAATTCGTTCGGTGGACGGGGCTACTTTCCACTGACCACGAACTTCTCCGAGCAGGATCCTCTCTCATAGCTCTCAAGTTACTTAGTTCGCAAACTTTACTCGATTGATCATGGCATCGGCCGAGGATGTGGGCAATTCAGAGGTCGGGATCCTACATTTAGAAGTGTCACACAATAGCATCGACAGGAGAAAAAACAGAGCGGTGCCGATGACAAGGACTCTCGTGGCTTCATGGTCACTGCGGACACGATTTCCCAGGGCAAAGCTTTGGGGACGAAGAAGGTCAACGGCGGACAAGGGAAAATAGGAGGTTGACGAGGGTCCTCCGGAGAGGGAATGAGGCCTCCTACTTGGCTTTCGGGTGCTTTCTGCCTGGCTTTCGGCTTCCCGTCCGTTCCACTTTTCCATCCCTCTCGCTTGTCGACCGATTCTGCTCGTTTCCACCGGGGTTCGTCCTGGGGAACCCCCTTCTCCAAGGTAGCCTGAGGCCTATCTTTTGGCGGGGCGGGCTAGACCTTTCTCCTTTGACGCCTATCTTTGGCGGAGCGGGCTAGATCTTTCTCCGCTCCCCGGGCAAGTTATCCTCCATCCTTTCCCCAGATTCGCTTAAAACGTTACTGTGACATCGAGACATTTGCTCGCCCTCTCTCCTCTTTCCTCCAAGTCCCTCTTCTTTGCTCTCTCTCACCTGGAGTCGAGTGTCTGAATCATAAGCCAGAGGCCTTCAGAAGAACCATCCAAACTTTGGTGGTGCTGTCACCGACATATCACAATGGCTGAGAAGATCTTCCCTCACGAACTCACGGAAATCGACCACGATGAGACGGTCACCAAAAAGGAGTCGAACCCCCACGAGACCATCACCGTGTCCGATGTCAAGGGCAAGCGACACTTCAGTGCCTACATGGTCATTAGCGTCGTCATCGTTCTTTTTGGATCTCTCAGCTACTCTTTCAGTGCCGGCGTCATTGGAACGACCATTGGACAACCCTCCTTTTCTAAGTACATGGGACTGGACAATAACCCGAACGCTAGTGCAATCCTCGGCGCTACTGCTTCCCTCTTCTATGTTGGAGGCGTCTTCGGCTCTATCTTCAGCAATGTCGTCAGCGATCGCTGGGGTCGAAAGGCCTCTATATACACTGGCTGTATTATGGTCCTCTGCTCGGGAGCACTTTGCGCCGGCTCCGTCAACATCGCCATGTTTATTGTCTTCCGATTTGTAGCTGGATTCGGCGGCTTTATGCTTTCAATGGTGGTCCCCGTGTGGATTTTGGAGGTTGCACCAGCCGAGGTCCGCGGAGCATTTGCCCAAGGTCACGCTGGAGTACTCTCGTTAGGCTATCTTCTCGCCAACTATGTGGGGGTAGGGTTCTACCTGAATCTCCCTCTTACTACTGTGAATGCCTGGCGAGGACCTCAGGCGATCAGCTGTCTTCCACCGATCCTTTGTCTCGCCGGGCTCTGGTATATTCCTGAATCTCCACGGTACCTCTTTATGAAAGAACGGGATTCCGAAGCCCGGGGTATTCTCTTCAAGATCCACAAGTCACCTGGAGATGACTTTATTTACTCAGAGATCGAGGAGTTCCAGATCCGGAAGCAAATCGAACTGGATCGCATGCTACCCTCTTCCTGGCTATATATGATCAAAAAGCCATCGAACCGGAAGAGGATGTGGATGACAATCTTTATCGGCTTCGGTATCTTATCAAACGGCAATATCGTCCTCTCTACCTACTGTACTATTATCATGAAAAGTTTAGGGTTCGATGCGACAAAACAACTTCTTATTCAAGCTGGAATCTTTGCCGCCACTATCTCAGGTCCCTTTATCGCCATCCTTTATGTCGAAAAGTTTAGGCGCCCAACCCTTGTCGCTACCGGGCTGACTCTGGACCTTATCTTTCTCTTGATCTTCGTGGCCCTCTTTGCCAGCTTTGTCAACGGTACAAACAGAGCTGCTCAGATTACTTGTGTCGCCCTTGTTTATATGTTTGAGGTTACTTTTAACCTCTTCATCGAAGGGCCACTAGCATACTGGGCCACTGAATTCTATCCGACCAACCTACGTGCTAAAGGTGCGACAATACAGACAGTGACCTTTGCCTGCACAGCCACTCTATGGGGCCAATCTGCTCCATCAGGAATCACCAATATTGGATGGAAGTTCTTCCTCTGCTTCATCGCGATTTCTGTCGTCGTTATCATTGCTCTTTACTTCTACTTTCCCGACACTCAAGGCAAGACTCTGGAGGAAGTGGCTCTTTTATTTGGCGACGACGACCTTGTGGTTGTCCGCCAAAGTGATATCCAGCTTGACAGCCACCATCGGATTATTGCCAAACAGCAGAACGGAGAGGAAATCGTGGAGGACGTTGTTATCAAGAAGGACGCATAGGTCTTGGCTGGTTCAGTTTCAAGAAGGCCAAGGTACGGGCATATGGTGAAACGGTTTCTACGATTGGAGAAGTGGTGTCACGGAGAGTGCCGTACGGAGAGTGCATAGGAGTAGGGATGTTGTTTTGGAGCCGACTGTTTTCATTGCTCCGGCCAGCACTCAAGGTGCGCCAGCTTCTCTATCTCGAATATAGACCCGCCGTCAGGCGTAAAATGAATGTACAAGTTGTTATTATATTGGCAGCGTGAATTCCACAGAAGAGAGCCCTTGATTGAGGCAAACAGCGAACAATTTGCAGCAAAACTTTCAAGGAATGCTCCACAGCCACGGCCAGGCCTTAGGGCGAGGCTGTATCGGACAAGGCTGTAGCAGTTGGGTTTGTTGACAGTGGTATTGAAACCATTGCCCTTTTCGAGGCATTGCTGCCACACCGTGCCGCACAGGAAGATCTTTGACTACAGGACCATGGGTGTTCGGCCCACTGCCTTTGGGACCCTTCTGCAACGTCTGGTTTGCGTCTAACCATGACCTAAACTCGGACCAGCTTCTGCAGCGACATTGTACGACGATCTCCGTGAACGTGGCTTAGGCGGCCTGATGACGGGGCCATTGAATTTTGCACAACGTTTACAACACCAACAGCCGATTGTACGATGTAATAGCATTGATCCTCAGAGGTATCTCGGACCAAAATGCAAAGGTTTGAAGAGTATACTTTGAGAATCAGATCGGCGCAACCAACCAGGAAGCTAATTCTGCAAGTGGTACCAGTACTATCACCTGGACTTCGCAGATATCTCAGATACAATGGTTGTAGTACAGAAAAGGACGGCGTCCGGACCATGGAGGGGATAACAAGTCGTCAGCCACCAAGCACCCAGGACTCCGTCCTACTACAGTAAGTCGCGGCCCGCAGAAATGAATTCTTACTGCAGCTGCACCTTGACGAGGTCGAACTGCGACAGGCAGAATCTACACAGATCGGTCAAGCTTGATCATAGTGTCTGCAATCAGAACGGTACTGTACAGCAGTTTTACGCGACCATCGGCACAAGATCCTAACAGAACCTATACTCTGGAGAACTAACAGCGATGGCACGAGCGCTGAGCTTATTACCACGGATCAGGTTTCGCAAAATCGCGGTACTGATAAGTAACAAGGTAGCGGTACTCTCACTTAGACAACCGCAGCAACAGTCTGGGCAAGGGTATATCTGTCGTATCTACAGGTCCATCAGACAGCTACGGAGAGAGGGCAATGTGGTGACTGTCATATGGACCCCAGTGTATGACGAAAACAAGCTGAAGAAGATCGCCAAAGTAAAAGCACAAAAGGCAACCGGTCCAGAGGCCCGACCACAAACGCAACGACCAGGGATGAAGTCAACCATGCTCAATGGCGCACGGTCCAAATGTGACACTACCAGAAATCTGCTAGAAAAGGTCGGAAAAATCCAAGAGAATCGACACAGCGCTACCAGGCAAGCATACAAGGCGGCTATACGAGGGACTTTCATGGAATGAAGCGAGCGTGCTTGCCCAACTTAGGATAGGTATGGTAAGACTGAATAAGTATCTTCACCGTATCAACGCTGCTCCGACAGATCTCTGCGCATGCGGACACGTGAGAGAGACAGTTGAGCATTTTCTTTTCCGATGCACCAAATGGACGGCATTCCGAACAGAGATGCTATAATGTACAGAAACCCACAGAAATAAAATATCGTTCTACCTGGGCGGGAAGACACCAACAGATGACAAGTCCTGGACTCCAAACCTGACAGCAGTCCGGGCCACGATACCGTTTGCCATCGCAACAGGACGACTTGATAACACCACCTGACGAATCCACCATCCCCCTCTCACCATCATTTCCGATCCCCTACATTTCGACTCATGCCGGGAAAGCAGGCGCGCTTCAGCTGTCGAGGATAGGATTCCGAACACTTAGAGAATCGCCTTCAAGCTAGACTACTACGGTAAGATTACTAATACGAGACTCCGTAAAGACGTAGTAAGCGAGTAAGCCTATATAGCGAAGAGGAGATATATATTGCATAGGCTTTAAGGAGACTAGGGTATACCTTGAGAAATGTATTAGTAGATCAGCTTTAGCTTACACTTTCGGCTTCGCCGCCGGGCGTAATAAATTGTGTGTGTGTGTGTGTGTGTGTGTGTGTGTGTGTAGTAGTTTCTCACGTTGGTCCAAGGCAGAAGCGGAACCATTTTGGCGGAATTCCTGAGGCTGAGGCTGTGAATACGGGGACCAGTATGGAAGATGTTTTCCTGCCCAGATACCGTGCAGTACCTTGCATTTGCCCGATATCCTGCGTTTGCCCGATCTCCTGCATTTGCCCGATGTTGTTCACAAGGCAGACCATGGTGCAGGACAATGGATTCCCGCAACCAACATCAAAAGGCTGGTGTGCTATGCAAGAATACTACGGTAATGTCCTCAGAGTCCTCCTTATCGTCCCTCTTTGGACAAATCTATCCCACTTGACAATATGCCTTCTGCGACAGGAAAGCTGCCCATTGGCGAACGGGTCCTGCCCGCCCTCATCGACGAGTATGCTCGCGACGAGCCAGACAAATGCGTCGCCGTCGTGCCGGAAGACGCCACGATGGAAAATTGGTACAACGTGACATATCGCGAAGTGCAGCAAGTTATGGACAAACTTGCTTGGGACATTGACCGGCAAATTGGACGCAGTGAAACATTTGAGACCGTGGTGTATGTGGGCGCCAACGACGTTAGGAACATGTGCTTCTGGGCCGCGGCGATGAAATGCGGCTACTGTGTATGTAGTCACCGTCCAGCTTATTTAGTTATTCCTCGAAAAGAAGCCCATAAGAGTGGCTCGACCGCTGGTATCCCAAATCGCATCGCTACAGGTAACTGGGTAATTTAACGCTGACGAACAACAGATCATGGCCATCTCGCCACGCAACACAGCGGGAGAGCAACGCTTCTTGCTCGAGACGACAAACTGCCACCAGCTGTTCTACAGCAGCGAAATGGCAGGGAAGGTCGAGGAAATCAAGAAGGCTTTGGGCTCCTGGAGATTGAAGACATTCCTGGTGCCGACCTATGCCGATCTCGTGGCTGCCGGCGCATCGAGTGATGCGAAGCCGTATCCCTTTACCAAAACCTACCGGGAGTTGGCAGACAAACCCGCCTTCATCTTTCACACGTCTGGCACCACAGGCATGCCCAAGCCTATCACGCTCGTCCACTTTTATTTCGCCTCGTTGGACGGCGTGAAGCTCCTGCCGGTGCCCGAGGGCCACAAGGCCGCAGACTGGTCAGTATTGAAATCGGGGGACCTCTATTTCAACGGCTTCCCCGCTTACCACCCTGCGGGTGCTCACTACACATGTTGGTGCGCCATCCATACGGCCTCTGCATTTGTCTCGCTTCCTCATGAGACCCCTTTGAGCGAAGACGCCTTCTTGAAAGTGTTGCGGCAATTTGAATTCGAAGTCGCCTTCCTGCCACCGTCTTTCATCGAGGATATTGCCCACGCGCCCGATGTTCTCAACGCGCTCTCTCGCGTTAAGTATCTCTTTAGCATGGCCGGTCCGCTGGGAACCGCCTCAGGAGATATAGTGAGCAAGCATACAACGCTTCTCCAGCTCATCGGGTCCACCGAAACAGGACTTATTCCTGGCTTGGTGCCGAAAAATTGGAGAGGTTTCACACAGAACCCCTACTATGGCGACGAGTGAGTCTCGTTTCCATCCTTCTTTTGTCTCTACCCGCTATCTTGAACCACCTTTTGGGTTTGTCGCGGGGCTGATTTTGGATTTTGACAACAGGATGGAACTAATCGAGGGGACCGAGACGTATGAGAGGGTCCTCAGAAGAAATCCGAAGTTTGAGAAATACCAAGCAGTATGGTCCACGTTTCCCGATCGAACGGAATTCCGGACACGAGATCTGTTCAAGAGAGATTCAGAGGACCTCAGTCTCTGGGTTTTTGCAGGTCGGACCGACGACGTTATCGTCCTCTCGAATGGAGAAAAGGTTCAGCCCATCTCTCTACAAACCCAGATTCAAGACCATCCTCTCCTGAGGTCGGCCGTGGTTGTCGGCCAAGGTAGATTCCAAGTTGCCCTGATCATCGAACCCGACTGGCAAAAATGGGACCCCAGTCTGCCCGACCAGGAGCTGATCGATGAAGTGTGGCCCACGGTCGAGAAGGCTTGCCAGTCCGTCACGGCGGTAGGAAAGATTTTCAAAAACATGATCATGGTCTCGAAGAAAGACAAGCCTTTTCCCCGCGCCGGAAAAGGTACCGTTCAGACGGCAAAGACCGTCGTCTTGTACAAGGATGAAATTGAGGATCTCTATGCCAATAGTGATAAGGTCGAGAACGCCATATCGTTGCCGGACCTGGTCAATCAGTCAGCGATAAAAGAGTTTGTCCGGCAGATTGTGTCATCATTTCTGGACGTCGATGATCTGCAGGACGACGACCACCTCTTCTCTCGCGGGCTGGACTCGCTACAAACCTTGGGCATGGCGAAGATGCTACGTTCCGGAATCGAACCTAAACTCAATGGTGCGGTCAAGAATGGGAAGCCCATTTTGACGCCCAGGACTATCTATCAGAACCCATCAATCACTGCGCTCACAACCCTGTTGATCACTCTCCTGACAAGCGCGGTGGCTCTTGACTCGAATGAGGCCAGCTCGCAGTTAGGGAACGTGCTACGAGAGACACAGATAGAGTCCATGGTACAGCGGTATACCAGCGATACCATACCCAAAACAAAGAGGAATCCAGCCCGCGGGAGACAAGATGGTCTGCACGTCATCATCACAGGCACTACCGGCTCTCTTGGGCCACACCTTCTACACAGTGTGCTGTCCGACTCTCGAGTGTCCAAGGTATACTGCTTCAACCGCTCATCCGATGCGCGGCAGAGGACGGAGCAGAGTTTCCAGACACAGAAACTGTTAAATTTGGGTCCCAAGACGGAGTTCTTGGTGGTAAAATTCGGTGCCAATGACTTTGGCTTGGACAATTCTAAGTATCAGGAGCTGCTGGAGAATGTGGACCTCATATTCCACAACGCATGGGCCGTGAACTTTAACTACATGCTGGAGACATTTGAACAGACATTCGTCAAGTCTGTCAGCGACTTCAAGGATCTCAGCCTGCGAAGCGTCCATGGTGCGCATGTGTTTTTCGTCTCATCGATCGGAACGGTGGGAGGCTGGAGGCCATCCCCGGACCGGAATACTAAGACAGAACGGATCACAGTACCCGAGTCCGTCATGTACAACGGGTCTGCCGCGATCCAGACAGGCTATGCTGAGAGCAAGCACGTCTCGGAGCGCGTCTTGGCCTTCGCGGCGGAAAATCTTGGTGTGCCCGTGAGTATCGCCAGACTGGGACAGATTGCGGGACCAACCACACCTCACGGCAAGTGGAATGACGCAGAGTGGCTGCCGAGAATCATCAAGACGTCCAAAGCAATCGGCAAGATTCCTTCGACGCTGGAGGCCATTCTGGGAGACGGTATCGACTGGATCCCCGTCGATCTCATAGCCGCCGCTTGCACTGAGCTAGGCTTCAAACGACTCGCCACTCAGGACACTGAGCCTCTGGACGTATTCCACCTCGAGAATCCGAATCTGTCACAGTGGCAGGACCTTCTTCCTGCTCTCCAGAAATACTTCGCTGCTAAAGACAGCCCGGCAGAAATCGTCCCTTACAACGACTGGCTGGACGCGATCCAACAATATGTCAACGACACAGGTGCCACCGCTGTTGATCTGCCGGTTTTGTCCATATGGGATTTCTACCAAGGGGCGAGAGACGCGCCGCAGCGTGTGAGGCCGGCAACCTCAAACACACAAGCAAAGTCGAAGGTCATCGCCAACCTCGAGCCGATCGGTCCTGAATCCATGGCCACTTGGCTAAAGCAATGGAGGTATTAAGCAAAGTTTGACAGATTTACAATGAGCTTTGACATGCCGTAGCAAAGGAATGTACTCGTAGGTAAGGGTCATGTGCGTACCAAGGACATTGAGAGTTGGGTTATTGTACAGACCAAAAGATCGCTGATGCTGTCACATACACACGCTGACTTTGACACTGCACATGTAAGAAAATTCCGGGGTATTTCGTCCGTCCATCCAGTCAAGTTCTCGCGGAACAACCTATACTTGGATCTGTACTCTGTACTCGTACCCTACAAACTTGATCCGAGGCTGGTGGTGGCCCGCCTTACGCAGCAGGTTTCAGTGGCGGGAGGGTTACTTAAGGAGGCTGTTTAAGGGTGGCGGTGATAGGCCTTGGAGGCGAGCTTGGCGTCGTCGTAACCCCCCAGAATCCCTACCATTAGGTGGCTGCGCCCCTCACTGCCAGTGCCAATGCACCATTCGCATCCCAGCCCAGCCCGTTCCGCTTCTCCTTGTGCCTCCTGGCACTACCGAAACCGAATCGATGCATCGTCAAATATCCTTCACTTGCTGCTACCTTAGGGCCTGCTTAGCTGAGCGCTTTTGAGAGCTTTTGGCCCCCAATCTGACCAAAAGCGCTTGTGCTAGATAGGTCTTTGGCTACACAGGCGCTTTTGATTATATCAAATCCATCAAATTTTTGGTGTAAAAGCTGTCGAACGCTATAGGTTATAGTACCTCTTATATATCCACAATTTTATAAGCGTATAAACGCGACGAATTACTAGATAAATCCACATCTAACAGTCAATTTATGGGTAAGAAGCGAGTAAGGCGCTCTTACGGAGCTTTGTGGTGGCCCATAGATTTAACGATTGACCAAGGCTTAACTGGGTTGAGCGAGCGAAAGGAAGAGACGAAATTTGCCAGGTGCGTTCGCTCGCAATACGCTAGATAGAGATTGATACGTTGCCAGTAACTTCAAGTCCTCTCGCGGTTCTCGGTTCCGGCTTTCCAGCGCTTGGAGCGCGATCTTGATCTCCGTCAGTTCAGTCCGAATCTCGCGGATGATGTCGCTTTGGCTCGCAATAGTTTCTTTCAGGTCAGCCACAAGGTGCACGACCGCGATGGTGGCTTCATTCGTCTCTTGAGCACCTCTGCATCCTCGGGCACAGGGTCCACCTTCCTCCCCGGCCACCGTGATTGTCTCCAAGTCTGAGTCTTCATCTCTGCTCAGCTGAAGCGCTTTAGCACTGGGCTTTCTCGCTCTGCTCGAAGGGGCTCGTTGTTGCTTTGGTGTCGCTGGTGTTGCAGTCTTGCGTGTGGGCGGGCATCGTCCAATCGGGAGTTGCCGACGCTAGCGCGCGTCGGGCGCGTCAGGGCCTGAGGCCTTCCGAAACGCCTCTCAAGGGTTCCTGTTCACGTTCTGCCCGAATATCTGATCCGTCCTTTCTCTTGATACCGTCGTTTTCTTTCCCGGTTGTACGATTATCGATAATTCTACAGTCGTTCCCGAAACTGCCCTCCCTTTCGCACACACATTGCAACTTTGTCCCAAAGAAAGCTAGTGAGAGAAGTGGATTAAATCTTACTGCATATGTAATAGTGCTCTCTAAAATATCCTCTAATTATCGATGATTTCCCTGTACCGTGGCATTACTAATGCGGTATGACTTACTGTAAAATACGTCGGATTAAAACCGGATCACTGCCAGGTTACACCTTCGAATGCTTACGCCACATCTGCGGGATGCTACATTTCTTTTACCCCTCATCCTACATGGTTTATTTCAACGGAGCCATGGGCAACTCATTGCCATCAAAGCCTTCTTTAAGGCGTCTCGAGGCACTCTGAAACTTCCAAGTAACGGGAAAGCTCTCTTTACTGATGAAGCAAGATGATTCTTCACAAAAGTAGACCCAACGCTGAGATTCACGACGTCTCGGAAGCCTTAGAGAAGCTCGCTATCCTAGATACATCTACTAAATCCGAACATACAGGGGAGTCGCCTAATGTAGTTTTACCTCTGGAATCTTACGGAGGACCGGATGAAGGGGGAATTATAGGGTCTTTAGACAGTGAGAGTAGTGACTAAAATCAGGGGTTAGAAGATGGCGACCAGTTGTTTCTTTTGAGCCTAATCAACACTGAACAACGTCACTGGTTACACGAAAGGCCAAATCTGGGACTTATCAGGTTTACGCTTAGCGAAAGCGTTTTTATTAAAGGATCGCCCATACTTACCGTTTACGCTCCGATTAGATAATTTCCAATTCGAAGGGCATCGCGGACTGCCTCGATATTGTATCGAGGTTCTCCCTTCCAGCGGTGCAAGCGTTAAGCGGCTGGAGTTACAGGGAAGATAAATTTACCTTATGCATTAGTGGCTGTCTCTGGACGGAGTAAGTTTTCGTTGCCGCAGACCTTATTAGCTTCACTTTGACGCCCGATGTTAACGACCATGGACGACTGGGATGGTTCAATGCCTCCCATGTAGAGAAGCAGGCTGTCGCATACACACTTTGGTACCATACAAGCTTTAAAAATGAATGGGCTAAGAGTATCACGGGGAACCTTAAAAAAAGTACTACGGCAACCACACGAAGCCTTATGAATGGCATAATCACCCCCGAAAAGCATCAAGAAACCGTCAAATATATTCGGGAGGTTACCAGTGAAATTGAGAACCCGAGGGATGAATTACAAAGCCAGCGAGAAGTGCTATTGAAACAGGTGGATATCATGATCAACAGAACCCAGTGCGCAGACTGCAAAGCCTTTATCGCGGCCGTGGAGGCGTTCTTCAATTTGCGCATCATAGTCCATGAGTGTTCGACATATCCAGACCACAAGCGGCCGATTGAAACGGGCCTATGAAGTTTTATCCATATACTGCCTTTTTGCGGTATTTTCTACTTCCAGTCGCTATAAAGCTGTTAGAAGGCGACTTGTTTATGCTGTCAGGAGATGATAATGAGGCCTGCGACAGGGAAGTTTCGTAGGTGCCGTGGTTCAGGTCCGCTGTCATAGTCAATGGTTAATTCAACCTCTTGAGAACGTGGTGGACGGCGATCTCTTTCGGGTGGGCAGGAATCAGAGTCAGATGACATTATTCGCGACAAGAGCCTCACAAGAGGCCATGGATTTCCATGTTCCGGAAGTCGCTTGTAACAAATAACGCCTTATGGAGGTATATGTGTGTAATATTCTTGCGTAATGTAATTCTGGGGTTGGCGGCGCGAAGTACGCAATTTAGAGTGCTATGGCCCTCGAGGCGCAGGAGCAAAACCTTGCAGAATGTCAGAGAAGGTGGCCGAAGTCAATGGAGTTGACCACAGGAAACCCGTGAATGGTTGCCAGGGTCAAAGGGCTCTCCCGACAGCTTTCATTTTCCTACCACGTCAGAGGCAGGCTCGAAATTACGTCTCATCAGGTGCGAAAGAGCCTTCCCTTCCTGTCCACACGCGAGGTATCAGTCTGGGACTTCGCTCCCGAAGCTCCGGTCGCGATCGTCACAATCGAAGCCTGGAACGTGAGCTGGCGAATCGCGGAGGTGTTGGCGTAAGGCCATCTCATTGGGAAAACCACGATCGCAATTGAAGCAATAGTCCCATGATATCTACCGCCTCTTGCTGGGGAATCACGAGTTTGTGTAACTGTAGCAGAGCTGTCGGCGTTGCATGACTGCCACAAAGGCGTTCATAACTAGGTACAGTACGATAACTATTGCGACTGTACTTGAAGCATTCGAATCGAGGTCTCCACAGTCTCCTGGTACAGCTGCCACGCCCGCGAGAACATGTTGTTAGGTTCGTTCGATGTCGATGGTGTGTCAAGGGTCTCTCTGGCGCACTGGATGATTCTGTCTACTGTCAGCGTATATTTCACATCCGGATTACGCTCACCACGTCTCACTTTCCAGGCATCGCCGCTCAACTCGAGGTGCTGGTGGGCTTGAAGTTCTTTCGCTAGGACACGGTTCTTCGGGGAACAGGCATACCATCGAATCTGCCCCATATCAGCTTCGTCACGAGCGGCGTTAAATTCCTGCCGCAGTAAATCTTCAATCTCGGCACGTGTGAGAAGTATCTTTGGTGCAGCTGGGTCAAAGACAATGTAGGAACCGTCCACCACCACACAGTTGTACAAACGTCCCGATCCTCTAGGATGTTGAGTCATATAGGCGGCGTCATTATAAACTGTTTGGAGTTGTACACGGCGTGAAGGCGTTTGAGCAGCTTTCCCGTAGCAGAAGCGGGCATGGTCGTAGAAAGGGAAAAGTTGATCAACGTGAGGCTTGAAGATAGACTTGATGAACGCTAAGCGGCTCGGAAACACTCTGTCGCTCTTTGCATCCCCAAACATTCAGCGACAACCCATCAATATGAGAAACTGGGTTGCCATGCCGCAGTCGAGAATGGTGGGTCCGAGGAATACCTCATTCATACCTCGGGAGAAATGCCCGATCCGTAGATGGACCAGCTCCCACGTGCCATTGTCAACAACGTGAGACCAGCTCTCCGGACAGCAGCGTGTCGCATCCGGTTCCCACCATGCGATAGGCTGGTCGGGATGTAATCAATTCCATGATGCGGTGAATCTTTTCGGATAATGGATCCCTTTTAATTCGTGCCCAAAATGCCGAGCCCTTTCAGTCTCGTTGAGGTTGAGATATACTGCCGCTTGCCGGACCCCTTCGATGAAAATCTCTTCATCACATGTTGGGGATCCTTCTCTGAGCCTCGTCAGATAATCATCCACCTGCTTCGAAAGTTTTGACCCAAACCAGACTTGTATGACAGCGCTTTGCCCCAACACATCGATCGGAGTGTCCGCCGTGATCTCGACAGAGCTGATCCTTACGGTGCCGATGGAGTTTTAAAATCCAGGAGGAAGATCGTTGTAAAAATGATGGAAAAGAGGGACGGATTTGTCACATCGCAGAAATTGTTGGAACGCTACGAGAAGATGCAGCCAAAGGTGGCAACTCCAGCTACGGCGAAAACCAGCCTGGACCGATCAAGAAGGAAGAAGAAACACCAGTTCTCTTGGAACATATACAGCTTGCAGAGCAAAGACACCGTTGCTGCAAGACAATAGATCACCGAAAGACATCGAACATGCAGTAGTTTCCCCGGAGGACGACAAGCTCGAGAAGAGTGAGCCAAATCCTACAAAAGAGTTATCACTCTATCCAGACCCTTTCAAGCAAGAGCTATTGCCAGAAGAAATAACATTACCAATTACTCCGATCTTACCGCCATTGATTGACAGCGCCATCAACGCTGCTAACATTGATCTTGCTGCAATATCCGGCACAGCAGAGACGTCTCAGCGTCCTTCCTTAAGCAGAGTGATTCCCAAAAATCCAGTCTTGGGCTTGAGGGTGGATGCTGCTAGGCGGTGGTCTAATATCATTTGCTCCAGAAACGAAGTCAATGCAGTCTCGAAGCATCACTAGAAACGAGCCCTCATAATCGGCCCTGATGACGGTAAACACAAGGCCCGCCAACACATTCTTGCATTGATCGAGTCCCGACTGCCCACAAGCGCTGGCGACGACATTTCGGAGGTTGAAAGCTATGAGGGCAACTTTTCCGATTCCGACCACGCGGAGAAAGCCTTCATCGAGAGCACACGAAGATGCGAGTGCTGACCCGCTCTTCTCACAAAGCATTCGGATTAAGCGGCGTTGAGAATCCAGACCCTGTCGGGATCTCACCGATGCTGCTAGTGTCTCAATCGATCGCCAGTGGGTTGTTAGGATGACGTCGGTAGTCTGTTTCTGCATGGCTGTCAAGGAACCGGGACTCAAAGTATGAGAAACTGCCTGATTGATGGCGATATATGAGGGGTCAAACGACGGCATTCCATCCAAGTGGAGCCACTGTAATGAGTCTGCCTGAGATTCTTGAGTAGCAGACCCTGTCGCTCCTGCGTGGACGATGGCCAATCTCAGGAGCAGATTATCAATGTGCCTCTCCCAGACATCGTCTGCGGCATTTTCTTGAAGGATTCTGGCGCTCGCGGCGACTGAGGTCGTTCTGTGTTTGTAGAAGCTCCCAGCACCATATATCGAAGATGTAGCAGCCTCAGCGATAAATAGGGTGAGCTCAATCCGAGCAGAGCGGCGCAAATCATCTCCTGTCGGGCGCTGTCCCAACATTTTCATAGTGACAAACCGAAAAAGATCTCTGGTTTCACTCAAGTAAAGAAACGCCCTATTATGTCTGCTCAAAACGTTATTGACACAAAACAGGAGGAAGGACACAACGACTGTGTCTAGATTCGGGCTCTCGGCGAAATCGTACTCAGCTCTACTTTGTTCTAGTGCCGTTATCTGAGCTTGGAGAGCGCTTTTGCAGTCTTCGCTAGGCTTCCGCCTACAGCTGCGTCCCAGATTGATCATCGGAATCGCGAGCAGAAGCATCTGGAAGTGAATATCCGATTCAGTATCGGTAGACATTATTCGTCGGTAAAGACTGCTTTTGTTTATAATCGGATAGACTGGGTATAGCTCATCAAAGAATTTGTTGATTTCTTCCATTCGGCCCTGACTGCTAGATATATTTGGGGCCGTCGATGCCGGGGCTTGCCAAGGAGAAGCTGGGCCCGTTGAATCAATATCTTGCACGGAAAATATATCTCTTTCGAACGCCGATGCCGTGCAGTCGCCCTCGAGTCGGAACGTTTGCGTGAATGGCGATTCAGCCATCGTCGAGAAATCCTTTTCGAGATCATCTTTGTTACACTCTCGGTCACGAAATGGGGAGTTATGGCACAGTCCGCCCAGGTCACCGTGGCACAGCCAGTTGGGCTCGTTTTCTCTCCCGCCGGTACGCGAATCTTGGACGTCGAATTGGAAAGCAGGAGGTAGGTTCATGTTAAGATAGGTGGTCAGATCTGAGGGTGAGGAATTTGGAGTATCTAAATCGTTGATCGAGTCGACACGTTGCGACGATGTGGTCTCGACACACCTGAATCCCGATCTCCTGTGTCAGTGGCAGCTATTAGCGTAATCTCGTACGACACAACTTGGGTCAATTACGACTCACTTATTTGTATAAGTCGTAGATGTCTCAGAATACGTGCAATTCCGACCACAACGCAAGCAACGAGAGCAAGAACGAGGTGAATTGGACTTTGTCAGAGACGGGTTGCGAAGAGTATTAGAACACTAGTTTGGTTACGTAGATTCAATAGCTGTTCATAGACAGTTTTGATTGGAATCATAACATACTCGCGCCTTGCGTACCCGGCACCCATCACAGGCTCGACTAAAGCGTCGAGCCGTCGTATTCTGTCCGATCGGGAGCACTGCGAACATACTATGAGAATTACTGCGAGAAATAGAAATCAGGAGGGCGATAGATACTATAGAAGAAGCATGGTTCCAAGGTAATGTCCAGCGCACGAAGACACGATGAAAATAGGTGCATGCTCCTTTTACATGAGCAGCAGAATTGAAGGGTTCCGAAGTACTTACAGTAGGGGAGATGTCTCGCTTGGCATGCGGGGTAGGACTAGTGCTTACCTGGGATCCTGAGAGAGCTGATTACGTAAAGTGATTTCATTGGTTGCAACTGCTCAACTGTGTCCCGGCCTGTCTCGTTCTGATCGAGACTCTTCTTGTTTATATACAAATTAGCCTGTGAGAACCAGCCCTCTCATGAACCAATCTTGACAGATCCAGATCTGTCAAGCCAATCGTCTCAGGTCGTAATCGTGAAAACGGTGGCAGGAACGAGGCTAGTGCTAGAGCCTTGGTGCCACATTGCCGCCTGTCAACATTACCGTAAGGAGACCCTCCTGACCCTCGAATACGCTCATAATACGGAGTACTGGAATCGCCTGATATGTGATCAGCCAACGCGAAGTCTTGCGCGGCAACTACTTAGCGTAGGCTTTAGGGAGATGGAAGGTAGTTTGTAAGATTGTGCGAGACACAGAGCGTTTGACGGGTTTGAAGAATTCCTTCACGGGCACGGAAAGACTGTTATTTGCTCGTGTTCTACATCACTATTCTAAGCTCAACACGTCTTGTCGGAATCCTCTGTGCCTCTGTTTCGACCTGAACGCTGTGCTACAGATGATCTGCCCTTTGTGAATGCTGTATTCAGTATCCTAACTTGATTTGCCGTCCATTGCTTTGTCGCATTCGATGTGACTGCCCAGACAAATCCATGTGGAACGCCAGGAAGAACCTCTAGGCTAGATTGTACTCCAGCATCACGTAACTTGAAGGCGTATGCAATGCCTTGGTCGCGGAGGAAATCGCATCCTGTAACCGTGGTGTGGACAACCGCATGAGACGCTGGAACATGGTGTACAAGCAATGGAGAAACAAGCGAATGTGTCCGAGAGAATGAAGATGGAGGTGCGATATAATCTTATTATGCGATCATTAGCTCCCGTCGGCTTCCCCAATTCCGAGTCGAAGTCACTCACCAAATATCTGTCTCATGCGTCCCAACCAAGTGCTATAATTTTTCAAATTTGTTTGGCGTTCTTGAAGGGAATGGATGCCGGTGTAACCAGCATTGAAGGCATCAGGATGACAGGTAACGGGTACCACGAGTGAAACCAGCTTGATGCGCGATGGGTTGTGCGTTTCCGCGTCCCTCATGGCAACAGTGGCCGCGAGATGCCCTCCAGCAGAACAGCCCCACAGTGCGATTCTTGATGGATCGATGTGGTAGGTTGTCGCATTCCCAATAACCCACTCGACCGCTTGAAAGCAATCGTTGTGGATGGTGCGAACATCATTTTCTGGCGCGAGGCGATAGTCAACGCTGAAAACGACGGCACGAAGGTCATTTGCAAAAAATGTCGCCAGATCTGTGAGTTACGAGCGTCGTCAGCCCAAACTTCGGGACACAAGACATAGAATCATGAATAATTGCACACCTTCATCACATGTCGGGTCACTATGGATCCAGCCACCGCCGTGGTACATGATCAACACCGGCCTTGGACCCGGATCACATCCATCTGATGGATTGTAGACGCGTATTCCAAAGGTCTCGGTGACATTATAGCAAATTGTGACGTTTGATATGGTGACAGGGACTGGCTCGCGAAGCGGCGTACACTGGGGCTTGTGATTATATTCGTGGTATACAGTCTTAGTCCACTGGCGCATGGCTTCAACATCGCCAGAAGCAGGGATAGCATTCCATTTCACGTCCATTTTGGCCATTTCCTGTCAGATTCGTCAAACCACACTCAATATACGTCTACATTATCAGGGGGTTCGTCAACTCTACTCACTGATAGCCAATTACGATCGTAGCATTCGATCATATTGTCTGTGAGTCGTGGCATGCCATGCCTTGTCAAGGCCATCAGCTCTGCTTCAGATAGCTCGATGGCCACACCATTTAGATTTTCGTTGAACATCGCAGGTTGAAGACGTGAGATGGAATTGAGACCTGTCTGTGTGTGGGAAAAAGCCATATCGAGGTGTGATTTGATGTGCAGCTCAATACCTGGATGGTGAGGGTTAAAATTGATATATTTGACCAGACTAGTTCGGTAACTAGTTAGTAGGATAACGACTTTCCAGGGTCGCTTACATGGCCAGGAGTAACACTTCTGTTTTGGGAAACTACGGGCCTGGCCTGCCTAATTTGGAAATTATGCCGGGCGCTGCAATTCTCTCCAGGTAATGGATCTCTTCCCATGACCTGCTCTTTCCGTGCTCAGGATCCAAGGGAACATTTATGCTCTTGGAGAGCCTCAGTGGATTGGAATATCTTTTGCTACGAGTAGAGTGCACTCTCCGCCCCTACCGAAATCGCACCCATCCTCCGCTCAACATTCCCTCAAGATGGGCAAAATACACGTCGACGAGAACAAATACGGGCATGTCGAAACCGCCATAGATGAGGCAGCTGGCGCGTTGGACAATGATGCCTACGCTCGTCAACGATGGTGGAATTGGCGAATTGCGGCCAATGGTAAGATTTCACCGCCTCGCGAAAATCTTAATCTGATTTAAACGTGGCTTTAGTGACAATAATTGGCATGTCTTGGGGACTTTTTGGCTATGACAATTCCTTCCTGTCATCCGAAATGGCCCTGCAACTGTTTGTCAAAAAGTATCAGGGCCATGGAACGACCTTCACAGCTGTCAATCTCAATGTTCTGACGGCAGTCCCAATGACCGGTGCAGCACTAGGGAGCTTCATTTCCGCTCCACTGCAGAGAAAAATTGGAAGAAAGCGGACCTTCCTGACAGCCTACATGTTTTTCTGCATCCCAGGCTCACTTCTCCAGCTGTTTTCTCCCAATATGGCAGCTTTTGTTATAGGACGAATCTGGAACAGTAGGGCTGGATCAGACCCGATCAGATGAATCTAATAGCTGACATACATTTAGATCTTGGTATTAGTATCCTGAACACGGCCTGCGGTCTCTACCTCGCCGAGTTGGTCCCTCCTTACATCCGGGCGAGGACCATCGGCTTGTGCGTCGCGTCTGGAAATGCCGTCAGCGTCATCGCAGCTACTGTTGTCTGGGCGAGCGAGAAGCTTGACAACGAACAACAATACAAAATTCCTCTCTACGTTCAGGTCGGCTTTCCCGTTATGTTGGGCTTGCTCACATTAATTACCGAAGAATCGCCAGCATGGTACATGCTTCGCGATGAGGAGGACAAGGCACGCAAGGCCTTGACGAAGCTACGGAAAGGGAATACCAAGATCGTCGAATCAGAGCTTTCCGTTCTCCGTACTCTTATTGCTGAGGACCGAGCGCGCCGCCAAAACATTCGATTTTGGGAAATATTAAACAAGGCCAACATTCTGCGCACGTTAACTGCTGGCGCGTGCTGGAGTCTCTGTCAAGTGGGTGGTCAGCTCTTGGTTCTCGTATATTCAACCGTGGTGCTCATCCAAAGCGGCGTCGCCAACCCTTTCGAAATCACGGTGATAATCTTCCTCATGTCCTTCCTAGGTGGACTAGTCGGGGGTTATCTCATGGACAGGATTGGCCGTAGGCCTGTGGCATTGACTGGGTTTGTGATTCTCTTTTTGTTGGATGTTGCAATCGGGGGTCTTGCTTGTGGACCACTCGCTACCGGGTCTCAGAGAATCGCACTGGCTGCTCTTTTTATTGTCTTCGCATTCTTCAATTCCATGAGTTTCTTATCACTGTAGGTCATCACTTACGGGTACTTACGAGACTGGACCGGACGCTAACCGCTTATACTTAGAGGAATCCTCCTACCGGCTGAAGTTCCAGCTTTGCAGTATCGAGAAGCAACTTCTGCGTGGGCTGTGTTTTTCAACTACGTTACCGCAACTATTACCCAGTTTGTCGTCCCCCAGCTCACCACCGCTGCCGGCTTGGGAGCCCGAACAGACTTGATCTTTGGTGGTTGCATGATATTCGTCATCATTGCAGCATACTTCTACCTGTAAGTGAGCAACGTGACCTGCTTGCATTCTAGGACGATATCACTAAAAGATGAGTGCCACTAACACTGGTTTGGCAGACCCGAAACAAAGGGGAGGACGTTGGCTGAGATCGATGAATTGTATCGCTTGAAGCTTCCCATGCGGAAGTGGAAAGGTATGTGCCTGATATTACCCTTCTATGGAGCGCACCTGTGTTCCCCGCCAAGATCTGGTCCAGTGCACCGGCTGAGAACATGTTTCCTCTAGACTATCGGCACCCAGTCATCACCCACCCAGGCATGTGATGACCACGCGACATTGGTGGGAGCGCAAGCCATCCAGCACCGCGGCGCGAACCCTCCGTTCCAGATCGTCAAGAATGTCCTTTCTCCCTGTAAACATAGTGTTGGGTGGACGGGGTACTACCCAATGCATATTGCTTCTCTCTAAGTTTGTGCCTAGAGAGGTTAGGTATGAGGTCAGTTGGGTGATGAATGGTAGACTTACTCTGCGGAGACCGACCGAGCTCTTTGTTAAGCCGGATGAAAGCGTGTTCTCCTTCTCCATAGATGAGAGGCATGATTATATCAAAGATCCCGAGTAAACAGTATGCCTGGTCCTCCTTCTTCTTCGTCTTCCGTTTAAGAGCCCACCGCATGCGCTCGTCCACACTAAATTGAGACAAGCGTGAGCCAAGCGCGGTAATAGGAATACCCGTGTACCGCAAGTTGTAGCTGCGGAGCTCTGCATGGATCGATAGTGGTTCCAACAATCCAAAAAATCCTGACCGCAGTGTGAGACCTTCGAGCATTCCAGAAGTGTATCGAAGGGCGTCTTATAGTAGGCCATTTAGGTTGCCGGGTCCCGTGGAAGTGGAGATATCTTCACTTTCCAGAGTAAGGGATGTTAGATTTTCGCAATGTACAAAGGGAAATATCCGACTAGAGGCCATAACGTTATGCAAAGAGAGATAGCGGAGCCTCGGGAAATGTATCTCGAGCTTCCCGATCAGATACGCGCCATAGTAGAAGAGGTATTGCAATCCAGCCGCTAATCGATCGAAGAATCTTCGGAGTCTATTACGAAGGGATCACAAGCTGTGACTGATACCTAACATGCAAGCAGATTAGATCTCTTGGAGGATATTCTAACGGGTCGATATGAGTGGGTAGGAAGCATGAATGGCATTCAAATTGCCATACAACAGTCGCGGTGGGCTGTTCAGGTCAATTCGTCCGACAATCTCGATCCGGTGGCCTTGCTGAGCTATCTAGGGAACATGCCTTACAGGCGATTCGAGAGGGTAGGGAGGATGGAAGACCTGGATGAGGCTTTTCAGGTGGCGCAGCAGGCTGTCGCAGTCGCTCCATCTGACCATCCTAACCTAGCAAGCTACCAAAACAATCTGACGGCTAAGCTTCAAAGACGATTCGAGTGGAAAGGCACAATAGATGATCTCAAAGAAGTGTCAAGTCTCACGGCTGGATTTAGATAACAAAAGAGCGATCTGGTTTTGAAAACGAGCTTCTATAAATGCAATGTGACACACCCGAGCGGTTATGGTCACTGAGCAGCTGTGAGGAGGAAATCCACCTCGATATGGCTAGACTATCATCCCTGGGGTGGCAACGGAGTCGTAATTGATAATATCATCTGTCAAATTGCGCTATCAATCTTTCATGGGCCTTGCGCTCTTTTCAGCTCAAGTAGAGGACCATCCCGTACAGCGATGAAACGGTCTGCCAGCTGGTATTCGCCACGCCGCCGTCGACCCCATTGCAGAGCTGGATCGCCTCCTCCTGTCCGCTCACTCGGAGCCTGGCGAAGATCGTACAAGAATAATGCTGTGGCAATGGCAAGTGAAAGCTCAACATACGCCAAGCTCTTTCCTATACAACCTCTCGATCCGACGCTAAAAGGACAGAAGGCTGACTGAGCCAGTGCCACATTCTCCTCGGTCACTCCAGCAGCATCATTCACTCTCCATCGTTCAGGTTTGAAACTGAAAGGCTCCGGAAAGTATTCTTCGTTATGGTGGATGGCGTAAGCGGAGACACCCAACTCTGTACCTTCCGGCAAGTGATAGCCATGCACGTCAAGTCCACCTGCGAGTACCTTACGGGTGAGAATCCCAGCAACAGGTGGGCTCATCCGCAAAGCTTCATCGATACAAGCTCGAAGATAGGTGAGGGAACTCAGCTTGGGACCAGTGCGGATTTCTTCAACGTCGTCAAATGTGGATCGGACGTCCCTGGTGAGCCGGTCAAGGATGTGCTTGTTATGGACCAGGTAAAAGAATGTTGCAGACAGTGCCGTGGAGGAAGTGTCTGTTCCAGCGACGATGAGCACAATAGAATCACCTTTTAGCTCGTCGAGTGAGATTGTGTCACCGCTTTCGCGGTCTTTGCCGCGGAGGAGGTAGTGGACGAAATCTCGCCTTCCAGCTAGGTCCTTGCCAGCATCACCTTTCACACGCTCTTCCATAGTCTTATGCGCCCAGCCAATGAACTTCAGGTTCTGCCTGTGACTCTCACCGCCCACTATTTCCATGAGTTTGCTTCTCATCAAGGGGGCAAGAAGTCTTTTGATGGGCGTGTTTCCAAGCTGCAATTCCACGTTGACCAGCATCAGTATCAGAGAGCTCCAAGAAGTGGGGAGATCAAGGGACCGTACCGAGTATAACATTCCCGAAAATGCCGGGATAAGGTCTAGAACAAAACGAAAGGCATCGGATGTCAGAACCTGGAATGGTTTTCCAAAGCACAGATCGCCCAATATGTCAAGTGCGAGGTAATTTGACCAGGAGCTCATATTGATTGCAGTACTCCATCCATCTTTGCCTGTGCTTTGGTCGATTTGCTTGTCAAAAATATCGGTCCATTGGCTGATATTCTTCACAATAAGCTCTTCGGCTCCACGCACAGCGTTGTCCGAGAAGGCATGAGACATGAGACGCCTTTTCTTCGCATGCATGTTCTTGTCAATGCTGCTGAACACAGTCCAATTCTGTTCGACTGCGTAGACAAAGTTATACCACCAACCTTTCTCGACATTTGCTCTGCCAGATAAATAGATTGCCTGTACCGCCTCCGCTGTATTGAATGAGACCAAATTTGGTGACAATCTCACCACGGGTCCTGCATCACACCCGATAAGTATTGTGTTGAATAAAAGGCCCGGTTTGATACTCACCATAGAGATCGTGATAGTGCAGAATACGAATGTGTCGATCACCAGAAAAATGATCAAGCGCATCGGGCCACCCGGAGATTCTGTGCAGCAATGGGCCAGGAATGCTCGCCAGCGGATGGATGTTAAGTCGATATAGGATTGCGCAAATGGCCTGTAGAACAGAACAAGTTAGAAAAGTGACCAGACCAGAGCAAGGATGCTGCAGGCCAGTTCAACTCCCTACATATAGTACGGCAAGCTCCAAGAAAATGGTCCCTGTGTGGATCGATGGCGCGAACCAGTCAAGAAAGTGCACGAGCTCCATTTTGTCCCTAGACAATCAATGATCCCATTGAGAGAGAATAGAGGATGCTCAGAAGACATTGATATCCTTTTATATGGCCCCCATCCTCGTGCTAAGTTGAGCGGTCAGCGGTCAGCACCATCACTGGTTCATCCAGGCATTTCGCTGTAACCGGGAACTTTTTGCTCCTATAGTTTGACGGCTTTGAAGCCGGCTAAGCCTCTAGTGATCTGATTGGCTACGTACCTAGTCAGACATGGTGCTAAGTATAGATGGTTATGGAAGCTTGACCTTTTGATTCATCAACAGATGCAACAACAATGACAATATCTGACTCATCCGTCAGATTTTGGATAACTGGTACTGTACAGGTACTCCAGGAAAGAGAAGGAAAGCGGTGCCGTCTGCCATAAACTCCCTTCACCAATCTCCTTTCAGCACCTTGATCATATCATCGAAGGCGTTAAACTCTTCCGCTTCATCGACAGTATCTGATCCAGTCATGTCCAAGAGATGGTAGATTTATTAGGACCTTAAACGAGTGGATTAAGTACTCTATTTTCTGTAAGAGAGAACGCTTCTCTTTAATCTATTTATATATTTTCTATATGTTGCAAGGGTTAAAATAGTACCGATAAATAGCTAGACGAGATAACGATTCCTAACGCTGGAAGGCCGTTCCTGAAGTGACAAGTCGGAACTCTCCTATTCCTAGAGGATTCCAAGTTAACGAATACGGCGGACGGAGTTCGATCTGATTAGCTAGTTAGTACTAATAATTAGGCTCTGACATGGGTGTTAGAAACGGCCTTACATGCGACCTAAGGGCGGGATGCCCAGGAGAAGGTCTACTAAGTGCGGTAGCTAGATAAGAGGTATAGGTAAAGGCAAGGTTAGGGTTACGTAGGGCACGTAACGCCTAAAAGAGGAAATATACGATATATTAGTATATTAGACTATACTATACTATACTAATATACTAATATACTAACGTGGTGCATAGCGAGCGACGCACTTTCCGCCCTATTTGTCACCTTTATCTTCTTCCCGCTACTACTCCACCACAAAACATAGAATCTACTCAGAAAGAAGCAAGAATACTCCTTGCCCTTTAAGCTCTTAAACGCGATCCAAAACAGAGCGTACGATCTATTGCTAAAGCCTATAATATCCCTAAAGCAACCCTCCGCCACCGAAGCTAAGGTCGACCTTCCCGACGCGACTAACTAGCGAATTCTCGAAATTTGACCGACTTTGAAGAATCAGTCCTCGTACGAGAGGAGGTCCTTAACCTATATTCGCGAGGATTTCCTCCCCGACTTAGTAGTGTAGGAGATATAGCTAATAAACTGCGTACGACGCGTAGCGCGTCACGCGTCGGACCGCGCTAGGTATCGAACTTTGTTAAACCATATTAAGAGCTACGAACGCGATTTACACGTAGATACGACTACTAGAGAGCCTAATGCGAAGATCTATATACTATACTCTTAGTTTCCGGCCTTGGCTACTTCGTCCCACTACTATATTACTAAGTAAACTACCTTGGGTTTACTTAGCACACCTCACGTGTTGTATAGCGGCTCGTAACACCTTCTAGTACCTTCTATGAGTCAGGGTTGATATCTCTTCTCGACTGGGAATCTCGGCAATCAACAGGTAGAGAAGGTCTTGCTGCATCTGGGTTGAATTCAAGTCACGATCATACAATGCAAATTATTCTGGTGGAATAATTCCTTATTCGCCTTGTCAAGATAAGAATTTGTCCGATGCGTGGCTTGAGCTTGTGCAGCGACTTCTGAGGCCCTCGACACGGCCGTCGTTACGATCGACGCAATCATGGATGGGGCGAAGCTGCACCAAATGCAGTGATGTTGATGGCGGTGAAGATCCCCGACGACTGAGACGATTTGTGTAATTCTTTCAGGAAGGCGAGAAATGCTGTCTCGTCGATATCCTTATACGTTCCGAGGTTGGGAGCGTGTGCGCGAAGAAAGCCTCTGGTTTTGTCGTGTGGACGTCTTTGAGGCAGGATAACCGGAGACGCTTTCGCTTCAGACCCTGTATCTCGATAAGCAGGAGGTCGCTCCTCTATCGCCTCGAAATACGAGTCGTCGTTGATGAGATCTTTCTGGCTTGGCCTTCCCTGAATGTTTTGCTCTGCTGCAGTTGTCTTACTCGCCTTCTTGTGCGCCTGGAACTCGGTCGCAAGCCCAACGGCAAAGCCGACGCCTTGGATGAGGTGACCTACTGTTCCACCACTCTGTTGCTTTGATCGACCCATGCTTTTCAGCCCTTGTATTTGTACCGGAGGTTTGAGTCTGTTTTCACCAGTGTAGAAGGGGCCTGTATGCGTCTTCCTGTTGTTTGAAGTTGACCGAGTTTTGATTGTTGCTGGGATTGCTTATTTATTTTGGTGGCAGGGGGGGGGGCAGTCGCGGATTTATATACCTGCCCTGACTGGGTTCACAACTGATACTCAAGTTACCTAGTAGCCTCATCGAGCTGAACCAAGCGCAACATCAATCTCACCCTGTACGATCTGAAGCATTACGGCGAACTCTCCTGATTTGTACACTGAGGGCCACGCTCATAGACTATTTACAGACACACGTCTCAACCTGGCAAGCAGCCACCCCACTGCGCAGTTCCGTTCATGAGGTAAAAGGCTCACAGGCATCTGCAGCTATATTGTGATCTTCAGAGTCGCCAACGATTCATATTCAGCCGTCCGGAGTGGAAATCAATCCCTTGGGCGACATGTGCCAAAGATCCAAAAGGACGAATTGGTCGATGTCCTGGTGGAGACACTAGGAACTTCTAGAGTGGTTTGATCGTCTCCTGGTACAGTCTCCGAATCAGGCAAAGAAACGTGAATGGTTACGCCAAAAGTGGGAAGCCAGATGAATAACATCGATGAACTCCTCAGATATTTGCCCCCCAAACCGATGTAATTTCCAAGCAGTTCCCGAGATCGCCTGATTTCCCCCCCCAGAAATGACGAGCGGATTCCTCGCTCAACAGCGCAATTCCAGACTGGCTTCCCATCACGTAAAAAGATTCGACTGGAATGCATGTGGCGGTCGTGTTGCTAAGAGGATCAGACGGTGGTACCGATAAAGCGGGAAAGCAAGAGAGTGAAGAAAGAAAATGGGAAAAGAGGGTCTAGGCAGCTTCATAGTAGCATGGTCGTCAAGTACCAAGCATCAGTCATTGATATTCCCGATTGCACCGTTCCTTCCATTTGGTGCTAGGCCTGGGAACTGGTGACCATCAGGCAACAAAGATCCCTCCCAAGAAAGACGACATATAGGACAAATTTCCAGATCCGTCAACCAGGTATGCTTCTCGAAAGGAAAGAGCAGAGCACCAGAAAGACTCAGCTAATCACTTCGGAGTCCACCCCGTCTGTTTGCAATACCGAGGATTGAATGTATTTGGTTCGTGGAGGTTCGCCAAACGAAGGACGCCATGCTCCTTCCATGGCGTACCAGTAAACCGCAGCAGCAAGAGGCCCTTCTGTACCGGACGAAGGCCAACAACCTTAAAGCGCTTTTCCGTACCTTTTCGCCATGACGTTGACCACATCTTCGGTGAAGGTGGAGGGCAGTAGGAGCTGGATTTGGAGTGCTTCGAGCTCATTTGCGTTGAGTAGGTATATGTGGTATCCTCAATCTTGATCGTCGTCCGTCTCATTTTAATAGGGATGAAGCTCAATGTGAGTTCAAGCCAGTCTCCTTCGTCGAGAGTCTTAATATGGAGTGGTCGATGGGTTGTGGCCGCCCCGTCGTATCTGCTCCCGGGCGATGGCAATGTGTTCCTCGAGCGTCTTCTTCCGCGGCGCGCCGTCCTCGCCCAACTGTGCCTGGCCCATGTCGACGTGGATTCCGTCCCTCTCGGCCCGCTCGCTGTCCATAATGTTCATCTCCTGTTCCACGCCCTTCTTGTAGCGGCGAGGGAACCACCAGCAGATGAAGAGGAACATTGCCACCGACAAGGCGGCGAGCACCGCCACGGGCACGACAACAGAGTTGTTCACCATTTTTGCGCCCCCCGGAGGTTGAAGATTGAGGGGACTTAGGAAGGGTTTCTGGACACAAGGAGCGTCCTGAATGGTTTTCGGCCAGCTAAATGAGAGAAAGCGCAAACAAGAGAAGTACTCGGCACCCAGAGAGTTGGGTTTACAGGATCGTGGACATAAGAAGGCACGGCTTTCAAGCAACACCAAGCTTTTGTTTAAACAATGGGGCAGGCTCTTCTTCGCTCAGATCCCACGGCGATGGAGGCAGGGTTGGGGCGAACTTATTATACCCTTTCGCAAAAGAAGGCGAAAAGAGAAGTAGATCCGGGGGCACCACACACCGCACCTATCAAGGTCTCCGCGCGAGGGCATCCACGAGGCCATGCATGGGGTTGAAAGGGCGGGGAGGAGGCCTGGAACCCTCAGGCCTTTTGGAAATCGACCCATTGACCCTTTTTCCTTTCTGGTGGTGGTGGGCGTTGCATCTGGGCGATTTCAAGGATGGCAGGTTTTCTAGAATGCAACGCTGAGACGACGCCCCCGCGGCGTGCAATTGGTGGGTGATGGAATGGCGGGGCGATGCGCTGATGGGCGCGACGGCGGGAGACTCCATAAAGGGCAGACCGTGCATATGATGTTCCACTGAAAAGCCACCTGTTAGACCACTAATTAGGGCTTGCTGCGAAGGGTGGTTGGTGGTGGGTTTTTCCAAGAGGCTTCTGGGTGGCACATCCGTCATGATGTGGGCAAATGCCCATAAACAAGCTCCCTGGGAAACATGTGCAGATTATTATATGTGTGGAATCCAACGAGTATCTCCCTGTTCACCGCGTTTACATTGGAGACTGAGGTTGGGATAGGCACACCCAAGCAGTCGCCGTCTCCAAACGAGCACCGACAGACACACCTCTCTAAGCCCATGCAGGGATAGACTCTCAGTCGAGGGAGGAAGTGCTAACCACCTCAGCTCATCACCTCATCACCTCATAATCTCAGAAAAGCAGGGCCACGATGGAAAGGCTAACCCTAAAATAACAGGCCAACCACCCCGCAACAAGGGGCGTGGTCGAGATCCCTTGCATTCCCGAGTCTCCGCGCACCCTCCCTTCCCAATCGCCTAGAAACGTCCCATTATGTAGGTAAGGGGAGTAGTACGAATACGACAATGTCTGGGTTCGCCCACACGTACATTTTGCGGGATCCCCGCTTCCTACAAATAAGTAATCAACTCGTTCGTATCGAGTGTGTGAGAGAACCAGGTGGAGTACGTACATAACCCGGGTAGTCAACCGGTTGACCGTCAGACGTGGTTGATTTGTCCGCCCATCGACATGTCCAAACTACTTGACAGCTTCGAAGAGTGACGTTCGTGGTGTGGATGAGCCGCAATGTATTCGCCGATAAAAGCCAGCATGTAATCCCATACAGCGCCGAGTTCACTCCAGCTTCAAAACATCCCAGACCCAAAGCCAAAGTAAGCTATTAGCAGGCCGCAGACCAGATAGACGGGACCTCGAAGACTAGCAGCGGAGTTGGTCGAGGAAGAACCTCCACTGCCGCTGCCGGAATTAGAACCAGAAGGACCGGACGTTGAGTTCGAGGGCGAGGCTTTCAAATTGGCGAGTCCGATGGTCCCATCGTCCAGGTTATGATCAATGTATTTGCCTTGAAAGAAAGCTGGAGAAAAGAGGCCGAAGAATAAGCGGGTTAGCATTTGACATCGATCTCAACAGGGGAAGGGCATTGCAGGTCATGGTCGCAATGGCGTCAAGCGAAAGGGGAATGAATTAAGAAAAGGCGACCGTAAAGGCGAGACAAAACGGACTCCACAAGGCAAGAGATCACGCAAAAAAAAGGGCAAGCAGAAGATACGTACATTGGCCCAACACCCACAAGCCCGGCAGGTCCGCAAAGTCCTGTCCGATCAGCGCAACGGTGCAGTTCGGATCCGAGGCGTTTGTCGAGGGAACCAGCAGGCTGGCGATGGCGACGTCGAAGGTCTGGGCTGTGACGCTCTGATCCGTGGCGGTGACATTGCTGGACGGGAAGCGGAACCCCACCGTGGCGTTGATCGAGCAGGAGACTTGCGCCGTCAAGAGAAGACCGTCAGGAGTCGATGCGGTGGAGACGACGGCACCGAGCGAGGTGAAGAGCTCGGTCACGGCGTCGGTTGGGCTGCGACACACATCCGCCGTCAGTACACAACATGCTGTTAGGGTTGGGAGAGGGACGGGGCAGAGGAGGACGTCGTATATACCCAACAACCGCGGCGCTGCCACTGTCGAACTCGACAATGGCGTCCTTTTCCAGCGTTTGCCCTCCCACGACGATGTCACCATACGTGAACCACTCTTCGGCGATTGGCGTGGTGGTCAAATTCCCATCAAACAAACCGCTACCGAGTGTGCCAACCACCAGCGATCCAGAGGCGGCGTCACTCAGTGCAAGCCCGAAACGGCACTCATCCACCAGGTCGTTCTCGCAGAGATTGTGGAACCAGGACGTGGCATTGTCTGCTGCAAAGCGTTGCGCCCCGAATCCGATGATGCCGTCGTGAGGATAGGTCGTCGACGAGTCGGACGCGTTGGCGACGCCGAGGGTCTGATTCTCGACCGCGAGACCCGAAAGGGTCACCGTGTCCTGATAGAGCGTCCCGTTGATCTATGTGACACCATCAACAATGAGATTTCTGGCTGCGAGCGGCGGCTGAATTGTAAGGGAGTCTTACAAACGCCGACCCCGTGCCATTGCCCTCGGCCGTTCCATAGGCGACGGCAAAAGGCTCATTCGTGTTCACCGAGTGTTTGGACGGCTTGTATCTTCCCGCGTTGAGAACCACGTTTGTCGAGCCGGTGTCGACAAGCAGATTCATGCCTGAGCCATCTCCGGCCTTCACGTCGGCGAACCAAAACCCCTGGCCTTGTATATCAGCGACGTTCATGCATGCAGTCCGTCACAAAAGCTTACACCATCAAAACTCAGCGACTGCGTAGCTTTCTTGGGGTCTCGTTTCGAGAAATTGTTTAGGGCGTTGTTTTCCGATGCGCAGGAGGGAATGGTGAGTATCGAAAAAAGGAATGCGGGCATGAGCCCTCGTCTTGACATCTGAGAGCCCATTGATCTGGGTAGTAAGCTTCCTAGCTATAGCTAGGACTTAGAAGTTGAATGATTGAAATGCCACAAATGGGCGCGCCCGGCGTAAGGAATGGCTAGAAGACTGCAGCCGTAGCCCAGCTCTGGTTGTATACTCAAAAAGGGAATGCTTGGGATGTTCTCCTGCCGGAACTGAGGGAAATGGAAGAAGAAATAAACAGAAGAGAATGAAGCTTGGAGAGCATCGCCCTGGCTGCTGCGAGATGGCGGCTCCTAATCTACCTTTGTCGTCGATGTATGGAGGTGCTCTTCTTCCATCACGTCCGCCCCAGTTTGAAAAGGCCCAGTTTCGACCAAAACGCAACAGCGAATGCGCGCCAGGCATTAGTTCATTGTCAGAGAACCCGAGTCGCTGGCTCCGTGCAGCATATCACGCCCCGAATAGCTGCTATTCGTAGAGAATCTCATAGAGAAGGGCCCTGCGTATCAGTCGTGCAAAACCAAAACGAGAAAGCTTAGGTGTGATATAGACGAATGTGCCGAATAAGTTAGAGTATACGAGCAGAAGCCAACAGAAAAGGGTGGTGACAAGGATAAGAGGGAGTTAGCTCCAAGAGGTGTTAGTCGGAAGATCGATGAGATGAGTGGAAGCGGGTCTTGGACTGTCGCCGGTGTATCAGATTCGTCCCAGCTGGACCTTGTCAATCTCAGCAATGCTTTCGTCTGGAGATTGACCTCCCAATTTGATACACTTCCAAGAACCGCTTGGGATGGGGCTTCCAGGAAGACAAGGTCTGGAGAACACGCCAGCAAGGTGAAGCACCTTTTGACATGTAGCTGGTCCCCCACCGCTACACCTGAGCGCATGTGCTTGAACACTTCTTTCTCCCTAATTCCGCCAGCTACCGAGCCGGGGAATAATATCCGTGTTGCTTCAAACCCTCCAGAAGCGTTAGTGCCCACGAGCGCCCAGACTTTTCGGTTCTGGGCGACCCAGGCGTCGAATTTTTCATCACCCAGGCCAGATCTTCTCGACATGGACCTGCAACCTGTTTGGCAGCATACTCTCACAGCCCATCGCGTCTGCTTGATAGAATGCTTTGCCGTTGGTCTGCTCAGATGGAGGGAATACTGGCTCACTTTATCGCTGATTTTAACCGCTTCGAGACGTTTGCTGTCACGCCGAGTCGAAGCATCCACAATCCAATCGTTCATTTGACACAGACTTGATGTGAGGGCGCATTTGAAATGGTGCTCTCGTGTCGAGCTTGACTGTGGACGGGCGGAGGATCTTCGACATGAACTTCGTCCACCACTCGGATGAACTCGTGGTAAAAGTGTACCATCTCCATGAGGCCTTTGATGGGCATCCTCTCATCCACCGTGTGCATCCGGGTCCCTCGGGGGTCATGACTCGCTCGCCAGGGAGACATGCGGTATATTTGTGGCGAAAGGTCCCAATAATATCTGGTGTCGGTGTTGCCTGCGGTTCTCAGCGTGTGATCGATGAAAATACGAACCCACTCGTCGAGTCGACTTACCACTCAACAGTTCTGGCGCAACGACAACGTCGTCCCCAAACACGCCTTTGATGGTACCTGCAAGCAATCTGAATCGAGCATCCTCTGCACAAGAAACCGGCGAAGATTCCAACTCATAATGTGCAGAAAGAGTGAGGTCGCCACAATCGGCAGTGTTGTTATCTGCCCTCTTTGGAACTCTTGGTTCATCTTGAGCCTTAGCACCGAAAGGATGCAGTTGGAAGCCTCGCTCCTGGGCCCAAGGCGCAAGGAGATGAACATAATGGTCTTTCACAGCCTGGACCGAATCCTGGATTGCAATGCGATGGTTGACAAGGACGCTGGCATTTTCTGGGAGCGAATTCACTAGAGACCTATTAGCCTCGCTGTCGACTGCAGTTCTACCCGTTTCGACAATGTCAAAGACCAGCACACGTTGACCTGCCTACCTTTGTCTCCACCTTGAATCACATCAACCGCCGTGGATGTTCTGACCATGGCACGTCTCTCGCGGTCGCTCTCCATATAATCGAGAAGCTTCTTCGAGCTCTGTGCGCCGAGAATCGCCTCTCGCAGATCTTCAGGCATCTGCTTGGAATACAGCGCTGCTTGTCGAAGGTAAGTCAGAGTTGGATTGTTTCGAACCAGCTGTGATTTGAATGGATGGTCTTCAATCAAGCGAATTATTTGAGCCAAAAAGCCAACTGTCTCTGGGTCAGAACGTTCCGCCCTGTCAAGTGAAATAGGGAGACAAACTAGCTGTATGGTCAGGTGGTGTAGACGAGTGACCTCCTGGCACATTGACAGTCACAGTGACATCGATATATCCCTTTTCTGCTGTTGCTGGTAGGGCGAAGTCGGTCCCAAAACGATTCTCAATGCCTGCGATACCCTCGTCGAACTGGCACTCGAGGTCAGCAATGGTCCAGCACGGTTGTCGAATCAACCCACAATCATTTCGATACCGTCCTTTCCATATCTGTCCAACAATGTCTCCGCGAGGCACCTGGCGCCGTAACTCTGTTCGGCTCCACCCTCCTCGTCGAAGCCGACCGAGACAATCACGGTCCGATGTGGTATGAAGTCGCACGCAAGTAAACAATCGATAGCTGTCAACATGGCAATGAGGTTCGACTTGTCGTCTTCAGAGCCACGACCCCAGATATATTCTCCGTCGTAGTGGCCCGAAAAAGGCGAATAGGTCCATTCTTCGGAGGTTGACTCGCCCGCGGGGACCACCTGAGCCATGTCAAACGAATTTATTTCAAGTGGTACAATATGTTACACCCACGTCTGAATGTGCCATGAACAAGAGGGGTTTCATGGCATTTTGTGAACCATGCCATGTATATAACAGGCCATGCTCATTGATCGTTTCGACTGTGAGTGCTTCATATCTGGGGAGATAGTTAGAACCACAGAGCATGTAATCGAAACGACATGCTCACACTCTGGGAAATGTCTTCCTCAGATAATCCGAGAACTGGAAGAAAACCTCCCACCGAGGATCTTGCCCAACGTGACCCATACTATCATACGTAACCGTTGGTATCCTGACCGACTCGGCTAGGCGTGCAGCCACGGCGTCTTGGAAACTTTGAGCTTGGAAGAGTTGGTGGACATTCTTGTGGGTGACGTCCTGCCGTCTCCGAGGATGCATGACAGGAGGCTGATGTAGAATTCTGTTCAAGACCATCTTCAATGACAGCCTGATTTCCCGAAGATTGGAAAGCTGCTAGAAGCAACTGAGTGATATCGAGATCAGAGCGAGCGTCAGGCGTAGAGCTTATATCGGAAGGCGGGGTACGGCCTTCTTGGTGAATCTGATAAACATCAAACGAAGGAATCGTGTTCAGGAAAGTCGCCGTCCTCTAGTCACCGTGCGGGTTTCGAGGGAATTAATGGGAACTTGTTGACTGAGGTTTCCGGTTTGCCTCTCTGCGTCCCACTTCCTCTGAGCTCGCGCGTTGACAGAGTGTCAGAGTCGGACTCGGCTTGACTATTGCAAACTGTGGAGTATTGATAACGATTGAACGAGGCCGGATTTTGAGGGGCGTTCGAGAACCATACCATACTAGGGAAACGTAGCATAGACACACCCGGGTTCGACCAACAGCCTGTTTGAGAATCTGACCGTCGGAGCCTCGAGCTCTCTCGACAGATGCCCAATCCAGCAGGTGGCGAGCGTGGAAACAAACAGGCGCCGTACGCAATCCACCTTCGTGTCGGGCCTTGGTTGACGTTATTTCTCTACCGAACGCCTTTTTGCGGTCTAGTGTTGTGTCATTTCCTTCGCGTATGATTGGGCCAATCTCAAAACATCAGGATGGATATATAAATTATGTTATGGAAATAGGCGTTGATAGGAGCCACACGAATCGATATCGCCCGGAAAAATGAGACCTCGATAGTCTTAAAATGATTCCTGCCTCTGTGCAACCTGGCAGCCTTGCCTGATCCTTCGGTATCGGAGGGAGAGGAGTGTCCAGACATCTGAAGGGATGCGCCTTGGACAGCTTAACAAGGTACGGACTCCGAAAGTACTTTTGAAAAAGGTAAAACCGGCACCCGGTTAGCGGTGCGATGGATCATCCCACAAGCTTACAGGGCAATATCAGCCTAAGCAGACGACAATCCGCACACGACGCGAGGTAGCTATGGACCAAGGCAAGCTGAGAAACGGTGGTCCAAACCTTCCTCGTCTGTCGCACTCGCGCACTCTGTGGTGCTTGGTACTCACTATCTTGGTGCCGCCCCTCAGATTTGTGAATTGGGGGATACCCCAAGACCGTCCTGAAGCTTCAGGGTGCAGTCCCATGGCAGACCAGGTTCACGGCTGACAAATCCAGTGAATTTCTGCTTGCGGGGGAAGGTATCATAAGTCTGACATCCGGCTCAATCGCATCTCTGAACGAGTCCTGGTGTTTGAGCCGTAGTCTATCTCGCCCAACACAGAAACGTGCTCGGTACGGATGTGATCGTCGCTGGTGATTGTAGTGATTCCTTGTTTTCGTAGACGAATGCCGGGAATTGTCAGGATGTCGGTACGCTATCACAGGCCCCAGAGACCAATCACTGTGCTCCCAATCAAGGCGTTGAGGATGGCACCCCGGAGGAGGATCGCGACAGTGTCGGCAGATGCAGAAGCCACATGGAGACTTTACTCCGGATTTGGTCCGGCGAGCCGGGAACCTAAGGTATGGTTCTCGAGTTTGCTGCCAACTTGGTCAGTTCCTGGATAGTAGGTGATGGAATCAACTTACTAACCGGAATAAGAGAAGTCGCATATCAGGGCACCACACATATCCGTGTCCATGTTGTGGATATGTCGCCAAACTTGCAGAGCAGCTGATGCTCTCATCAGGTGCCCTCGACCTCTCGGACATCCAAACAGCGCACCCTCACCCGTCGTCTTCTCACACCATCCTGCAAGAGTCGGAAATCATGAAGTGGGTAAAAGGTCAAACCCACGATGAATGGTTGGATGGCCTGTACAACACGGCGAGAGGTAATCGAGGCTATCAAGGCCGAGTCGTCTGCGTCATCATCAAACTCACAACATCTTCCTCAAACAGCAACGATTTTCTTTCCGCCTGCTTCATAACGGCACGCCAACTCGGTCCAGGTGGTGTCCTTGTTTGACCACAGATCTTGCAGAAAGTGAAGGATTCCAAGGTAGTACTTGAACCCCATATCCTGGGCGATGTCGGCATACGTTTTTGCTACAAATGCCTGGCGTTCCGGATCATCGCAGCATTCGGTGCCTGCAATAAACACTGGCCACGGCAAGTTTTGCAGGCATGATGGTTTGTCTTCAAGCTGATTCAACCTTTCAAACAAGACCATGGTGGAGGCGTCGACCTCCACTGGTTCGACTTGGCATCGGAAGAGGACTCTGTAAGTGTAAAGAAGCGCGGCATGGTGGTATATGTCGACGATCCGAACAAAATCCCTCCGCCTTGCGTCTCGCGGTAGCTCGAGGACACCGGCTGCCATTAGAGTAGACCCTCGGGCCTGCTCGAACCCGGCGCGTGCATCGGCAGAAGTTATTGGGAGGTCGGCAAGGTTGAAGTTCCCAGGTGACGCCTTTTTGGGTCGTTCTCGTGACCATACTGTCACCCTGTGCAAGAGAGACAGGAATTCGGAAAAGATCAAATTAGAATGATCGGGTGCCGGAAGGATCACCTCTACAGTGCTCAAAGGTCCGAAAATCGTGGTGCAGGCCAAGATGTCATAAATGGAAAGCTGGTTCCGGAGGAAGTGAAAGAGGGCGTTATTCTCTCGGTTTGTTGTTGCGAGGGCATTCACCAACGTCCTTGCAGCTTGACGGTGTGAGTCTGCCGCCGCGGCGCCCGTCTCTGTCTCTGTCATTTCGTAGTTAGCCAGGGTAAGCATTGAGGCCAGCATCCACACAGCAGTATCTGCGTCTATTTGGCTGCTCAGGTCAAAGCCTGCGGCCAACTGACCGGTCACCTGCTGAATCTGTTTTGATATCATGGTAACGGCAGCATCACGGGCGCGAGCGGGAAAGCTCGTTTCTTTGCCCGTGGTAACAGCAAGATGCTGAGCTGAGATGGCCAAGATGGCGAGGAGGAGCACCGGCTGCTGGTCGGCCAAGGGAAGGACCAGTCGGCGGTATTCGTTCTTCTCGGAGTCTATCCACACCATCAAGCCCGCAATCTGTTTGTCATAATGCTCCAGTAACCGCAACCTGGTGGCCAGGTCTGGAAACCCAGGAAACAGGGTTTCTAGAGGGTCCACGAACGGGGCGGGTCGAACAGTGCTGTTCTGTTCGGGCGATTTGACCGACTTGGGAGAGGTCGAGTCCTTGGAAGCAGTGCTGCTGGGTTTAGGCGGCGGTTTGTCAATGTGTGGCGTGGTGCGCCCCTTGAGGTGTCCACGAACGGCTATACCATTGGCCCATCTCAATCGAGGGCCGTAGCCGGGACAAACTAGTCCTTTCTTCGAGCATTTGAGACATTTGGGGAGAGATCTATCGCAGCGGATTCGTCTTTTGACACAGGTTGGACAATCTTTGCAACAGTCAGCCTCCTGATTGGCAACTTCCACCTTGTCCTCTGGCTCAGGGTCAGAGGAGAAATTGCAAGTATGCACCTTGTGGCCCGACGGTGGGCGGACTCGACCCTGAAGCCTGACTTGAAGCCTTCGCCTCGTCGTGGTGAACGGTATTCATGGCGTGGTCTCGGCAGTTAGCAGGGCCTGCAGGCGGTGTCGCTGCTCATGTTGGACTATCAGATGGGTTAGATGGAACCAGCAGAATGCCTCACGGTGTCACCGGGCACAACATGCTTTCGGCAAAAGACGATCCAGGCTGAGTGAAGGGGGGGGTTTGAACTCGAGGTGTGCAAAGAGCTTATCGGTTGCGGCTGGACATTTGCTTGGGGATGCCAGCACGTGGCATGTAACACGTGACACGGGCCAACGAGTCAACGAGTCCGGAGCAAATCCAGCCTCATTATTCAAACACCCCGCACGTCTGGCCAGTTGCACCATCAAAAGTGCCGTCACGAGATCAATCGGTATCAAATACGCCTTTATTTCCACCTAGAGTAGGTATCCTTGGCAGGTGGGCGTTCACAAACTTATGTGCTCATCATCTCCCGCTGCTATGGATGGAATCCCTATATCCCGGATCGGAAAAACATATTGCGACCAAAGTATCAACCAGACGATATCCACCGAGATCTGGGGAAGGGTGGCTATAGATCCGTCTTTCCGTCTTGTCGTCCTTCAGAGACTTCTTGTTCTGTTCGCCGTGCGACTCCATTTTGATTGTATCGCGGCTTACGCTTATCATCTTTGCAGCTAGGAGCACGCGGAAGGCGGAGAGCTCTCAAGACTAAGGCTAGAACGGGATATTGACGAGAGAAAAGCCCGGTTGTTCCCGTTCGTCTAAACCTCCTCTTTGATCATGGTGCTGGCCTTGATTTGCCCAGCTCCTCAGCGACGGGGCCAAAAGGACCTGGCCGTTGCAAACCAACCTCTTTGGGCACACGGGGGGCCCTTCCATCTGCACCCAGCAGAATCTGTCGACCCCCTCAAGATCCATCAGCGCGTTCTCCATACCCTATGCTATCATATTCCTTTCAAGCAATTCCATCCCCTCTTATCTCTTGACAACCCTACACCACCAGACGCTCGGCAGAGAGATAGCGAGTCTCGATAAGTGTGTCCAGCTAGACTCTCTTTGGTGGCAAAAAGGAGAACACGGTGGAGTGAGCAGGAGAGGAGCGAGCTCCCACGTGTACGCAGTAATTTAAACTTCAGCCATTTGACATCCTGGGTCACTCAATCTGAACTCGGATCAGAAAGCTGGTGCGAACATCTCTACAGCAAAGGGACGATATATTGTGCTCTATTCCATGAGTAGAATTACACCCTTCCGCCTCCTTCTTGCGCCCAGTGGTCCGCTTTTGGGACTCCCAACCGTTGTTGTTTCGTCGAGATGGACACGATCAAGGATGATACGGTCGGTCTGAGCAGCGATGAGAATACACTCATCAGCCTCGGCCACAAGCCAGAGCTGAAGCGGACATATAATTTCTGGAGCTGTGAGTCTCGTGAAATGCCAGTTCGGGACTATCAAGTGGCTAATAAGCGCTGGGGCAGTGATGGCGTACCAAACCACCATTCTATGCTCATGGAGTTGCAACATTGTCATGTTCTACTACATATTCACCCTCGGTGGACCGGTTTGCCTTGTCTGGGGAACGTGAGTTCAAGTGTCAAGGGCTTGTTTGTGGAGGCACGCCTCTAACGGATGCAACCTGCAGCGTCGTGGTCACGATCGGGCAACTCCTCGTCATGGCTTCACTGGCCGAATACTGCTCCATCTGGCCTACCGCAGGAGGTCAACAATTTTACACCCAGGTACGCTTCCTTGCCCCGGGGACAGATCGTTGGACACTAAATCCTCTAGGTTGTTGCCCCCAAGAACTCACGACGCTTCCTATCGTACCTAGTCGGCTGGTGCGTTCTGGTGGGAGAAATCTCAACCGCCAGCTCCTGTGCCTTGAACAGTGCAGAAATTGTGGCGGCTCTCGTTGAGATCATACATCCAAATGTCGACTGGAAGGTGAGGATCACTGTGATATTCCGTTAATGTTGTACCTACTAAATCATCATAGCCCTACATGACCTGGCTTATCTATACGGGCTTTTTAGTGGCTCCTGCGCTGTCGAATTTGCTTCCAAAATATCTTCCTGCCCTGCAACTCTTTGGTGCATTCTTCAACATCTCGAACGCGCTCATCTGGACAATTGTTTTTCTGGTACTAGCCGACAAGAACAGCTCCAAATTTGTCTTCACGGAATTCCTCAACACGTCAGGCTGGACCTCCAAGGGATGGGTCTTCATTCTGAGCATGTACGTTCCCATATACGGTCTCTATGGAAGTGATGGTGTGATGCACTTGGTCGAAGAGATGAAAAACGCTTCCCGTGATGCTCCTGTAAGTGCCCGCTTCATTGCCGTGGAGCAAGGTGTACTGACTATAGAACAGCGAGTCATGGTGTGGTCTATGGTGTGGGCTGGCGTAACTGCCTGGCTTTCGGCCATCGTTATGTGCTACACAGTGGGCCCCAACTGGGAAAATTATCTCGAAGCCACCTCCTCCTATGTGGTAAGGACCACAAACCACGCTGGCGATTGTGTCACTCAACTAATGACTCTTCAGGCATGGTTCATGGACGTGCTGAACTCGACATACGGCGGAGGAATATGGGTTGCTGTCATGATGATGGGCCTGAACGTACGTGGCTCAGTCAAGACCGGGGTGCCTGTAACAAAACGGCTGACCGTGGACAGTATCTGATCATTGTCAACATGAACACCGCCGGGTCACGTCTCGCGTGGTCAATGGCTCGCGACAGAGCTTTCCCTTACTCGGACTATTTTGCCCAAGTCAACAAGCGATTTGAGATGCCCCTCCGAGCCATGATGGCCTTTATTGTGCTGAACCTCCTCACAGGCCTCCTGGTCCTGGGGAGTTCGCTGGCCTTTTACGCCATCATCTCGGGCGGTGGCGTCGCCTTGCAGGTCTCTTACTGCGTGCCGATCCTTTGCGTGGTTCTGCGAGGTCGTCATCACCTGCCACCGCGACCCCACTTCGACCTTGGTCGATGGGGCTACGCCGTCAACATTGCGGGTTTGCTCTGGAGCATCATCGTGGTTCTCTTCTATGTCTTCCCCCAGTACGTCCCCGTCGTGGGCGAGATAGCGAACATGAACTGGGCCATTGTCATCCTTGCCGGAGTCGTGGTCTTCGGTGGAGTGTACTGGTTCTGGAAAGGCCGGCACGAGTACCTGATTTTCAGCAACTCGATCCTCGACGACAACGTTGTTATTCACGGAGAAGCGGTCGTCACTGGCCGGGATGCCGCCGCCACTTTTGGACAATCTCAGCCCGAAAAGAGACTCGACCTCGAGTGAATGTGTGTCTGGGAGAAAAGAGCAGGATCTCAACGGGTGGCACAATAGATGGGTTTCTGAGCGAACACGGACTTTTGGGATTTTCGGGCTCTAACTAGCCTACTTTCAGCGTGGATGGAAATGCGATTAAAAGGGATGTAAATTCGGAGGGCTTATGAGGGTCTTAGGGTCGTTGGCAAAGAATTGTCAGCGAAAAATGGATTGCAGATAGGAATTCCTACGAAGAATGATGCCTAGACCGGTAAATAGTGAATCAGCGAGCATGCCGAGTGGGTTTATGCAAGTCACTTGCGCGCGGGGACGCGGCGGCTTCGCGATCGCGTTTTGCTCAAAAGTCCGGAGCCTCAGTGCTCCCCCCCCCCCCTATTGCGACCTCCATGCCTAGGGATTAGTGGCTTGCGGCTGCGTCGAGTTCGCCAGGGATCGACTTCAATTCTGTGCAGGACGGCGTAGCTATTCCCATTTGTTCACTGTTCTCTGGCAACTGTCGACTCTGCCTGCCCTAGACTTCCCAAAATGACTCGAATCAGCGAATGGCGCAGGCTGCCCATCTCCCTGAACGAACTGTGCCTCGCAACCACCCTGCGCTGCGGGCAGTCCTTCCGCTGGCGCCAGTGCGACGACCAGACCTGGGCATGTACCCTTCGCGGTCGCATTGTGCAATTGTCTCAGCCCGACAAATCGCACATCCAGTACCGCTCGATATGGCCTGCATCTGCGACCACCGGCTCGGCTTTCGAAGCGCCTCTGACACCTCCCTCGTCCATCCCACCGAGTGCAGTTCCAGACGAGGACTGCGACGACAACGACGACACCAGATCCCTGATCCAGCACTACCTCAACCTGGAGCCGAATCTTGAAACCCTCTACGCCCAATGGTCGGCGTCGGACGCCAACTTTCGCAAGAAGGCGCCCAAGTTTACAGGAGTGAGGATCTTGCGGCAGGACGCTTGGGAAGCGTTGATCGGCTTCATTTGCAGCAGCAATAACAATATCATACGCATCTCGCAGATGGTGGACAAGCTGTGCACGCACTACGGGACATACATTGGCACTCTGGAGGGTCGACCGTACCATGACTTTCCGGAGCCGTCAGCACTGACGGGCAAGAATGTCGAGAGCCACCTCAGAGAGCTGGGATTTGGCTATCGCGCAAAATACATCTATCAGACTGCCAGAATCATTGCCGAGGATCGAGAAGCTGGCTGGATAGATACCCTTCGGAACCCGGAGTCTCCTGCGTACGGCACCACCAAGCCGTCCCCCGCCGGCGAAATGAAGCCTGAAGGCCGCGACGGCTATCGCCAGGCACATGAGCAACTCCTCGAGTTGCAAGGCGTGGGACCTAAAGTGGCGGATTGTGTGTGTTTGATGGGGTTGGGTTGGGGAGAAGCAGTGCCGGTCGACACACACGTATGGCAGATTGCGCAACGAGACTACAAGCTGGGGAAGGGGAAAAATAGCAGTATGACCAAGGGGACATACGACGCGGTCGCGAACCATTTCCGGAGGATATGGGGGAAGGAGGCTGGGTGGGCGCACAGTGTGTTGTTCACGGCGGACTTGAGGACGTTTGCCGAGAGACTCACAACACGAGTGGAAGTCAAAGTCGAGAAAGGGGAAGGAGAGAAAGGAGAGCAAGGAGATGATGAGGAGCAGAAGGTTGTAAAGAAAAAGACTGCGCAACGGGTATCCCTTAAGCGGAACCCTGAGGAGGAGGATGAGTCCAAGACCGTGGTGCACATTGAAGAAGAGATAACGACGACTTCCAGCGAAAGGGTCAAGCGGCGACGACGTAAATGATGGAGCTGCTTGTCCGTGGTGTTGCTAGCATCCAGGGTATCGGACTCTCGAAACACGGGTGTTGATCACGGATCACTCAATGGGGACCGTCACCACCATTCAGTGTTTCAGTATCACGTGTGTTCGTGTCTCCTCTTTCTCGTGGGGGGCTTGACGTGTGTCAGACAGTAGCACCTCGTATGTAGGAAAAGCAGCAGAGCAACATTGGCTGGTGCTACGGAATACGTGCTGGCCGTCGACTCGTCGAAGTCCGAAGGGCTCGAAGCATGGGGTTCCCTGACCGATGACGACGGTGTTCCAGCAGCCGAAGTGTCGAGTTCCTGGTTTTTCTCCCTGTGGACGAGTACTCGCACATTGTTAGTTTCGATCGTTTGATGGCAGCGATTACGCAGGTGACGGAAACTTTTGGCCAGTGCCACTCCGCCCGGAGGACGGAACCCAGCTGAAGGTCAAATCAAATTGCGCTTGGAGCCAGGAAGACTCGGTCCCTCCCTGTGCAAGCATGAGGTAGGGAGAGGCTATACTACACTCCTTTGGGGAAATTGCACTTGCCGCGGCGTCAGATTTGAGTTGAGGCAGAGAACCGGGCGAGAGCTGGACATTTTGGAACGTCTTGGGACGTCTTGCGTGTCTGGACGGGCGTTGGGCCTCTCGTACACAAACAAATCTGAGAAGTGCGCGGCCGCAGCCATCTCTGGTGATTTCATTCGAGAAGGGCAGAAGATTCTGTGGCCGTTCTGTTGTCCAGTCGATCGGAGAAGATGGGCGTTGAGGGGTGTTTCTGGGCCGCCATTGGCGGCAGCAATTTGGGGCCCAGATTGAGGCTGGGGAGATGGATGGAGGAGCCTCGAGCAGCTTACAGGTGGCCTCGGTGGGCTGCAGGCATTCCACGGGGCCTGACTGGGTGACTGGGTGACGCCGGGCATTTGGACATCCGACTCTGCAGCAACCGAAGGAGCCCAAAAGCTTCTTGCGGATTGTTCCTGGGCCTCCTGGGCCTGTCGTGCCAGATTGACCACTCTCGGGCCTCTGCTGGGTCGCACTTGTGCAGGTGGTACAAAGCCCACGCCGGCCACCCCCACTTAGCCTAATGGCCTTGTTTTCCTGCCCAGAACTTTCCCAGGCTCCCCCAGTGGCAGCTGGTGGCTTGCCCCGTCGCAGCCTCCAACATCTCCTCCCATCAATTGCGTTGCACATCCCATTGTTCGCATTTTCCGCTACGGACAATCTCCTTTCGTCACTGGCAGCTTCTTTTCCAAGGATCTTCATCTTGACCTTCCCGTTCCCTGCACCACCTCGCAAACCACCGCATCCTCAGCTTCACGACTGTCACTCCTTCCTACCCGTCGTCCTTTTTTCGCCATATCCCCCCCTCCCCGGCCTCTTGACCACAACACCGTCCCTAGGGTTTTGGTTTGGGTTTCGGTTGTGCAAAAACAACATCAACACACCCTCTTAATTCCTTGCTCCACCACCAGAGCACCACTCCGTTTCGTCCCATCCCTGCTCCTTCTCAGTCCTGTGCCCACGCGTGTTGTCTCCCGTCATCAGTTTAAATCCATCGCGCTCGACTACGTTGGACGACCCCCAACTCCGAGATCCCAGTTTTAGAAGCTCACCACCACCACCAGCACCAGGCCTGTGGTCCGCGTCGTCACCGACTGAGCATGCCTCTACGAATATCACCGTTGTAGCACCCTCCCTCCTCCGTCTGGTCGCTACGGCGCAGGCACAGATCGCGTCGAACCATGCATCTGCTGTCACGGTTCGGCTCCAAGGTGTCGACCGCTCTACTATTGCTCGCGGCGCAAGCGGTCTCACAGTCCGTTCCTCCACCTAATCTCGACATCAAGTCCCTGGGCCAAGTTACTCTCGCCGGCGACTTCGACGCCATTTCTATTTACACGTCAATTGGGCAACAAGAAGGATCTAATGGCACACAGTCGATATTGTCCCAGCTACCAAATGGGGGCTTCGACATTTTGTCCTCCACCGACGCCAGCATCGAAGCACTCTGTCCGCTGGTGGTTAATAGCACACTCATGGGAATCGTGGTTGGAGGTAATTTCACCAGTGTCGGAGGGGTCGCAGCGCGATCTCTAGCTTGGATCAACGCAACCACCCTGGAGGTCCAGGCGATCGGCGGGGTGCAAGGCACCGTCTCGGCGCTCTATTGTGACGAAGACAATTCAATCCTGTACGTTGGTGGTGCTTTTGACGCGGGTAATTCGACAAATGCAATTGGATGGGCGGCGGGTGGCTGGTCCAGCTTGCCCTTTGCGGGTTTCGATGGTCCAGTCAGCTCCATCACCAAAGCTCCCGACGGCCACATCATCTTTGGAGGTTCTTTCACGGGCCTGGGCAATATATCGTCCAGTTCCTTGAAGAACCCCGAATCTCAGGTGATCAATCTCTCGACCGCTAATCTCACCGCCCGCGGGAACACGAGCACGGCAGGCTTGGGCGATCCGAAGAACGTTGTCTGCCCCTCGAACAGCTCGGATGGCTCATCTGACTTTTTGCTGGCCGACAATACTGCAGGTAGTTGGCGTGCGGACTTGGCTTTCGGTTTCGAGCCAACCAAGCTCCGACTATGGCAGACAAGTCAGAGTGGAAAAGGTACAAAGACGTGGCGATTTACGGCACACCCTCTCGATGGCATCCTCAACTTCACCACCACAGACCCTGCCACTGGAGATCTCATTTCTTGCTCGTCAACATGTCCGCTGGCAAAGTACAACGCGTCCCAGCCGTATCAAGACTTTTATTTCGTCAATCTGGTAGGCATGAACAGCTTCACCATTGATATCTCGGCTTGGTACGGAAATGGAGGTGGCCTGGGGGGCATTGAACTCTTTCAAAATGACATCTTTTCTTACGCCGTCGAAGCGTTTAATGAACCCACCTGCGAAACCACTGGCATTCGATCCGAAGCCACTGCGACGGGATCTTGGTATACGACTCCTTCGAGGGAAAGCGTGTCCGACTATCTCACAGTTGTGGTAGGTCCCACAACCGTTGATACCACGCTCATAGTCTTCGAGCCCGACGTACCACAGAGTGGGAATTACTCCGTCATTGTCTATACCCCTGGCTGTCTGCAGGATAGCTCATGCTCAGCACGCGCCGTTGTTAATGTCACTGGCAGCCTGACGCAGGACGGAAAACAATCTTTCGGCACCACGCTCTTCCAAACCAACGATTTTGACAAGTACGACATAGTGTACCAAGGGCATGTGGACGCCACCACAACAGGTTTTCGACCATCTGTGACACTCAGGCCGTCAGGACAACAGGCTGCGCAACTGGTTGTCGCGTCTCGAGTCAAGTTTGGCTTCACCTCCACAACCGGTGGTTTAAATGGCTTGTTCGACTATGATCCCAACAATCACACTATCGACTACGCCACAGCCGACTTCTCCAAGTCTGCCATCAACAACGCCGGCACCACCCTCAAGGCCAATGCGAATGTTTTGGCACTGGCAACGCGTGACGACACCATTTACGCAGCGGGTCGGTTCTCCGACGACGTCTTCGAGAACATTATGGCATTCCACAACAATAATGCATCCTCTTTGCCCGACGGTGGTCTGAATGCGGCTGTGAACGACATGTACAGCTTAGATGACTTTCTGTATGTTGGGGGCAATTTCACCAACACTGCCCAGGGCAATGTGAACGGACTGAGGAATGTCGCTGCGTACCAGTATTCAAAAAATACATGGGTCCCACTGGGCGCTGGACTGGACGGCCCAGTGGAGGCGGTTGAACCGATGCAACTAAACATCTCCCAGAGTGGTGGTCCAGAGACTGTGGTCGCCTTCAGCGGCTCTTTCACGCGGATTCTCGCGTCTGATTCTACTTCGGTGTCTCGGGTGGACGGATTGGCAATCTGGGTTCCCTCACAGAAGGGCTGGCTGGCGAATCTGAACGTCCCAAAGGAGGCTTTGGTTGGTAAATTGTACGCTGCGACGTTCCTACCGAACAACACCTGGCTCGGTGCGGGAACAATCAACTCCCTCGGACTGGCCATCAGTGGCGCAGCCGGCCTCCAGTCTCAATCCGGTGGTCAGGTCGCACTTTCGCGACTTCCTGTCGATATCACGCCCAGCGATGCTCAGTCTAGCACAAGAAAACGAGCTGCCCAAGCCACGCAGAATGTGACTGGTGTCACTACAGGCCTCTATTACACCGGCAATGGACAAAATGTGACCGTCATGGGAGGACACTTCAGTGCAACTGCAACCGGTGGATCCGCCATCGAGAATCTCATGTTCTTGAATGGTTCCAATAACAACCGGGTGACGGGACCTCCCGCAGGGATGGATGCCAGTTCAACCGTTCTGGCCCTCGCTCTCTCGGAGAACATTCTTTTTGCTGGTGGCACCATCTCCGGGCGTGTTGAGAACACCAACATCAACGGCCTGGTTTTGTACGACATGAGCACCGCGGCATATCGAGCAATCCAACCGGCAGCTTTGCAAGGTGATAGCGTGGCAGTCAATGCCATAGCTCCCCGGTCAGGCACAACAGCCGTGTATGTGGGTGGCACATTTGACCGGACTTCGCAAGATCTCTCTTGTCCAGTTGTTTGCATGTACGACACCTCAACGAGCCAGTGGAATACAGTCGGGACTGGATTGCAAGGCACCGTTTCATCTCTGTTCTGGAGGACCGGTTCAGATCTTTTGGCTGCTGGCAATCTGAAGGTTCAAGGCAATCAGACGTCCCTTGCGACTTACAACACTGGCAGTCAAACGTGGTCTGTTTATGAAATTGCTGGTATTCCTGGACCCGTCACGGCGTTCTGTCCTGCCACCACCGATGCGAATCACATGTGGGTAGCAGGTACGGCGAATAACGGCTCAACATTTCTGGTAGAGATCGAAGGAGTCAACGTGAGACCAGTCGCGGATGCCTTTGGCGCTGGAACTACTATTCGCGGTCTGGAAATCATGCCCTTGACTCGCGATCACGGGTCGACCCCATACCTCGACAACGATTATGCCTTGCTGGTGACAGGTCAACTCAACATTCCTGGTTTCGGAAACGCAGCAGCAGCGTTGTTCAACGGCACCCACATGGAGCCTTTAATATTGGCTTCGACAGCGGATGGAAGCCCTGGCAGCATAAGCCAGGTATTCTCCTCTCATACCAATGTTCTCAGATCAAGTGGTAAGTAACTCTAGCTCTTCTCGAAACGATCACCGCTGACTTTTTTAAACAGAAGGTGGGCATTCCTTAGGGATTGTCATCCTTGTCGCCCTCTGTGCTGCGTTAGGCACCATCTTCCTAATAATATTAATCGGCATCATCCTGAACTACATCCAAAGAAAGCGCGCTGGATACAAGAGCGTTCCCAGCGTGCCTTACACGGACAAACATTCCAACATCCATCGGGTGCCTCCAGAAGCTCTATTGGGCAGTCTTGCCTCGAAGCCTGGAGTGCCGGCGGTGTGAACAATGGAAACAGAACATAAACGAGGCTTGAACCTCGCAAAAAGGGGATGATGATGATGCCATGATACCCACGATATTTTTTTTGTTGACGACTGCTGACTCGGCGCGGCGTTATTTCTTCTCCCCAATTCGAGGGGAGATGGAGGTCTGAGCGAATTGACTTTCTTCAGCCTCCCAAAAGCACGCTATTTTTGTTCATAGAACGGGTGGGCCACTGGACCATTCTTTACTAATGTCATCTTGCTGGCGACTGAAAGTTTCTTTCGTGTCATTTTCGGGGCGGACATGGGGACACATAGTGCATGGCGCTTTTGGCGTATGTTCCGAGGACAGGGAGATGACTATTGATATCCAATGTTTGTCAGCCGGGGTTTGCTTCCAGCCTAGAGCTGGAAGAAGTTGAGCGGAGGTCAAAGCTGTCGGGGGCGATGACAATGGGGCCAGGAAGAGATGGAGGGAGAAGAACGAGACGAGAGCACGACCCTCGGAGCTATGGTTTCCAGGCGATGCTGTAATGTAATTGAGCGACCAATCCAGAATCCGTTTGTGCCATGAGCATGTTGTTGTCGGTGGTCCTTCCCGGCTCTTATGCGCTTGAGGTACTTGTGTACCGAGTACCTCGTACTCGTCTCGCTGCCGCATCCCTCTGACGTTCCAGTCTTTCTCTGACGAGTCTAGTGCGTTGGCCCGCTTCTGCGACGGCGTCACCATGTGCTCCGCCCCCATTGGCTGGTGGTCCTTGTTCGGCCTGGTCAGTGGTGAGGCTTGTTCCGAGGCGTCTGGCTCGGCCGTGGCCCCAACGCGTTGCGTTCCCTGCACCGCCCGAAGGATTCGCGGATCTGGGGATCTCGGAGGCCCGAGGCCCTGATGTGTCCTTGTGCATGTAACTCGTATGCATGCATCCTCGTGCGTGGGTGGGCGAGTTGCTTCTTTGCCCTTCCTTCGGCAACGACGCGAGTAAGCGAATACGGGTTGAGGACGGTATGTAGTAAGACTCGGTATGCATGGGATGCATGGATGCATGGATGTGTGGATGTGTGGATAGATAAACCGGGAGAGAGGGAGAGACTGGGATGTAGGTAGGTATGGACCTATGTACTACCTACCCCCCGTAGACACGTACATACTCGGACATGACATGGGCGGGAGAGAATGGGAAGAAGAAGACGAAGACGAAGAGGTTCTTTTGTTATTTTTTTGTTTTTGTTTTGGCTGGCTGGCTGGATGACTCGCTCGCTACGTACCTGCTCATCGACCTTCCTTGGTATGTATGTCCTCGGTATGCATGTTCAAATCGCTGGTGTCCGTTCTGCTTCATCCTTCTGCTTACCTACCCGTTTCTCCCCTCCTGACTCTGTACCGACACTACCAACACTTCTCCTCTGTTATGCTATGCTATGCTCTACCATCCCATCCCATCCCATCCCACCCCAGCCCACACTAGGGTATAGACACCATGGCTGCACGACACCACGCTACTCGCACCCCCTACGTACAGGTACTCGGATTTTGGCCGTCCGCGAAACGACCCGGTTTCCTCCTCCGTGCTTTGGGAGCGAGGGATTTACAGTATGTATGTAGCGTGTGTATGTATGCATGTATGGATAGATAGAATGTGGGAGGATACAGCGTCCAGCAGTGCCAACCCCAACCCGCCACGGCAGACCGGGGCAAACACTTGACATTGCATTGCAGATTACACCGAATGCCTCGCTGCTCTTGATGCTTCTTTTCATCATGTACACCAGTACAGTCGGCACCTAGATGCCTAGGTATGTACTCGGGGAGGTCCTCGGGAGGTGGCTACTATGTAGCCCTAAACCCTAGGTCCTAGTCCTGGCTCTGGCCCTGGCCCCTGGCCCTGGTCCTTGAGGCGGGACGCAGATATAATATGCAGGGAGAATCCTTTGAGCCTTTGAGCGAGCGCGCGGAGTTCCCCTCGAGGCTTCGACGGGGCCCTGGCCTCGCGAGCTACGTAAATAACCTACATGCCTGCCTACCTGTCTACCTACCTACCTATACTAGTACAGTAGATTCCATGACTTCCCGTCAAGGCCTTGAACCACAGGACCATATGTAGGCTGGGAGCAAGAGACTCCCGCATATCAGAGAAGACGAGAGAAGAGGAGAGAGAGAAACAGACAGACAGACAGAGGGCAGGAGGGGAAGTGTGTGGGTGAGAGTGAATATCGTCCCAAGGGAAGAAGAGGCATTGGGATATCTCTCCTCTCTCTCAGTCCTTTGCATACCTGATCGTTCCCACGCTCCCTCTTTGGTGATGGTGGAGAGAATGACAGACTGGCTGTACCGCGTAGGATAGGAGCGTCGGATATTACAACACCTGGCTGCCCGAGGCGGGGATCTGGACGTGGAAAACCAAGAGTCGTCGCTATCCCCCGTGCTCCAGGCGAGCTGTCGTAGCTCAAGCTCCAACCTCGACATCACCCCTCGATACCTCGCCTATGCGTCGTCTCGTCTCGCTTCGCGTCGACTGCTGCAGCTTCGTTGTTCTTCCCCTCTCTCGTCTGTATGCACACGCATGCATGCATGCATGCATGCAAGAGTACCCAAGACACCCATGTACGGGCCCCCTCGCAGAGAGCTCCGGGGAGTAGCCGTGTAAGTTTCGCTAGCTACCTACATACCTAGGTAGAGCAGCCAACACCGGCGACGACAACAAAAAACGACAACAATGATGGATGACAAATTCCGAATCCTGGGGTAGGGGTGGAAGGGGGAGGGAGGGGGGGGGGGGAAGCAAGCACAGGCCAGCTCTTCTTTCCTGTTCCCCTCTTTGTCACTCTCGACCCGCATCCTGCATCTTGCCTTTTTGCTCTCTCGCCCTCTGGCTGGAGACTGTGCCTGGGTTTCATGACCCGAGGACGCACAGCGCGGCGTCGAGGACCAAGTATCAAGCCCAGGGTCTTCCCTCACGCAGGACGCGTCGGGATACAAGGTCCGTTCTTCCCCGGGTCGCGAAAAGGGGGGGGGGGGGCGGAGCCAGCCGGGGATGTTTATCCTTCCTTCTCCTTCTCCTTCTCCTTATTCCTCCCGGGCAGAAAAGGCGGGAATTGGAAGGGGGACAATGCCGGGGGTCAGCACTTACAATATCCCTATGAGTACATGACTGGTATGTAGCATGTATTCGTAGCACCGCGGAGGCCAGTGGTCGGCTCATTCCAGGGTGAGCGGAGAGGCGGAAAAGAGCATTACGTGCACTTGCACAGAGGCGAAGGGCATGCGCTAGCCAGGACTTCTCGTAGGTGGCAGAACAATCACACAAACAACCAGATGGAGGAAAAGGGGAGAGAACAAAGGACACTCAACACTCAACACTCAACACTCGGCCAGTCGAGGTGTTGGGCTGATCTGCAACCACTAGCGAATCGCCCCGGCATGACCGGGCACGACCAGGCAAAGACGGGCGGAAGCGCGGGGATGGAAACAAGCCGCGTCTTGGCGATCCACGCACAATGCCTCACTAGGCAGGAACTAGAAGTTAATCCCCGACACTGGGTGGCCGGTTGCCAGTTGCCAGTTGCCTGCTGCCCGCTGCCAACTTGCCACAAGGATACAGTAGTCCTCTTCCCCTACACCGTCCTTGATAGAGCGGCCCCTGGGGACATACTCGTACAAGTCAAACGCACCCATGTTTCCACGCCTCATGCCGGGTCGCGTGGGATGCGAAGCGGAAGCCGACGGGCACCACAGCCAACAGGGATCCGTCGTCGTCGTGCGGTGTCCGAGTCTCACGGCGATCCGTACCCACCGCGCCACCTCGTATCATGCATGGCTGCCCAAGGGAAACGTGGATCGTGCTTGATCGCTAAAGGGCTCTGAACAACGTCCCAAGAACCCGGACAGACGGTAAGGGAAAAAAGCTTGCTCTCCAGCCCGGCGGAGCCAAACATCGGCCCCTCCCTGTGCAAAGGTTGCAGCCAGTAATCCATGCACCGAGTTGGGGCCGAGCAAGACGCAACGAAAGGTGTCGTGATGGGTGCTCGGAACAAGAAACAGCACAGACCATGATCGATGAAAGGACAACGTTCTTTTTTTATGTCACGAACCCGGAGATTTTTCTCTTCCCCTATCCAACTCTTGGGTATAGTTCCAAAACCAGCCTTTCCCCGCAAATACACCATTGACATTCATTGCTCATACACTGCCCCTCGGACCAGACGGATTGGTGTCTAGGACACCTTGATCGCCCAGTCTGCCATCGCAGGCAGGCAACCACGTCGTAACTCTGTCCCCTAGAGGGCGGAGCCGAAGGCTCTGGAGTAATATTCGACCGTGAGGTGGCTAAGGTTAGTTGACAGCACACCGCCATACCACAACTGTGCCCAAGCTTGACTGCATCCGTGGGGTCCGGAACGACCCTTGTCCTGCAGAGTGAAGCACGGTGCAATGCTCTGCAGTACAGGAAGGTGATGTCGAGACACGCACTCGGCCTCGTGGCGGTCGATAGGACCTCGTGGAGACCGCCTGGGGAGAATCGCTTTTTAACTGTTCAAGCAATCAGAATGACTGGCACTCTCGCCTCTCTTCAACCATGACCGTACAGGCTCAACACTTGCTCTTCTTCTTTGGACGGCCTCCGTCCATATACCACGTAATGTCTCTGATAGGAATGCACTGACTTCGTGAGTGCTGCTTTGCGGACGTCGGCTAGATGCACCTCGATCTCGTCCCGGGACCACCTGAGGCCGTCGGCACCGAACAGCTTGTACGTAAAGCCTTGTAACCCAGCGAGCCAATTAGCAAGCCACCAGCCGCCAATGTTCTTGAGGCGTGGATCGCGGGGCCAGGGACCTAAAGGAATCTTGGAGATGTGCTCGTGAATGTCCACGTAGCCCGCTTCTTCCATCCAAGTCTTGATGTCGGCTGCAACTCGAACGGGTCGCGCGGGCTTGAGAGCTTTGGTGGCGGCATAGTCCAGATGCTCTTCCCAGGCCCTCATGGCCCAACCTTCGGGGATAGTGTTGTCGTCGGATACAGGCTGGGGATGGATTTCGTGACACTCCAACCATCCGGCCCCGGGACGAAGATATTTCCTGGACGTCCGGATCAAGTCTTCGTACGAGGTGAGGGATCCAGCCATGAACCGGACGTGGCAGTAATCGACACTTCCAGGTTCCCGGACCCAGTCCTCGTCGGCACAGTCTTGGATCTCAAAGTAGACGTTGGATGGGACGTCATCAGGCTGAACGGCTGAAAGGTCCACGCCTGTGATGGTGGCATTGGGGAGCGCGTTGGAGTCGGCAAGTTGAATCGGCCAAATCCCACTAGCATATAATCATTAGCAGAGCACAGAGGTGGGTCGAGCATGAATCCTATGCGGCACCGAGAAGAACTTACGTGCCCGTGCCTATATCCAACACCGTCAGGACAGAATCTGGGTCAAGAGGGGCAAAAAACAGGCGGCCATGGAGTCGATTGAGGATTTCGTGCTGCTCATCCAGTCGAACCTGTTCGTTTTCGTCGTTGGGGAATAGATATGCGCCTTCTTTATATCGGTGGTACCTTCGACCCCAATGGATCGGGTAGTCGGTGATACTGGCCGTCAAGGACCGGGTATCGTAGTGAGCACCGCCCTCGGAGGAATGCGTTGATTCTGAGTCTGGTACTAGAGGGGAATCCATGGTTTGAACGGGAGTAGTCGAGGGTACTGGGGTGGCCGAAGACGACATCTTGGAGCGAGGTACGAGCTGAAATGACCCTGCCAACCAGCCATAGGCCTCAAGGGAGGAGAACCTTAATGCACCTGACTTGGTGTCGTCAGAACCTGGCATACGATGATTCCCAAACTTTGTCGTGTTTGCGGCTGGATGGAAATAAGGTTGGCTCAGTCAGACAATTGGGAGAGCGAAGGGGGAGGGGGGGAGGTGGGTTTTCGGTCGAGGGTGGTAAGAGGGGACCTCGTATGCTTGGGGCGACAAGTGGCTGCAGGCGGACCCAAGAGGCCGGCAAAGGCTGATGCAGATGATGGAACCCGACAGCCAAGTGGCCACTTAGTCGAAGGATACCGTGCAGTAGGCTGGGCGGCAACAAGTTCCAAAGGGAAGCTTTTCGATGGGATGAACGTGGTGGAAGCCGGGGAGACGACGGCCTGGGCGGTTCGGTCGGAGAGATATTCGGCGGAAGGGCCTCAAGGCTTTCTTGAAGAGGTGGTTTGACCTGGAAGAAAAGGCTGTGAGAAGGCGGGGATCGAGCAGAAGAAGATTGAGAGTGAGAATGAGAATGAGAATGAGAGAAGTAGTTAGGAATGCAGTGGTTTTTGGTTGTGCGGTGCGGGCTGAATAATACTTGTCCAAGTCATCCACCACCACCACTGCCACACAGCCCAGCAGCCAGCAGCCAGCAGGTGTCGTTGTTGTTTTAGAAGTTCGAGTTGGATGTGGATGAGCACCCACGAGAGGGGAGGCCAGGAAAACCCGAAACTGAAGACCGACCAGACCAGACCATGAGTTCGAGTTCCACAACCTTGAGAGTCGAGGCCTGGCCTGTTGCTGGAAAGGTGTCGTGAGGCCGTGAGCCAGCCCGTGAGCCCGACACCCAAGGGAACGTGCAGCAGTATCCACCGACCGAGTGTTCAGTCGTGATGGAAGATCAAAGTGTGGAGATGGTACGAGAGCATGACAGTGACAAAGTGACAAGTGACTGGCCTGCAGATGGTGAGGGCGTCAAAAAGGCATCGAGGGGGAGAAGCCCGGCAAAGGATGATTTGCAGCGGCGCAGCACCGCACCAAAGTCACCAACCGACCAGCTAATCAGTAACAATACCCAGATACCCTAGGGCAGGTGCTTGGTATCCATTTACCACTCGAGGGCGGGGGAACGATTGACTTGACAGTGGTTATCAGTTGCGCAATGGCACCCACTAGCTCCGTCCCATGCTTAACCCCTCGCTCCCAAACCCACCCAAGATCCAGTGCCTAGTCCCCTGCTCCGGCCCCGGGGATACATACAAGGTATGCCGCACTGGGCACAGGGCATGGGCACTGGACACTGGGCAGTCTCCTAGAGAGTTCCACCAACGACAATCCCTACTGACCGGTGCTGGGTCTTTGGTGGTAGTACTAATTAAGTCTCAACTGCCCTGGTGGCCCCGGCCGCCCCCGCTTTCCACCTAACAGTTCATTTGCGTACCTAACTGATGCTCCTACATAATACCTAGACCTAGGTATGCACTTAGCCCTCCTTGCCTAAGCACCCCCCCGTGTCGCAGGTGTCACCAGACCCAGACTCATCATGCACAGGCACGTCGTGCGGACCATCTGCAGACCTCGGGACCCTCTGATTTAGCTACTGTATTATTGTTTCCATGGCCGACCCGAGTTTCTGGTTCAGGTGCAGACGGCCTGCAGGTGGTGCATGTGCCGCACATGCTGACAGGTTACACAATCGCCCCTCTGCTGTACACGGCGGCGTGTCTGGCCCAATTGCTTCATCAGTTCGCTTCTTGGGTGCCATCCATCTGGGCCTCTCCAGCAGTGCCGACTTTGTCTCCGTCCTTCACCGCCCTCGCTTCACCATCCGGTTGGCTCAGCCCAGCTTGCTTCCCAATTCCCTCGCCCTGGACACATCGCCGATGCCCGTTTTGGTGCCTGAACCATTCTCCTTGCCCTCGACTCTCGTCTATCATGTGCCGTTCACCCGCTCTCCAGGACGCTGGCATCCTCCCAGTGTTCGGAGCCGCTCACCAAAGCAGGCTTTGCACATCCCCCCACGCTTCCCGACGGCTTTGTTTACATTTTTCCCTAACCTCGCTTCCACTGGATTTCCGCAATGGTCGCATCCCGCGTGATCCCATATTGCGCTGTGAACCTCCCCGAGTCATTTACTCAGCAGGTCGCAAACCCCAATTCTCCGAGCCTGAATCAGTAGTTTCATGCACCTGGACGCTTTCGTCGGGCTTGCACGACGCGGCCCAGTATCGCAGAGTTGTCCCTTCCGTGTGCCCTGGTCCTCCCTCCTCACTTGCAGCGCTTTTCCACAATGCTGGCCCCATGTTCTTCATACTCCTTCTTGGATATCCACATCTGATGGAATGTGCCTAGACTGGCCACGATGCTGCCTCCAATCCAGCTTCCAAACTTGCGTTCCACCGGCATTCCCGAGGCTTGAATTCGCACTCGCGTACTGGGATATTGCTTGGTCAACTCCTGCTGGATCCGGTCTGGTAACCCCCGGATGAGCGATCCTGCTCCCGTCAGGACCACATTGCCAAGCAAAAACGGTCGGATGTCCACGTCCACCTGGTTAAGGCTGGCCTTGACCAGCCCTGTCACTGTGCCCTGCGCGTCGGGGGCTGGGTACAGTTGAGCTTCCTCGGACTCGGACGGGGGTGCATAGTAGCACTGCGGGTCGAATATTGACTCCACCAGTCTGAATCGTTCAGACGAAAATGTCTGGTTATACCCGTCGGGGAACTCAAAGGGATGCGCGTATTGTTGCTCCCGCGCTATCATTTCGCCCTGTCCTCGAAATGGCGTGTTGGGATTCGTCCATGCCTGCAGCGCGATCTCCTTGAATTCGAGAACGACCTTCTCTTCCTGATAGCGTCGGAACGATGGTCGTGGCGGTTGGAACCCTTCTGGGAATTGCTTCAACACCGCATTGGCCGGCTGGCCAGCATCCACAGGCTGTTTCGACTGAACAAGATAATGGGGCGTGATGGTTATCGGGTCTGGCTCGTTGGCTTCGAGCATGTTGCGCACCTGCGACGATAGGAAGTTTCCTCCGATGTTCGACCGCATGATACCCTTCTTCAAAATCATGCCATCATGCACCGGCGTGACTGAAACCTGGGACGCGCCAAAATCCAGCACCAGCGCAGTGGGCCTACCCGCGGCAAACGCGCCCATCACACCAGCCCTTCCAAGGTAGAATGCTGGCGCTGACCAGGACTCCAGCGCAATCTCCACGCACTTTTCTCGCGCCTTTGTAGGATTCCACGAAGGTTCGGTCATGAAGAGGGGGTGATCTTCCAGGCACCGCTCCGTGTCGACCGCATCTGCCATTGCCTTCTGGAGGTCTGGTACCGCCGTCGGGTCATTGAGCCAATCTTGGAGTGCCCGGTTCGGTCGCACGCCCGTCAGTTTGTGCGCGAACGAAAACTTCCACAGCGCCTCGGCTGCATCCCAGTCTTCCACAATGCCGTCTCTTCCCATGGGATTTTTGATCTCGACATCTTCACGCGGCAAATCGATTGCGTGGTCCCCAAAATATCGGGTTGAACCGGTCGAGGCGTAGAACGTAGGGACAATCGACTTGGGAGTATCTTCGCCCGCAAAGCCGGCGCGCACGCTGGAGTAGCCTGGGTCGAGCACCAAGGCAGCGACTTCATCTGTTCAGTTCCCCCAGGATTAGCAAGCAGACTAAGGAGGCATCAACGACGACATATTTGGGTCCCAAAAGGGACGTCCGATTCGTACCTCCAGCGTACTCTGCGGCTTTGGGCTCGTCTCGCGACGTCAAGGTAGTTGCCATTGTAGCCAGGTTTGATGCACGAGACGAAACGGATTCAGATGCGTGTCATCGAGTCGCCCAAATGCGTGTTTGCCTTGCCCCTCCAGACGGAATAGCTCTAGCTTGATCTCAAATGAGGTGCCGTCCCAAATAATTGGGAAGCCCTTTTGCGACGCGCCGCGAAAAGTGCCAAGGACGCTTTGCGGAAGCGGAAAAACGAGACGCCGCCCTCCCCTCTTCCCTCGCAGCCTTGCGCTGGGCTTGTCCAAGACCAAAGTCAATACTACTTGTCCATCGCAAGCTACAGGACTTAAATCACCCAGTTGATAGATGGAAAGACTTATAATGGGATAACGTGGCTCAGGGATTTCTACGTCTGGGCTCATAAAGTATCACGAGTTTCTGTGCTAAGATGGACATCGAGATTCCCCCGCCGCTGTCCGCTCACACTTATATCTGCATTGCACAGCAACCAAGCGTGAATATTGAAGAGGTTGGCGTGTGCACTCCACTCAACCAGGTGTTGATGTGTTCTCAATAGAAGGGGCTTTCAACCCGTGAGAAGCCCACATTAGCAGAAGTCACAGCTTTAGTTGACGATAGTCGCAAATACGTGATTCTTTGCGGCAGGAAGGGGTGGCGATGTGGAAAGGGAGAGCACTGAAACCAGAGCAGAAGTCGACGTATTCGGCAGATAAGACAAGAACTCCTACCTCGGTCATTATCAAGCTGGGATCCTAGCTCTCTTATGTCGCCGGCTGGTAGCTTGGAACCATCTTAAAAGAGATCTTGTCAGCAGTTTCGCAAAAGAGCTGGCAGACCAACGGCCTCAGCTGCCTGGGAAAACATCCAATTGGTGGCCCCCATGGGCATGCCGAATGACGATCAGCACAAACAGTGATTAGTTGAGCGAAAGATAAGGGATGATACACAATAAAACTGCACTCACACTTGTTCAAAAGGCAATTTGCAATGGCTTACCTGGATAATTCAATTTTCCCACCCCCTCCAAAGGCAACGGAAGAGCGACTTACCTCAGTCGATGTTCAATTTGGAGGCGATCCAACAACTTTATACCACGGCGCCCTTACCTAGAATCCCTTGCCACTGTTATGGTGCGTCTGTCATTTCCGCGTCGTCGGGCTGATGGGACTTGGCCACATATTCAAAATGTTTGTACCAAAACACTTTCCATAACTGATATGCCCAACGCCTGTGTTTGGAATCGGAAGAAAAGGCATGGGCAATACTAGGCCCGTTCGTGGCGTTCTGATTGGGGTGCAGCGACGACTTCAAGCGTATGACATGTTCCTCGTAGTGTTTAGCTGGACCGCTTTCGAAAACGTTGCTCCAGAGGACCAGATGCTCCTCTAGGATATCGATTGTCCAGAGTTCTTGTGGCCCTTCTTCTCGAGTCAGCGACCACCTGAGGAAGTCGGACATTGGGCTTCCCATGCGATCCAAAGCCCAACAGACGAGATGTGATTCCGAAGGTGGATTGCGACATTCCGCCAGGCGATCACGGTGGGCGCTAAGACACCCGATAAGTATGGCAAACTGAGTGCGAACAGCATGTTCGGGAGTGCAAAAATCGACAAACGCTTCCCAATCCCCGGTGGGATCAAAAAAGGCCTGTTCGGTGCCATGGTCCAAGACTTCTCCAGGTTCCATCATGCTACTGCAATAGAAATGGTCGTATGCACGGGTCTTTTCCAGCAAAGCAAACTGAACGATTGCTTGATTGAAGTTAGCGTGGACACTGTCTGTCTTTTTGCAGGAAAACCCGCAGTCGTGACCGCAGTTATGGCATCTAAATGTCGAATCGAAGCTTTGGTACATTCTTCTTAAGGCTGTATTTCAAAACTTTGTGGGAATGAGGACTGAAGGCGACCAGTAAATGATTATTCGTGTGAGCGTCTATAGGATGCTGTTCATAGACCGATTGATGGCGAGAGAAGTACAAACCATGGAATCAAAAGGCTGTCGATGGTCGGGGCAGTTTTATAAAGTTCGTTCTTTGAAGTATTGACCTTAGATTGTCGTCGAATGGGCTTTGTTTTATTAGCTCTTGTTGTCACAATGGTCGCAGTACAAGTCGGTGTCTGAAGGGTATTGTCATTGAAAGCCTGTTCCTTTATACACAACAGTCTTTGTGACGGTTGAGAACTCACCAACCTACGAGTAGACCGACCCTTGGTGATTTGGCCTCCAGAATGTGATCGGCCTAGAGAACGCTGCAAACCGGTCCTTTCTCTTTGGTGGAGCAGGGACTTCCACTTCATATCTTGCCCTCTTCAGCCAGCCTCCGGACTCGATTCAGCAACGCGGTGCCCTGGCGCCCGAGCTTTATTTTTCCGTCTTTACCGGGTCTTCTAGCCTTTGCCATGGCTTTGTTCTCCTTCTCACGAGCCTCTCTAGCTTTCCTTTTCGCTTCAAGTGCTGCTTTGTGTTCAGCTGCAAGGTTTATTTCTTTCTTGTACCGTGATTGTTTCGGAGGGCGTTTTCTCGATTGATTGTCGAAGTGGCTATTCTGTTTTCGAGCATCGTCCTGGTCGAGTTGCATTTGTCTGTCGCGCGCCTCTGGTCTTTCGAGCATTGCTTGTCGGTCCGGATGTAACTCAAGGCTTACGGGAGCATTTTCGGGAGGGAGGTCATTCGGGCCGCTCTCAGTGTTTTGTGCAATTCGTGCAGCCTCCTCTTGTGCCTTGACTTTGGCATAAGCCCTTTTCACCTTTGCTTTTTGGATGAGGTCGTTTTTGATTTTTTGTGCTAGCAAATGTCAGTTCAGGAGCACACTATACTGGGCGAGAGCATTACTCTTCCGCCGATATGTGCCATCAGGAAGATTCGCTGGTCCAACAGAGAATCCCTTGCGTTTCTTCTTGTCTGGCTGCTTTGCACCAGCAGATGAATCATCTCTGGCTCGCTTGACACTCATCGCGTTTGGTCAATCCTGGGTCCTTCAGAGCCAAAAGAACATATCAAGTTTGTGGCTAAGAAATATTGGCAGGAGGCGTTTTGCAGTTTGGTCGTGACTTGTAGAAAAATAAATTGGAGTGATGGTACATATGGGTTGGCTAGTTGTGGAGTCGGTGGTGCCTCGCAGTAATAAGTTCTCCAAGATCATGAGGGGTATTACTCTTGACGCACTCCGTACAACAACCTCTCACGTCGTCGCCTGACTAGTAAGTAGCAGAATGTCCAAGGTTGCAGCGCGATAGCACTTATACATGACTGATTTTCTTGGAAACGATGAATATTTCATCCCACTCATATACGCGATCAAGCGATCCTTCCACACTGACCGGTTTGCACGTAACCCAGATCTGTTCTCACTGTGATATCCGTTTTGCTCTATTTCTGCCACTGCAAGCCTATGAACAACTGGTACACACTCCAGAGCATCGACCGATGTAATTCACCAAAATATACGGTACAAGTCGCTGGAAAGTCAAGACCAGGTCAGACGATCTTGACCTCCATCCGGCGTGCTGCTTGAAACCACGAAGCGAGACAGAACGAAACTCCAAGACGAGTGTATGTTGCTTCGCCCGGAACCGCTTGGAGCACGAGGCATGTTCCCTGCCCACTGTTGATTCGAGGGTGCCATCTTTCAACTGCAATGCACACTGCCTGCTTGCCGTTGGCCGCTGCAGGCACGTCTAGTTGAAATGGCTGTCTTTCAGTACTGTGAGAAATAGGACTACCGCTGTGGGCACGTTCGGGATTTTCGACATTGCCAGTGGCTGCGTGGTTCTCGCCTGAGTCCATGAAGTTGTGAACAAGACTCATGAAACAGTCGCGTGTTTGATGGTGTCCAGAACCTTCTTGTTGAAGAGTAACGGAAACCGCGGGTCCTGCAAGGATCAGAAAAGCCGCATCTACGGCTCCAAAGGGATCCTCGAGGCTAGTCGGAATGGTTTGAACATCCAACACTTCTGCAACGACCTCGTTCTCAGGGTGCCAGTTGATGTGAGCTTCCATTCGAGCACGTACAGCGATCCACGACCACGACGGACCACAGTATTTCTCAGGACGATAGGTCTGGGTCTCTCCAGGGGGCGCTCGAACAGCTCGCCATAGCAGCCCTGATGGGAATTCATACCTCCATAGCCCGGCGCAATAGTTGCCCAGATCAGTCGAGGCAACCAGTCCAGCAAAAGCGGACAGGGCTGGCAGCCTATCCCTCTCGTTGTGTAGTGCGCATGCAGAGTATGGCTCCACCACAGAATACCACAGCTCAACCTGGGACGTTGGAGTTACAACGCGACTGAGAGATTTCAGAGTTTTGGTCTTGAACGTCCCTGATTGTCTTTGAGGTTTGATATACTTGCACTCACAATCAAGATTTTCTCCACACTCAAAAAAAATCTCCTCGGCTGAAAAATGCACTACTCTTTTTCCAAGGAGTCGCTCTTGAAAGCACCAGGCTCGTTCGAACAGTGGCGTTGTGTTGAAACAATAGGGGTCACTTGTCAAGAAAGCATCGTGTGAAATGGCCTCATTTACATGAAGGTAAGACCTCTTGCGTGGATGAGTGTCATGGATGGTTATTCTTTGCGCCCCTCGTCGATCGTGGAAGAGGCCCGCATCCCCAGTGCTCCCTCTGGTCGCAGCAATGACAACGTGTGCCTGGCTGTAGACCAAAGCCATGCGCGCCGCCTCTCGCGCAAAGTCTGCTGGATCGTCCTGCACGATGCAGAGCGAGTCGATCCAGACATATTTCAGCCCAAGCCGACGAACGACTGCGATGGTATCGCGAAATGTTGGTGTCAGATCCTCCCATTCGATCCTTTCCAGGTGTCGTTGTAATGTGTCAATCTTTGTCTTTGGGACTGCCTTGAGTCGATCTCTTTTGTCGCCCCAGCAATGGCTAAGTGCCGCAAATTGCGTGTCATTGCTCGTGATTTCTGAACCGATGGCAAGCCTAATACTTTCAGTCTGGTCGTCAGGACTCACATCTACCAGCCGCGTAGGGAGTCCTCTCTCAGTCATAACAAGTCCACACCCGTGCTCCCGCATGCACTCATCAATCCAGTGTTTGATCTTGTCAAAACAGAGATTATCGTCGGACCTTATTGGCGGTAGTGTCCGACAGAAAAGGCGATGATCCGTGGTATAACCTGCCGACAGGTAAGTGTCCATCGCAGAGGAGACGAAAATTCCCCACCTTCGTCCGCATACAGCTCGAGATCAATGCTCCCATATTCCTGGCGTAGCTGAGCCAAATTTGGTTCCAAAGTTGGAATCGAGCCGTCAAGGAGCCATCTGACTCGAATCCTAGAAAAATCGCCTTGATACTCGAGAAAACCACTGTTTCTTATGTGCACCTGAATTCGCCCAGGATCGATCCCAGTAAACCTCGTTTGGAACAGGGCGATACTCTGCACAATGAAACAACATCTTCCACACCCGGCCGTTGCAGTCCTCTGAAAATCAGAGAGTGTCGGCCAAAATGTGTGTACCCTCCTGTGGGCTAGCACGTCCGTACACGAGCAAACTCCACGAAACATGATGCGATACCGGAATCCATCCCAAATATCCCGGCACCTAACATAGGTCTTGGATGCTCTCTCCGCCGCCCATGCAGCAGAGTCCTCGAACCGAGAGCTATCATTGAATTGCTTCCAGCCTCTGACGCGGTTCACGTAACCGAGGAAATTCTCATTTTTCTTTGGTAATAGGCGTGTATCTCTTTTCCTGAAGCTGTTCCATTCGTCGGCAGTGATCTGCACCACCCTGGGTTTAAGACCATCGAGGCCGGGAGAGTTTGTGGTATACATATCAGAGCTCCTGGTCGTCATCGTGACCCCAAACAGAGGAACGGGCTAGAGCCTGCTTGCTGAAGGCTGTCGTATTGCGGATGTTCTAGAGAGGCATTGAATGGAATGGAGGCATATTTTAGTACCCTGTATCTCTAGGTCTGCTCTTTTGTGAGGGAAATCTATGGCGCCTGCACCTTTGTTTGCTAGTATCGGACAACTTCTTGGTGCTCGAAATTCTGGCGGCTCTTATGATGGTCAAGAACTTGGAATGTGTCATGTTTGCGGTGTCTGCGGTTGCCTTGCTGGACTGTACGAGGTACATTAGTATGCAAGGTGCTTTTGTGACCGCTCAGCCCCCTTTGTCCCAGATGACACTGACATTCCTCCATTCAAGTCGAGGAGACGTGCAGCTCGACGAGTCGTGGAATTCAGTTAGATACCTTCCCGTTACAAGGTGATTTTGGGGACTGAGGTCTGGGTGGGCTCTTACCCGGGCGTCGCGCAAAGCGGGTGAGGTGTGGGTGATCAGCAAGCGGTCTTCGCTCGCCCTCTAGGTTCAATCCGTATGACAATTCTGGTGTGTCTAGGTAGTCGGGGAATGGCGGGGTGGAGTTGACGGTTGAGCGCAGCAGCCAGCACAAAGGCGGGCGTGGGCGGGCCTTCTCCCCTTGGCGCCCATTGTTGGCGCATCCTAGGTGTGCTGGTGTGTCAAGGGTGTGACCGGATGACTCAATCACTCCACCACCTGCGGGCTGTTCTTGTACCTCTCATCCGGGCACCAGGCACTGGCTCTTCAAACCACTCTCTTCTGACCTCGTACCTGCATTCAACTCTCCTCTGTTGCTGCTTCTGCTTGACTATTTGACACTGGAACTGCAGTCTCTCATTTCCTCCCACCTGTCTGTATCGAAATCACCTCTAGAGAGTCTCCCACTCCTGCGTTCCCACCGCCCCGTCCACCGCCGGTAAACTCCTCAACGGATCAACTATGCAACAATAGCTTGAGCTATCTCGTCTCTCCTGGCCTCTCTGGTCCGGCCGTGATGTTTTCCACCTGTCAAACCATTCCACTTGGGGCTCATTTTGGCAGCCTATCACTTTTGGTGCCTGTGGTAAAGCGTCTGTGGTCTGCGGGGGGAGAGCATGCCCTTCGTCTGGGGTCGTGAACGATTTCCAGAGCCTCCAGCCAAAAGACGGAAAGTGTATTCGGATATGGCCCGGTACAGTGCACCACAGTATGAGGACAACGACGAGGAACAATTTCCATTTGAGGATGCACCAAGTTCGGAAGGATATATTGCCTCCAAACGAGAGGAGCACGGGGAGAAGCATGAGATATCAATCCGGACAAGTGATAGAGAAGAGCTGATCCAGTGCATTAAACGGGGCCAGCGGACGACATGGGTTCCCAAACCTGGACTGGAGGCTATATGTGCCGAAGTCAACGCCGACCAGGACGCTTCTTCACCGCCTACCTTGCTCTCGCAAAGGTCTGATATTCAACCTGAGCAAAGCACAAGGACTCGCGTGGGGAAGGAGGACACAGGGATAAGGCCCCCTCCACTCTCCGCAGCCGATGCTTTACGCCGTTCAATGTCGCCCTTGCAAACGGGCGAATTTCTTGGTGACCTCTGGGAGAGGACAACGCGGATTCCCCAGGAATCTGCACCTCTTTCCACACCCAGGAAGCAGGATGTTCGACACGAGTACGGTGACTCTCCTCCATTCTGGCAGACTGAAACTTCTCCAACATTGAGTCTCAAGTCGCATCAGGGTTCTCCTTCGGACATCCTCAGAAGGTCGCGTGCCCCCTCTCTCGGAAGCAGCTTGTCTTCAAGTTTCGTCATGAGAATCCCCACGAGTCCCCTCGTTCACGCGACGAACAATCCTACACTGGATTTCTCGCCGAGGGATCCACAGAAGGCTGAAATGGGAAAATCAGCAAGAAGGAGAACAATGCCTCCCAACGCCTTCGAATCTTTGCACATCTCACCCGTGGACGCTGCCACGCCGAACTTCAGCCGGCCATTACCATACGTCCAGTCGCAACACCGTGATGGTCCCTCGTTTCCCCATGGACACCGACCACGTCGTTCGTTAAGCTCTTTCACATATCAAGCTGCTATAGTTCCACAGGTCCCTCCCTGGCTGAAACAACGTCGACCTTCGCTGGCAGCTGACGGATCTCCGCGCCATCGGGCATCGATGGTCGGCTCTTTCGAGGAGTCGATTCTTCGAGGTAGGATGTCTACCCCGCCGTCGAAGCCTCTTGACTTTGTGGCACAAATTGGAGTTATGGGAAAAGGTAACTGCCCGGCCAGCCTGAAATGTCCGGCCCACGTAACTGTACCGTTTCCGGCGGTCTTTTATAACTATCCTTCGGCGAGTGCGTCCAGATCAATCTCAGACGATAATCCTAGTCCTTACGTTGGCAATATCGACCTGGAACATAATTTGAAAACACCGCAAGAACCACGCCGTCGCACGCGACGGTCTGAAGCTAACCTTGATCCCGAAGCATTGGCAGCCGAAATCACAAAGCCGGAAAATACGGCTATTGGCAGAGCTTTAGCTAAGGAAGCACGGGAAAAGAAGGAAAATACTACAGCATCGTCCAAAGTTCCTCCTGGTGGAGCATACCGCGTGCCGCAAAAAGGGCAACTGCAACTGATTATAAAGAATCCCAACAAGACCGCAGTCAAACTATTCTTGGTCCCATACGATCTGGAAGGCATGCTTCCTGGCACCAAGACATTCGTTCGACAGCGGAGTTACTCATCTGGTCCGATTCTCGAAACTGGAATCTTGGAGAAACAAGCTGCCTGGGCAGATCGAGACCCTTTGAGCACAAAGGACATCCTTCGCTATCTCATCCACCTCAAATTTTGCTGTACGGCAAAGGGTCGTTTCTATCTCTACGACAATATTCGCGTGGTCTTTGCCAACCGCGTGCCAGACGACAAGGAGAAGCTACGGAACGAAGTTCAGCTGCCGGAGCCTAGATACACTGCCTATAAACCGGCAGTGGGGCAGCATTCGCGAAGCCCGAGCGTGGCAGAAGAGAAACTCCCTGATCGATCGCAAGCTCGAGCTGCTCTTGATTTTGACAAGTTGGACGATGTCGTGCGTTCAGGCAGCAGAGACAACCATTTCATGCAAACGGAAAGCTCACCTCCTACCCCATTCGACCTTCCGGCAACCTCGACTTTCGACCATGACTCGACTGGGGTGGGGCACGACGAGGGATCTGGACTTGAGCGCACACTTTCTCCCACTCCTGGCTTTCTGCCTTCAACGTCGTCGCGAAGTTCGCCAGTGCCATGGCCGACTTCCAATGGTTCTTCCATAGCACAAGGCTTCACTTCCACTCCAGTCGAGGCTGGACATGGATTACTGTCGCGCAAGCTCAAGGAATTCAACGGGACAGTTGCGGGGCAAAGGGAGTAGCGCCCGATAGACGGCGCTTATCAGCAGAATGACGGAGTTCTGGGCGTCACAATCGGAACTGGGACTGAAATAATTGGAGATACCCCCCTGTTTCTACTACAAGGACTCGTAGAGAGGAGTACTGGCCAAAGGTCCGGAGACATACTCATACACAATTTCAAGGCATATTCTTTTCTCCTGGTAGCCTGATGCCTCACCCGAGTAATCATCCACCAAAGCCACAGCGGAATAGGTCATGGGGCCGACGAGGCAGGCTTCCACCCCCTGTGCTCCGTACCCCGTACATGTGCATCGAGCAGCTGATTGTGGCTGCTCCCCCTTGGGTAGGGCAACTGGCCTTGATTTTTTTCTAAGGGTGCGCGTGGGGGCGGAGCAAAGCATCATGCGTCCGCCGCACCAACGCTCCCCATTCGTCATCTTCCTTATGCACAGCCTAGGGACATGCAGCCACTGACAACCGCAGCTACGCCGGTCAAGCTCTTCCCATCTGGTTGCTTGTGGCATAGTTATGTGAGCTTACGGGGGCATCTCATGGGCCGGGCCCTAAGTTCCTGTCCTTTCAGAAGGGGTAAACTGTTCCACCTGGCCCTGCGAGTTGCTTCCTTGGACCCCTCCGTGTGTGCGGATGTGCGTGTCTGTGTGGAAGAACTGGAAGTTGTGCGGCGAACGGCTAGATTCCCGCCAGTGCCAGTGGTCCAACTAACCTGCCTGCGACGCACAGTCCACTCAAGTTACGACTTTCAACCGCAACTACTCTCCATCATTCCAACTTCACCTTCAACTCCAGCGAAACGCCGATAGCAATCCCTTCCTTTCCTTGACGCTATCTCTCCGAGCTTCCACCTCTCCCTGCCCAGACCTCCCTCTGTGTTCCATAGCCTTCTCGATGCAACAACCATAGCTCCTCCTTCCCGTCCCACTCCCTTCCGAACGTCGATGACCTGGGGAGTCGTCCCAAGCCGAAGATGCACAAGATCAGCAACTTCACTGGCCAGGCCCGTCATGGCTGGGAACGGATGACTCCTGCAGCGTTTGGCATGTCCAGATTCCACCAGGACCTGTCAACGCCGCAACCACTGAGACGTCCACAAGGCTCACCAGGAATTGTATCCCAACCGGCATCCGAGGCCACATCCGTCAACCTGTCCTTCAACGTACCCTTCGCCTCGAACCTTGCCGGCCCCAGTCCCGACGAGATCCTTCACTCGAGCCCTGGTGCTTTTCAACGATGGACGTTCCCAGCAGGTACCCCCGAAGGCACACCTATCCACAAACTGCCTGTCCATGTGCAAAACGAGGAGAGGCTACGCTCTTTGTGTGCATACATCAGTGACCAGAGTGGTGGCCACATCCAAGCGACTGTCACGTCGTCGGAGCCCAAGGCTGGTCCGGCCCTACACCGAAAATCCCAAGGCCTGGTGACAAACGTCTGCATATCAGGGGACGGGGACTTGGTCTACAAGATGAGATCGAAAATACTGAATGAGACACCAATCCTGATGGTATGAAGCATTCAAGCCCCCTCCATCCCACCGGTCTGGGTTGTTGCTGACAGGTGAAAGCGCTCTGCAATTGTGGACATCGACCCGGCATTGATCTTGGACGGTGCAGAGACCGGAATCCGCTCCAGTGTCCTTAGCCACATTGACCTTTGTGCCAAATATACCGGAACCGATATTTTCCTCCTCAAGCCTCGTAACGCCGAGTCGTCTGCTGCCAGTGCCTCTTACGGCAACGGTGTTGACAGCGGCCTGGATCAGCGGTATCGAGTAAACATCTTTGGGGATATGGAAAGTGTGGAACATGCAAAGACCCGGGCATTGATGATGATTGACCAGATAGTAAATCCTCCAGAGTCGCCGCCCGCATTGGATCGCAACTGACACATGGACAGCTCAAGCATAAGATTGACGTGATCAAACTCGAAGTATCGATGCACACTTTGGTTTCGGGCCGAACTGGCAAGAACATCAAGATGATTGAGTCGGCCACCAAGACTGCTATCTACTTCCCCCCTCCATTTCCCGGAGTGTTCGGTTACGTACCACCTCACGCCACGCGTCGAGCTGCGGACGAAGTTTTCATTACAGGAGAAACACAGGAACGTATCAACCAGGCGAAGCAGAAGCTGAAAGAGCTGGTCATGGGCATCAAACTCTACTCCAAAGACGCCGTTGTGTCTGCAAGCAAAATCGACAACATCCTCCTCGACCGCCTGGACAAGGTCCGGAAAATCATGGAGACGAACGGTTCTCACGTTCTTTTTCCACAGCTTGGCAGCCAACGTGGGCTCGTCCGAGTCCAGGGGACTGAAGTTCTCCATGTCGAGAGAACGGTGAAGGAGATCATGGCTCTTGTATATCGCCCGCCTCTCTAGATTGTGTCTGGCACGAGTGACTGACCATCGTTGAACAGGCTGGCCAGTTCTTCAGTGCTTCATGGTGGATCATGATGCCTGATCCTTCGCAAGGTCCCACTCTGCGAGCTCCGTCCCCCGAGGACATCCGAATCATGCTGAGCGACATTTGCACAAACTCTGGCGCCGATATCAGTTTCGAAAAATTCACCTTCACCATCAACGGCTCTGACGATGCGGTCAAGGCTGCAATGATGGTTATTAACCAGATCCCTTTCGTGAAGAGAACTCCATATCAGATGCGGGTCAAGATCGAGTTGGCAAACGAGCACAAAGAGTTCGTAAGTGGCAAGAAGAACGGCAAGATCAATAAGATTATGGGGCAGAGTACGAACCCTGGACCAAAGCCGAGTTTGACCCAAGTTAACTGTCTCCGCAGGCAATGTCCAAATCATCTTTGATGGTTTCAACGAGTACAATTTCTATATTGACGTGGTTGGAACTCAGTACGAGGCGACCAAGAATGGTTTGGATCTTGTGGAACAAGAGATGCCGGCGTCAATTTCGTTCCATGTTCCTGACCAATACCACAAACGCATCATTGGCATTGGTGGTCAACACATCCAACGCATCATGAAGAAGTATTCCGTTTTCGTGAAATTCTCCAATGCCATGGACCGCGGAGGAGTGGGTAAGGATGATGATGACATCAAAGTTGACAATGTCATCTGCCGCACACCAGCACGCAATGCGCAGAGTTTGGACTTGGTAAAACAGGAGATTATGGACATGGTGGAGAAAGCAGTAAGCGATGATGATTCCCTGAGTGATGCGTCCATGTCCTTATCAGATGATTAAATTTAGGACGCCGAGTTCGTCTCCGAGACCGTGGTGATCAATAGACTCTACCATCGCGAACTGATTGCCAGGCTGCCTGAGATTGAGGAGCTGGAGAAGAAATGGAACTGCAAGATTGACTTTCCCAACACCGAACAAGCCAGTGATGTGGTCACCATATCCGGTCCAGAATATCAAGTTCCACAAGCCGTCGACGCGTTTCTAGGAATGGTTCCAGAAAGCCACGAGATTGCTTTCCAGAAGTCGGACGAGCTGGATGCCTTTTTCAGCAGCGCGGAATTCTACAACGATCTTCGTCAGAAGTTCCGGAACCAGTACGAAGTAGACGTGCACGCGAACCCCGAGTTTAGCAGTCTACCGAAGTCAGCTACGGCGTCTGTGGAGCGCATTGTTGGACCCTCTGAAGGACGACTGGTTCTCACATACACGCGGAACAATGCCGGCGGCCTCAAAGACGCCATCGACTACCTCATTTCGCAGCTTGTGCCACACGGACTGGATGCTACCACTGTCAAGGGGGCAATTCCTCGCCCAAAATCCGACTCCTTTGAGGACTCGCTGCCTTTCTTCGAATCCAAGCTCTTGCAAAATGCGCCATCCCTCCACTCCACAGATTCACCAACCCGATCGAGCTTCGCTGATGGAGAGAACACATCGGTGTCTGAGCGAGCCTCTCTGTTTGACCGCCTCCGCAAGCCCGGCAGCATCTCGTCTTTTTCGTCATTCATGAGCCGCAAAAACCAGAACAATTCTCCAGGGACGTTCTTCAAGCATGCATCTTCTAACGCGAGCAAGGCATCTCTGATCTCCATGGAGAGTCGGGAGAGCGGATACAGAAACTTTTGGAACGACAGTGGCGTCAATCTCCCCGAGGAAGAAGTTTCCAATTCTTCAATGAGTGGTGGCTGGCCATCACGTTTTCGAGAAGACAAATTCCCCTTCGGCACGGGTGGCAGCATCTCCGGAGATCGAACTCCCAAGCATGAGCCTCGTGCAAGCTTCGACTCGGGCAGGCCACCAACATCACATTCTTTTTCTTCATACCCGGCACCGATTGGGCCACATCATCACAATCAGATCCTGGGCAGTTCGAACGGACCTGCCAGCAATTTGAATCTTCCTTTACGCTAGGCTTTGGAGAAGTCTGAGTTGATCAGAAAAAGTGAATGACCAATGATACCCCGACATCGATATGCAGTTATGATTATCTGCCATTATGTCTAGCGAGATACCCTTTGATGCTACAACGAAAAAGTCAAGAAGAGAAGGAGGAGGGCGCTGACAGTTTTGGATTTACCGCTTGTTATGGAACCCAAGCAATGAGTTGCACTTACGTTGTTTGCCTGAGGTCGGGCTTACCAAAAGACGATTTCCTTTACTTCCATGTCTGACAGACGCTCGTTAGGTCTCTGGTTTTCCAAGATACCCTACACGATTCACATGCGTGGGTGGTGGTTGCAAATTGTCCTGATTGAAGTCATGCAGACAAATTGCCGCTGCCGCTTGGAGTGGTGAAGTCGAAAAAAAAAAGAGATATACCCCAGAAAGCTATCTAGAGTAAAATGCATATCCACATGAACGGAGGCTTGTGATTGATGATAGATGTATGTATGTTACATTTGCACGAGCGAGACTGGGTCGTCGAGGCAGCCCCTTACATTAGTACTTGCAGGAGTATTTCTAGGGCCAGTCACGTGAACGCAATCAAGGCGGCGAGGCGGCTCCCCAACTGTTTCCGTGCGGCGCGACCCTTGCGGGCTTCCAAGTCGCGTCAAACCACTTTTGCTCACGCTTCCCAGTTTGTGTTGCAGGCAAACATTGACGTTGTTGTTGCATCCTCTATTCCCCCTCAACCGGCTCAAACTGGTGGACATCATCGTTTTCATGTCTCTCGTCGGCATTGGCTCCCTGTCATGCAACTCTCCGGCGATCAACTAGCTGCCAAAAATGGCAGATCTCAATGTCAAGGTTGGGCAAAGAGTAGAGACTCAGGACGGCAAGCAAGGCACCGTTCGTTACATTGGGCACATACATGTTGCCTCGGGAGAATGGCTGGGTCTCGAACTGGCCGATGACACAGGCAAGAATGATGGTTCCGTCAAAGGGGAGCGATACTTCAACTGCGCTCCGGGCCATGGCATCTTCGTCCGCAAGGAGTCGGCTGTGAGAATACTCAGTCAACCAGGTCCCGGTGCAAAGCCCAACGGAACATCGGCTTCCAATGGACCCGCACCAAAGCCGAGACCCTCCAGCATAGTTGCTGCAGACGTTGCTAGAAAGAGACAGAGTCTGATGAGCGCCGGTTCCAGTACGACTACAGGTTCAAGGTCTATGAGGATATCTGTGAGCCAACCCCCAAATGCTTGCGTTTTCCGGCTAACTTATTGTTGCCAGTCTCCAATCAAGTCCCCTACGAAGCCTGCCCCGTCTTCCGCTAGTTCATCCACCTCTACTCCGAGAACAGGTACTCCAGCGACCACTGCACGAACCTCTGATTCGAGTACAAAATCGAGGCTCAGTTTGGCTGGGAAATCTACAATGCCCCCACCCGCTTCAGCACACAGGCCGAGCGCCTCAGCGAGTAGGCAGTCAATAGGTGGTCCTGTCAAACCCCCGGCGACGAGGCCTTCTTCAATACAACCACGCCCTTCCATGGCCGCTTCCAGGCTGTCTATGACCCCCAAAGCTCCACCTCGGGCTGAGAAGAGCGAGCCCCTTGTCGACAGTGTTGATGTGAAACAACCACCCCCGGTCGTGGAAGAACGACCGACCCCGACCCCTTCCCCAGACGCAGAAGAACCCGAGCCTCAGGAGCCATCAGTTATTGAAGCGAGAGTTTCAGCCACTGCCACTCCACGTTCGCAACCGCCGGCCGGTCCAAGGAATGGGTTTAGTTCTGCTGCCGAAGACAGATCCCGACAAGCACAGGTCATCAAAGCGTTAGAGACGAAAGTTCGGGCACTCCAGAAGCAAAGGCAGGAGGATCAAGCTCAAATACAAAACGTGCAAGACCTTCAAAACCAAGCGACCCGCTACGAAGGAATCATCCAAACTTTGCAGAAAAAACTCAAGACCAACCAACAAGAGATTCAAGAACTGAAAGCCAAGTATGAGGACGCAGAATCTCGTGCTACTCAGGTACCAGACCGTAGTGCCGAACACGACTCAGAACTAGAGCTCGCGACACTTGACAAAGAGATGGCTGAAGAGCGTGCCGACATGTTTGAGAGTGAACTGGAGGCCCTGAAGCTCAAGCATGAGGAGTTGGAGCTGGAAGCTGAAATTCTGAGAGAAGAGAACCGGGAGTTGGCGTCAATCATGAGTCCTGAAGAGAAGGCAAGCGCCGGCTGGCTTCAGATGGAACGTGAGACGGAGAGGTTGCGTCAGGCACTAGTCATGCTCAGGGACGTGACGCAGCAGAACGAGGGTGATTTGAAGAACGAGATCAAGGAGCTCCATGAAACCATTGATGAGCTCGAGCATACAGCTTCGAAGTATGAGGAGGTTGCAGCGAAGCTCAGCAGGTCGGAGGAGACCAATCAGCACCTCAGAGAACAGCTAGAGGCTGCGGAGGCGAACGATGAAATCTTGGATACTCTGGGCCAAGAGCGTGACCAGAACCGAAACATGATTGAGCAGTTGAAGAGGCAGGTGCAGGATCTCGAGGAACACATCCAAGTCGCAGATGAGCTCGAGGCATTCCATGTCGAAGAGGAAAAGCGGCTACATTACCAATTGGACGAAAGCGAGGCGATGCTGCACGACAGACATCGACATGCTGCCGAGCAGGAAAAGACGATTGAAGACCTCGAATACACACTGACCAAATTCCGTGATGTCGTGCAGGGCCTCCAGGGGGACATTGACGAACTCCGACGCTCACGCGAGATTAGCGAACTCGAGGCGAGTGAGATGAGTAGCAAGTCCCGAGCGATGATGGATCTCAACCTGAAGTTACAGAACTCGGCGGCCAAAACTCAACTGAAGGCCATCGACCTCGAGCTTGGGAAGATGCGCGCTGAGCAGGCTAGTTTACATCTCGAAATCGTGCAGCACTTCGTTCCAGATACATTTGATGTCGACAAGAAACCTATCCTGGCTCTTTTATGTTTCAAAAGAATCCGGTCGAAGGCACAACTGTGCAAAGTCATACTGGCGGAGCGAATGCGCGACAGAGCTGAGTTGCATGAGAGTCCTATGGCAGTATTTGCTGTCATGGAAAGGATGAATTTCATTGCGAATCTCTGTGGACGATTTGTGGAACACCTATCTACATGCTCAACGGACGAGTTCATGAGATATGCTGGTGCCCCGTTCGAGCTGGAGCCTGTGGAACAGGCAATGACCAGCTGGGTGGAGGCCTTGCGCCGCGATGAACTCGGCCATGAAGGATCCGATTATCTCCAACGCATGGCTGACATTCTAGTCGATATGTCTGAGAAGTTTATTCCGGATACTCGCGAAACTAAAGCCATGGAGATGAACTCATCCATCTCGATGGTTGAGAACTACGCAGATAACATTGCCAGCCAAGCACAGATTTTGGGCAAAGCAGTACTAGCCAAGTTAGGAACACCGAAAGACGACGACGAAGACTCGATACTCTTCGAAAAGAAAATGGATCAGCTTGGTATCAAGGCCCGAACGATCAAATATGTTGCTGGCAAGGTGATACATGCAGTGAGCGATCTCTCGGCACGCTCAATGTGCCTGGGCGAGGCCATGTGGAATAAATTCACCGAAGCTGAATTGTGCGCCGAAGCACTGTCGCACTTGACTCAAAGAATCGGAGAGTCGGTTTTCGAGGAGCTTAACAAGATGGAGATGGATGAAGCACTTTCATATTCAAGGATTGTCGAGCTTATGACCGCGGTCGCATCTGGCGAGCAACAACGGAGTGAGCCACAAGGACCTACTTCAGATGACGTCTTCGAGATATTGTTGAAGCAATTGCAGGTCCTGCAAGGAAAGATTGACGACCTGAATGCGAAGTCGGGCGATATAAGTTGCGCCATCGAGTTCGAGAAATTTCCCGCGCCATGGACTGCTCGTGCCCGTGAAGTCAAGGCACAAAAGGCTCTGTCGCAAGATCTGCAGGACGAAATGTCTCGGTTGAAGCTGAAAATCCAAGAACAGACCATCAGGATCAGCGAAAAGGACAAAGAACTCGAGGAACAACAAGTCAAGGTCGAACTACTGGAATCGAGAGCCAAGGACACAAAGGCTAAGGATGACGGCGTGAAAGAGATGAAAGAAGAAATCACCAGGCTTCGCGCAGAGAATTTGGCGGCTGTTGAAAACGTCCAGCGGCTCGAGACAGAATACCAGGCCCTCCTCGAGTCTCAAGAGAGTCAAAAGATGGAACTGGAGGCAATCAAACACAAGAGAATGGCAGACGGACAAGGTCTACCACTTGGGCCTGCGGATGAATCGGCGTCGTTGCGCCTTAAGGCTGAGGTAGATCAGCTCAAGCTGGAGATCATCGGTCTGCAGGCAGCGGTACGCTTCCTGAAGTCCGAGAATCGGCAACTTAGGGTACCCGTTGGCGATATTGCGCAAAGAGCTGTCGAACATGAATGGCTTGGTCTCAACCATCTCAAGGCAACATCGACCAGAGACGCCAACACTCAACAATTGCGGACTGGATCGAAGGAAGTGTTTGCAAGTTTGATGGACATGGCAAAGACGGCGAAGCCTGTCAAACTCAAGCGCACAGCTGTTGCTAGTCAAGATGCGACTGCGAAGATGTCGTACTGGCGAGCACAAACAGACACCACATTGTATCAAGTGCTCCAGCGGAAAGAGGAGCTGGAGCGATGGAATGAGATGAAGGACGACTTGATTAAGAGAGCGAGGATCGTGGCTCGCTCGAAACATGTCCTCAACTCGAAAGCGCCAACGCAGAAATACCACTCAGCTCCCAAGGTTGGCGCCTTCAAGGTGGCTGATATGGAAGATGGCAACCTGGAATTCGGCATTCGAGTTGATGGAGTCTGTATAGTATGACAAGGAAGTCTGTTCTAGTGACTGGGGGTATCCAGGAGCATGTAGCCCCTTTGTGAATGTAATTTACGAGACTGCTGCTAGTCTCTCGAGGATATCATTAAGTCGATACGCCGTACGGTGCGGTATACGCGCGCCCATCAAAGGCTCTTCTTCAAGACCGTCTGCGACTCCGAAAATGGCAATGGTCACGAGCGAGGCTGAGATTTGAGGGCCAGCGCCTTTTCTGGAATCGGAGGGCGAGACGCGCAACGTCCGGCTCCAAGGACCGATAGAGCCTGATCAGGCACCAAGTTACCAAGACGAGGCTAAGCAACGTCTATGACGACGATCTTCGAGGACCCCATAACGGGAAGGCAATACGGAAACAATGCGGCTTGATTTGATTTACGGCCTTTAGTAACAGGGGATGGCGACAAGTACAGACCGGTTGTTCTGAGGCTGGGGCTTATGGCGACGGCAGGGTGAGCGAATATGTACTCCGTACTCCATGCTCGGCACCTGGGCAGTCTGCGCGAGTCTCTGATTACGACAGAATTACTTCGTATGGTTGCGGTTCCTGTCGCTCAGCAGTGGCGCCGCGAAGTCGCCGACTGCGATAGATTCGACCCCGGTGTTTCTATAGCCGCGATGGCCCCTTGTTCGGCTGGTTCTCGACGTTCGTCATATCCTGGCAGATTGTCGTCGGGTCGTGTGGGCGTAGCTCGTTAGCGTACTGGGAGGAATAACACGCGGATCGACGGAACCGTGAAGCGCCCTGCTTTTGTCCACCAACTTGTTCTAGAAAGTCATTCGTGTATTCCTCCTTTTAATTCCCCGCTCTTGCTCTTGTTTTCATGTTACCACGCCTTGGCACTCGAGGGATGTCTTTGTTGCTGTTTGCGGAAAGGTCTCTCGACGGTGATGGGTTTGTTCCGAAAAGCTTAGGGCCCCTGCTGGAAGGATCGAATGGATGAGATGAGAGGTCGATCGCGGAGTCAGGAAAGTCAAGGGAAAAGGCCAAGTGTGGCTGTGTAAGTTAGTGCCGTGATGCTGAGTGATGTGATGGGTTGAAGGCCAGTTGCGGGTGGGGAGCAGCTTTCTTGTCCTTCGCTTCACAAACGTATCGCACTTCCTTCTCTCACCACGCACCCGCTGCAACTATTCGATTTCCATCCCGGAGACCAGTTCTTGTCCATCTGCCTCTCCCCTCCCCGCCACACCACACCACACCGCGCCTGCCCATCCCGACCGAGCAGCAAAATCTCTCGTCCGCAGCGCCTCGCCCTCGCCAAGTCCACTTGGCGGGTACATCAGAAGGAGACAAGAAGCATCAAAGCTTCCTGCGTCGCTTTGCCCAAGAGGGTCCTCATCCTGGCTCGGGAGTAGGGCAAAGCTCTTTCTCCTTTGTTTGCCCAGCTTCAAACACGTTGTTGCTCAACTGGGTTTTTCTCTCTGCTCGGCTCTGTCTTGGTGGTAGATATTCCTGCCCCCCCAAGATATCGAATGGGTACGTGCATGTGCTATATTACACCAACTCCCTTCCCGTCGCAGCACATACCTTTCCCTGTCTGGTATTTCCTCCTGTTGCTTTGGTCGCATTCACTTTCCCCGTGCAGTATTGGCTGACTTGAATCTGGCGCCTGCTATGGCGTCGCTGCGGAAGACATCTCTAGCTGCTAGCAATCTCCGCAAACACTTTGCTCAAACTGCGCACCCTTCCCGCGACGATATCCATATCATGCCTGAAGACGGCGGCATCAACGGCCGCGCAGACCCAAACGAAAGAACCGGGTTGCTCTCCCGAATTACCACCACCGACTCGGGGACGCCCTTTCACAAGCATGAAAATGTCTGGATCAAATACCCTTTCCTCGTGCTACACTTGACCTGGGAGATTCTCAAGACCAACTACGTCAATGTCTTCTTGGTGTTTGTACCTGTGGGCATCCTGGCGGGAGTGTTGGACTGGTCACCTGTGCTTCAGTTCGTTTTCAATTTCATTGCCATCATCCCATTGGCGTCTCTCCTCGCTTTTGCCACGGAAGAGCTTGCCGTTCCTTTGGGCCAGACAATCGGAGGGCTTCTAAATGCGACATTCGGAAACGCCGTCGAGCTGATCGTAAGCATATACGGCAAGACCCCAAATTTGGACCAGGTGCTGACGCTGGAAATAGGTGAGCATCATCGCTCTCCAAAAGAACGAGATCCGCATTGTCCAAGCTAGCATGCTGGGCAGCATCTTGTCCAATATCCTTCTCGTCCTGGGGTGCTGCTTTTTCGCCGGCGGCCTCAGATATCCCGAACAGAGCTTCAACTCCACCGTGGCATCGACAATGTCGTCGCTCATGACGGTCGCCACCTCGTCATTGATCATTCCCGCCACCTTGTACGCTGTCATGTCCAACAACAAGGCACAAGATGATAATATCATGATTCTGTCTCGCGGGACGTCCATCATTCTACTGCTCATCTACGTGGCATATCTGTACTTCCAACTCAAATCGCATGCGAACCTGTTTGATGACTCTGAAGCGCAAGGGCAGGAGGGCGAGGAAGCTCAGCTTTTGGGGCCTTGGGCCGCCGGCCTTGTCTTGGTGGTCATCACCCTCCTTGTCGCTGTCTGCGCCGAATATCTCGTCGGCAGCATCGACTCCATTGTGGAAGAAGCTCACATTAGCAAAACCTTCATCGGCCTGATCTTGATCCCCATTGTCGGGAACGCCGCCGAGCACGTCACGGCCGTGATAGTTGCGTGGAAGAACAAGATGGACTTGGCCATTGGAGTCGCCATTGGATCCAGTCTACAAATTGCCATCTTTGTCACACCTTTCCTGGTGATATTGGGTTGGATTATGAATAAACCCATGACGCTGCACTTCGAGACGTTTGAGACAGTCAGCTTCTTTTTGGCCTCATTGGTCGTGGTGCTCTTGATTCAGGACGGAAAGTCCAACTATCTTGAGGGATTGCTCTGCCTGGGCATGTATTTCATCATCGCATTGGCGTTTTACGTCCTTCCGGACGACGCCGGCTCCGGCTTGAACTTGGGGAAACTCTTTGGCGGCAGCGGCAGCGGCAGCGGGTGAAAACTTTCAACAGCAGGGTTCTCACAGAGGTCCGGGATATGAAGAGGAGGGTATTTCAAAGCATCCTGCTCAATTTCTTTTCTTTCTTGTATTTTCATTTGTGGAAGGCTTTTCTATGGCATGCCGCCAACGGTTGTAGCTCTGGGGCGAACAGAGCAACGGCAGAAGGGCGACGAGGAACAGTCGTCAAATTTCGTGTCTCTTCGGGTTTGCACCTGCAAGGATTCAATCTAAACAGCAGGGATTGATCACATGGCGTTGGGACGGAATGGAAACAAATCATGGTCCTGTTGACTTGGAGGTTCACTCGATACCCCGGTTTTCCACAAAATTATACTCGGTTCGGCTTTGGGGAGGGCCTAGGGTTTCAGCGTCTCATATGTATATGGCTTACTCTGAAAACACCACAGATTGAACAATAAAGACTTGAAACCTGCGATTTGTACATATTCCTCTGTCCACCCATATTTTTTTGAAGCGGCAACAATCGCCTGCCAGAAGGGGAAGCGGCTCTTGGCCGCGGACGGAGCTGCACCTCCGCTTCAAAGGCCATTGACGAGAACTGCCTCTCCAAAACCTTGAATCACTCTCTATACCTGCGCACTTCACGCAACGGCAGTAATGGCGCCTCGACTATCCCTCTTCACAGTACGCTCAGTGCCCTTCAGGACGAAGCCTACGGTTCCGCAGAAAAGATTTGCCCCTGCTCCTAGTCTACTGCAGCGGCGTGCAGCAAGCGATGATGCAGCGTCCAAAAACCAGTCTCCCAAAAAGACGCCCCTTCACCCTCAGGCAGAGGGCCCCACCATGGACCAGTTGCCTCATGTGACAGAAGAAGCAGCTGCAATTGACAAATCGATGGGGAACACGCCTCCAGATGTGGAACAGGGAACGCCGGTGCAGGAGGTAGGTGCCGACGTTCGATGAACTGCTCGAATTGTAGTGCAGTTCAGTTGCAGTCTAGAGATACGGCGGCTGACATGTCTTTGTGACGGAATCTGTGCAGATATTCAAGCGCGATAAAGATGCCCAAGACAAAGCGCCTCAAGTCATGAAACAGGACTTGAACCCGGATTCTAGCAGCAACAACGAGTCCCCCTCCGGAAGCCGTTCCTTTTCGACCGCTGCCAGGAGGAATGCCGCAGAGATGGAGGTGGCACCAAACTTGGGAGGATCGGTAGATCACTTGGTTCAGTTTCAGGATACAAGAGTTGTCGGCCTGGAATACCCGGACGCGGGCTTCGGGCACAAGTTTGGGTTACCGGATCTGAAGCCGCTGGGCAAAGCGGTAAATCTCAAGCGAAGATATGATCCTGTGGTGGAGCAGGTGACACGAAGTCTCATGAGGGATGGCAAACTGAGTCGTGCGCAGAAGGTAAAATCCACTTCGTTGCCATTATACCTGGTGCAATATGTGCTAAAAGTGTTGCGCACAGAATATGCAGTTCATCCTCGATGCCCTGCGAACCTCATCCGCACCCCCCTCCAACAAGGATCTCATTAGTCCTTTACCCATGCAGTCACTTCCCTTGTCACCAGTCGCCTATCTCACCGCCATCATCGACTCTGTTGCCCCTCTTGTCAAGATCCGCCAACAAAGAGGTCTGCTGGGTGGTGGTGCTTCCATGCCCATTCCCGTCCCTCTACGCCTTCGTCAGCGGAGAAGGACAGCCATCCAATGGATATTAACTTCCGCGGAGGGGAGAAGAGAAGATAAACTGGCGGAACGTGTCGCGAAGGAGCTATTGGGGGTCGCTGAGGGTAGGAGCTCTGCGTGGGAGAAGCGAGCAAGGGTTCACAAGATGGCAATCAGTGCAAGAGCCAATGTTAAGATTGCGGCGAACGGGAGGAGGATCAGGACCAAGAGTATCAGAGGGAAGTGATTGTGCCCTGGTCTAAGTCTTGTGATGAACCCTCAGAAGAGCAAAAAGAGCAAAAACTTAACACGAAGCAGCTCATCTGGTTCGTGATAAGCGAAACTCGCCCTTACGGGTTGGTTTTTCTCGGCCGGTTTTACTACGGGTAATATATAAGTTGAGTCGGAGGAGGTTCGAGGGTTCAAATCGAGGTCCTGCTGCCTGCTAGCCCGTTATTGCTAGTTTGACCTGGCAGGACCCAGACTGGGTGTCGTCAGATACGAACTCGATTTCGCCCTAGTCGGGGTAGGGGGTCTTTGTGTGACAGAAATTGGGGGAAGAAACATGATAAAGGTGGAATTTCTGTGTGCATGTGTGTGGGTGGGTTTGTTGTACCGCACCCGGTACGTGGTGGTGGGCACAAGGCTGGCGATGGCGAGGCTGAGATGTGTATACAAACCGCGGGTCGGAAGAGACGAGACCGCTTCTCACGGGCGCGGCGTTGGCTCCATCATGTACAGTACAAAACTGGACCAAAAAGTTCGGGAATGGAATCCTGAGTTGCTCTTAACCTCAATTCAAGCTGGCGATTGAAACAGCACGGTTGACAGCGCCCTGTCAAAGAGCCCCAGTGAGATGCAGTATTTTCCCCCAATGGGCTGTCATGGTCGATTTTACCTTGCATGGATTTCGAGCCCCAGCGTCTTTTTCACCCACAGCCACCTCTCCAGGCCGACGGCCGCTTTCTGCTTTGCAGAGATGTTCCCGCTATGGCCCAGATCTCGGATGATCCTCAAGTGCGTCGTCCCCTTCGGCGTCCCTTCATCCTGCGGCTGATCATCGCCACCACCTCCGCCTCCACGACCAGCGTACTGTAACGCCGCGGCCATCTTGCAGCTGTGCGAATAGCTCACGAAGTCATCCTTGTCCCCGGCGGTCAGCAGCACAGGCGGATACCTCACGCCGGGCCGGACCTTGTCCAGCGGCGACCACTTGTGGATGAGGTCGAACTCGACGGGGTCGTGCACGTCGCCGATGTCGTGGGCCCCGCGGTCGCTCCGCGCCAGCCTCTGGCGGTGCAGGACGTCCACGACCCCGGCGTTGAGGATGGCCGCGTCGAACAGGTCGGGCTGCTGCACCATGGCCGCCGCGCAGTTCAGCCCGCCCATGCTCTCGCCCATGAGGATGATGGTGCGGCTGGCGTACCGGGCGCGGAGATGCGCCGCGGCGGCGTGGACGTCGTCGAACAGGTTCTGGCGCCGCTCCCGGCACGCCGCCTCGTACCACGTCTGGCCGTACTCGCCGCCGCCGCGGACGTTGGCGATGGCCAGCACGCCCCCGAACGTCCGCAGGAAGGCGACGAAGTCGGCGCGGAAATGCGGGATGACCGAGATCCCGAACCCGCCGTACAGGTACAGCAGCACGGGGTCGCCCGGTTGGATGGCCTCCGGGTCGGCCGAGGTGAGGAACATGGGCACCCTCGTGCCGTCGCGGGAGGTGTAGAAGATCTGCTTGGTCGACAGCTGGGGTGGCGGGTCCGCCCCCGTGAGGGAGTTCTGGTTCGGTGGGAACAGCTCGATCGGCTTGAAAGGAGAAATGTCCGGTCCGTCTCCCTTCCCATTGTCCCCGGCCGCTCGAGCACACCAGACCCGAGGGGGATAGCAAAAGGACGACTCGACCAGAAAGATCGTCTCGGTCGAGGGGTCGTATGAGGCGTCCAGGATGGTCCACACGGGGACACCCTCCAGGGTTTTCAGATGTCGGCCTGTCGGGGAGAAGATCTGGACCTGGTCCCGCACGTCGATTGAGCGCACGACCAGGATGTGTCCGGCCGAGAGCATTCGTGCCAGTCTCAGAGTCTGCTGGCTGTGGGGAGCTACCACTTCTTCCACCGCTCCGGTTTGCGGGCGGTACGCCATCACTTTGCCGTTGTCTGCATTGGTCCAGAAAAGATGTCCGCTGTCGCCGGCAGTCGTAGCGTCTGAAGCCGTGGTCTCAGAGAAAGTCCCGATGTACCTGGAGAATAAGTCAGCGTGGCATCACGCAGCACACACTGCGAGGATGTTTCTTTTTTGCTGAAAAGGAGCGAGAAACACGGAGGAACTTACTCCCACTCTGCATCAGACTGCCTTGACACCACACCATCGAATCTCAGCCCGAGCTTACCTCCCCCTTGGTGGCCAGTCTGTGCAGCGTCTTGCCCGGGCTCTTGCGCATTCACCGCGGCCGACCACACCTGACAACCTCTACCCCTGTCATAGACCTCCAGAAAGACAGACCTGTCGTCCTGAGAAACCACAGCCTTGAAATTGTACCCTGGATGTTCAGCATCTGCATAGACGACCTCGTCTTCTTCCTGCGGACGACCAATCTCGTGGAAGCGAAGTTGAGAGGCGCCATTGCCTCCCTGCCCTGAACTCTTTCCGCCCTGTCCGCCACCGGGTTGATGGGGATAGAAGAACCCTCGGTCCCCCAGCCACGGAACCACCGAGGAGGGTTTGCTCGTGAATCTGGTGCCGCGGATTTCATCGCTCAACACCTTCCCGGTCTGGACGTCCATGACGCGTATGACGCCCCAGTCTGCCCCTGCATCGCTGGTCGTGAATGCCCAGTACTTCCCGCTGCGGCTGGGTGACGAGGCCGTGAGCACGGCTTTCTGCTCTCCTTCATCGTAGAATATAGCAGGCTCATCCGCGTTGTGACCGTGGACATCGCCATTGCTCTTCCAGGCCTGTTCCCCGCCGCCGACGACATTGGATTTGGGAATCCGGTAAGACACCGCGAATTCCTTCCCTCTGCCTTGCACTCGGAAAACGAGATCCTCTTCTATCACCTGTGGCACGCTCGCGATCGCCGTCAACCCGGTCATCGCCAGCAGTCCCGTCGCCAATTGCTGCTTCGCTTTTCCCAGGCTCTCGTCGCCACTGTCGTCAACGTACGCCGCGAAAGCGGCATTCTGCGCCTCAACGAATGCTGCCGTCTCGGGACTGCTGGTGTCTTCAAGCCAGTCGTACGGGTTCGGGAGGTCGATGACGCCACGTTCAGCGCTGGCGAAAGTGTCGGTGGCCTGCGATCGGCGGGCGAGCGGGATGATCCCTTTCGCCATGCTTGAACGAGGTGCTGGATCTTGGTAGCACGGAAAACGACGCTCTACAGCGTCCGTATGAGAGGAGAAAGGGTGACGGGTTTATACTTCAACTAGTCTCCAAGATGTTCCAAGAACGCGGAATGCGAACCGGACCCTTGTCGCTTTGACGAGGTCTTTCAACCGCGGAAATCTTTTGGTTTTAACAAGAAGCTAGGAGAACCAAGGCACATCATTCAGAACGTTCTACCAGCCATCATCGCATCGTGGCCGTGTCGTGACATACCATACAGCGCTCTCCCGAGCAAACTCAGTCGAATCACTTCGCAACCAATTCCTTCGACGGGACTCTCACAGGACACTTCGGGCCCGAGACGGAGGGCGCAAAGACGTGCTGGAAGCCTGTCAGCATAAGAGGGAAAATGTATGCGCACAATTGCCTGTCTTCCTGTACACATAAAATGATTTTATGAGGGGCAGGAGCGACAAGAGGGAACCGGTGGGGTTAGTTGGGTACATGGGTGCGAATGTACCGTTCTTTTCTCCGGCCCCGAACTGGGACATATCTGCGAATACGATTCATGGGTTGTAGCGCACTAGTGAAATGGTCCAATGAAGATATTTCGGTACATCCTTTGCGAACTAATGCAATGCTGGCACTCCCTGCCGAGGTTGTGCTGTAAATCAGCGTGTGTGTGGCTTGAGTGGACGAGAGGATGATCGAAGTCGCTCTCGCGCTCCTCTTGGGAGATGTCAGCCTTGTCTCTAGCCTTGCCGGGTCTTGGCACCCAGGGTCCACCTTCTCCACCCAATCGAACCTCTGAGATATTGGCGAAAACGAATTCTGTACGGTGACCGGTCCGGGTCCGGGACCGGTACTCTACGAATCCTCTCCCCTGCAGGTGTATGCCGCACTCGTATTTCGTATCAATGAGCCCCCCGGGCGAGGCGGGCAGGATGGGGACAGGGAACGGCCGGCGGGGTAGCGGACAGTCAGTGCGGAGAAATCGTTCCTCTTGGTACGGAGGAGTCGGCTCTTCATCAAGAGTCTCCCGGACGAGGAAGTGTTTCGTTGAGGCACGGTATCGTTGGTTTTTTGAAACAAGATTTCCTTCACCGAGGAACACGAATGTGGGAGGACATGTATGTGTATCTGATCTAGTTTCATGGACAGCATATCTACACTGCCTGCAGAATACCACTGCAGTTTCTTCAAGGTGGATTTTCGCTTGTTCATCCAGCAATTGCTAGATTTCTGGTGGATGTATTTCTGTATGTGCTTCCCCTTTACCATATCTCCCTCGATAATGAACCCGCGAATACCTCCCCTCTCCGCTCTACACATCTCTTCTCTTCCCCTACGTGTTTGCTAAAAGACGCAAGATGGCGACGACTTAGCACATATAGCGAAACACCGGATTGACTTGATCGGTCATGTCTGCGAATGCGATGCTTGGATCTGTGATTAGCTCCGGGTGCTCTTCCCTCAGTGGAGCTTTCTTCTTGTTGCATCGGAGATAGTAGAGCCTGTGTTCCCCAGTAGGGTCACGATGGATCAGCAAATGGAGTTTGCTGATGAGGTGGAAAGGCGGTTCTGAAACGATGACCGTGCGGTGATCATTCAACGACTTACCAAAGGAGAGCAAAAACCCCCTCGCTCGCGCAGAGCAAGCTTAGCGTCGTGATCTGTCCCGTCGGATATCCTCGCGCTGCTTCATCGCCCTTGTAAGCCCACGGCCCAGAGAAGCCGCCTAGATTCGCGAGCACGAAGATGGTCGCGTTGGTGACTGTTTTCTTCGTATGTCCGGCTATATTGGAGGAGAGCAGGGCGAATTGCTGCACCAGAGCGCCATACAGGGTAGTTGACTGTCGCAGAGGAGTCAGGTAAAATGGTCACGCGTGCCCGGACCAGAGTCCAGGAAGAAAACAACTCACGATGTAGAGCCCTGCGAGAAGTGCTCCCTTGTTCGAGCGGTCGCTCTTCCATAGAAGAATGTTGCCAGCCATGCTGGGCAGGAGATAGAGCATAGCGATCAAAATCCGTCTTCGAGGAAATAGTGTCCCCAACACACCAGAGGACACCATGCAAACAATGGCTACCGCGCTGGCAGGCATTGAGAGGACGAGAGCCCTCGAGTTCGAATATCCGAAAGACGACACCAAAAAGCCGCCGAAGCTGCGAGCAAAGACACGATGTCAGTTGCGCGAAGACCATCATCACAGAAAGACGCCGAGCATCGCATTACTTACCTTCCAATCGCGTTGTTGACAAAGGCGAACGTGAAGCTGTAGATCCCATAGATGTACAGTTGAGGATCCATAAAAGCCTCCTTGACCTGCTTCCATTTGAACTTACGGGTCTGGATCCCGGTGTTGTTCTGAGCGAGTCTGCGTACTGCGATCTCTTTCTCCCTCGCCGTCAGAAACCACGCCTTCATCGGAGTGGCAGGAAAGATCAGCGTCGCAAGGACCCCATAGCCCATAGTCACCGAGCCGAGGATCACATAGATCCATTTCCAGGGGCTACTGGCATAGGCACCGTGAATCCGCACTGCCCCAAAGTCGATGCCTTGTCCCGCCAAA